ACAGCTTAAATTATGTTCACACTTATGAAAAAAATAAACAAATAGAAACAAACAATTGAGAGGATTATAAATATAAGGAGTACAATAACGATAAAAGTTGATGTGGTAAGTGCGGAGGAAATGGTTTATTTAGTAGTGCAAAGAAGGTTAGTTAGTTCATGCCTAACACTATTTTCATCACATAAAGTACTTGCCAAATATGCTGTGGTGGAATTGGCATACTTAGACGTACGTGCATAAATTCTTCTGAAAAGACTTCTTGTTTTACCTGAGGAGACACAAGGTTGGAGCTGCGGGTGGTGAGGTGGATGCTCACAGTCTGACAAAATTCCTCTAGCAAATTTGTTGCATGTCATCAAGTGCCTATCAATGACAACGTCAACGACATAGCCCAATGGGATACCACTCGCCCTACTGACAGTCTTCAGAGTTCTACGAAGTATGACATAGCCTTTTTTATTAAGCAATCGAGGAAAGAATAAACAAGGGTGAACAGTAAAGAAAAACAGGTAAGATGCACGAGTTGACGAACTGTAAGAGGAGGGGTTGATTTACGGCTGAATACCTTGACTTCTTAATGTGAAATGTCAGATGGAATATTTTACTAGAAATCTCTAAGATGTGGGAAGACCAGGATAGATCAGAAGGAAGAATTAGTTCAAGATACATAACGTCAGACTTGATTTCTATATCACTACCATTAATTATACAGTGGCAATAAAAATTAACAGCTTCATTTAACTTTATTTCACATCGGAAACTGAAATTAACAGTCTGACATTTGGAGAGATTTAGTTTAAGACCATTCAACGAAGACCATTTGCTGAAGACTCCTGTTCATCTTAGTACAGTCTAGCGGGGAGTTAACAGACATTGAAATAGTCATATCGTCAGCATACTTAACAAGGTTCATTTCGTCATCAGAGTGAGGCAAATCATGCAAGAAGAAAGAAAAACAGAAAAGGAGTAAGAACAGTGCCTTAAGGGACACCAGCCTCAGTAAGCAATGAAGTGGACGACTTCCCCTGACTGATATATAGTATACTGCTTTCTTCCTAAGAAATAAGAAAGCAACCAGTTGTCAACTCATCACTCTTTCTGAGTTACAGCAAGTTTATTTAACAAAATATTCCTAGGTACTCAGTCAAAAGCCGGTGTGTAATCTAGGAAGGTGTAGCGATGTCAGCTGATGATGAAATCCTTTAACCAATCAAATCGTTCGTTGGTGCCACAGAGGTAGAATGCTTGCCAACAATGCCGCATGTGATTCGGGGTTCGATACCTGGCCACCGATGCACTCCCAAACCTCGATAAGCCAATAATAAGACTGACAAAGAGGGATAGTTGGCCATAAGGCTAGCAATTCCATCCCCTAAAAATAAACACCACTGCTACCGAAACTTCAAGCCTCTAGCTTGAAGCCAACCTATGTTCCACTGGGGGAACGTAGAGGAATAAAAAGAAAAAACCCAATCAAATCCCTGCACAAGCAACACTTGAGTCAGATCATCAGTCAATTGTGTCTTATCTTAGTTGGACTTAACCATTTTCTTTCCTTCCTTTTTTTGTGGCGGCGAATGTAGGTTTAAATAGTTTCTTTGTATAATCTACCGCGTAAAAAATATAGACTAAACTTGTAGTGTTCCTGTGTTTTACATGTTTATTTTTTTGTTGTTGTGAGAACTGAATGTTTGACGTTGTTTAACTATTCACGTGAAAACTGATAAAGCTACTTGTACTGTACAGTTTTAACAAGAGATAAGGCGATGGAAATTAGGAAAACAATATTTTATTTGCTTGTTAAAAGTTTGCTTGAAAGCCACTCTCATGCTTATCACAAACACACGTCTTATCACTATAAAAAGATAAAGAAAGCTAACCAACCCCACTATTTAACACAGCTCCTGATATGTTAGCAATCTTATTTCTCTAACACAATATCAAAGCTGAACAACGATTAAGTCGAGAAATAAAAAGGAAAGAAAGAGCGGGAATGAATCAGAAATGTGTCTACCTTTATTTACGGAAGGTGGCTGAAAAAAAACACGCCAACGATTAACAACTAAACATTATTTAAGTGGAAAAAACTAAAACAAAAAACGAAAGAAAGCTAAATATATTCCGACGACACATTAAAATGTTTTATCCAACGTGATTGTTCCTTTTTTTTCTTTTCCTTTGTTTGTTTGTTTCTCTTTTCGTGTTTTTGCATATTACATGAGCTGTACTCACAAAACGGAAGTTAACAATAGACAACTTAATAGGCATTGAAAAATATGAGTAGACAAAAGGCGCGAATTAGTAAGGCTCAGTAGGTAGTCCTAGGTGGAGGACTCCCAGTAGGAGGAGAAGTTGGAGGAGTGATAAAAGTAATTGTATTATGTTTAGAAAATCAAAACAAATGATTCAGCGAAGAGACTCCCTCACCGGATATAACTTCTTAAAAACCATATATATACGATTGTACAGCTTGATGATAAATTCGTTGAAAAGAGTCTCTTCGCTGAATCATTTGTTTTGATTTTCTATATGTATTATGTTTATCAAACCAGACAGATAATAGAACAATACATAGAATATTTATTATAGAATTTATTTGGATAGTCAAAGTGAACAAAGCATTAAAACGACAAAAATGTAACAGGATATTATCATGCGCACTCGTTTTTCTCTGTCTCTCTCTGTTTTCGCGAATTATTTTCAACCACCTTTAACCAATAAATGATCCTTGAAGCTGATACTTGTCGACGACAGTGACTGGCAGCAGCTTTAAATTTAAAGTAAATTATTATTTATTATTGTTTCCTTTAATTCCTAGAGGAACATAGGGCTCCAGCCGTGTGTCTCCATTGCGTTCGGTTCTTTCCTGGAATCTTCACCTGACTCCAAGTCTGCCCAAACGCTTTCATCTCCTCTTCACATGACCTCCTCCAAGTCACCCTTGCACTGACGACCAACTCTCTGCTTCCCACTAAGGTTCCACTCGAGCAATGGCTTGTCTAGTGATGTCACTTGATGGTTTCCTCAGAGTATGGCTAGCCAATCCATCTCCATTTCTTCCTGCCTAATTGTTTCACAATCGGTTCCTGCTGGGTTGGTTCGCTGATTGCCAGAGATCTCTGTTGCTGATCTTTTCTGGCCAGTCATCTGATCTTGAGTGGTACTGAGCAAAGACAACTGTTGATGAAGGTCTGTATTTTGTTTGAGATGCTCTTTATGACACGCAGTGCAAGTCTCTGATCCGTGTGGTGAGTAGCACTGACTTCATATTGGAGTTGAAAATCCTGATCTTATTTTTGATGCTGAGTGCTGTTGACCTGCACACAGACTTGAGAGTAGTGAAGGGTTGTTTTGCTTTTCCGATCCTCGCTGCTTTGATATCCTCGTCAGTTCCGCCCGACTGTAGTTGAAACGATGCATTCCAGGTAGGTAAAAGAGGTTGTTTCTTTCAGGTTCCTTCCATTTATGCTGACTGTTGTCTCTTGTTTTTGCTGTTGGTGGTGTTGGCCAGGAATCTTCATCACCTCTGTTTTCTCTATGTTAACCTGAAGTCCTATCTTTGATGCTTCTTCCACCTCCTAGTATGGTGAGCAGATTTTAAACTTGAGTGAATAGAATTCAGTCTGCACCAATCAGAAGAGTATACGCATGACATTAGTAGCTGTTTATTTAAGACTGCAGGACACAATTCACTACCACGTCATCAAAATGTTATGACGAAGGGATAAAACTGGATTTAGTTTCAGCACAAGATAGTAGTATCCGATCTGTCACTGGAATATTAATCCATCACTGAGTAGACACCGAAGGCACAGATTTATTCCTCTAGGGAAATGAGATCAGAAGTTTCAGTTGATTATATTCTCACTTCACAGGACCTATTAATTACAAGTTCAAGTCATGGGAATTATGCTTATGTCGGTCGGTCGGTTGGTTTTCGACATAGAACTTCGCACATGTGTGCGGCACTTCAAGTCGCCACACTCCCTCCATGTAGAGCACAAAGCAAGAGAAGAAAATAGGAGAAATGCATAATAGAGACAGTAAACAGAGGTGTGAGACAAAGTTAGAGTAATAACGAAGAACAAAACAGTTTCATTGGAAATCATCAGTCACAAGGAGTGGATGCATCTGCGCTAGCTAGCCATTGAGAACGATTTTGAGCCATGTCACCAATTGTTTCCAACCATTGGTTTTTACCGTCCCGAGTACCCCAACCAGGAAGTCTTCACCTTCCTACGTGGCCTAGACTAACTGTTGTATATTTCATTGACTGGTGCCATGTTTTGGTTTGACCGCCGCTAGCTCTTTTCCAGCCTGGCCCTATATCAGCTAACATTGCCCGTCAGTCGAGGAAGGCGATGACTAGGCATGCGTAACACATGTCCTAACCATCTCAGTCGATATAGCTTCCTTCACAGCCATGTCGATTGATTTCCCCTTCTTACCTAGCACTCGACTCAAGCCTAACCTCAATATTGCTCACCTTATTATACCACTTCACGCGGGAGATAGAACGCAGACACGTATGATCGAACACAGCTAATCTTTTCATGTCTTCCGCTCTCAATGGCCAGGTCTCAAAGCCAGGACGGAGCGGACTGTTGAGCAGTACACACATCCTTTTGTCGATAGTCGGATATCACGTCTACGCCAGAGACGAAAATATGCTTAGACTGGATAGTATGTCTACTGAAGTGATCTTTAAACTAGACTGGTGTTGAATGTCTGGCTTACAGATCTCTCCTTGTCTTAACTAATGTAGCACTAAATTCACGAAATGACCAAAGGCGTTCTGGGTTGTTCGATCCTTGGAGGTAGACTTGCAGTGGTTATGCAGTGCTGAAGAGTCTCAAACTGGGGCGAAACAGCTGTCTAATACTCCCTTTTGTTTTTCAATTGTTCTCTAACTGATAAACAATCTGTGATGAAACTTGTAATAAATCAATCAATCAACAAATCCATTTTTCACACTTACTTACAATTTTCTTTCGCTGTAGGTGTTGACCAAAGAAACCGGTGAACCTGTGCCAACTGAAGTTATTCGAAATGCAATTCGTAATTGTTTAAGAAATGCAGCAGTTTTAAACTATGAACGAATATCGGAATATGTTATGATTGAAGGTAAGTGATTTTATCAATTGTTCACCTTTTCATATATGATAGCTCAGCATACGGAACACATGTCCTAGTCATCTCAGTTGCCTCTCTCTCTCTCATAATCTTTCGTAAGCATGTGTAATTCATCCGCTTCAACCCCTATCGCTTCTTACAATCATATATTTTTAATCCTTTACATTCCCAGTGGAACAGAGGGCTTCAAGCTAGAGACTTGAAGTTTCGGTAGCAGTGGTGTTTTTATTATTTTTACGGGACGGGGTTGCTAGCCCCATGCCCAACTTTCTCTCTTTACCAGTCTTATTGTTGGCTTAGTGATGTAAAGGAAGAGTGCATCGGTGGCCTGGGATCAACGCAACTTACCATCATATAGATGATTTTAATCGTTATGTATTGACTGAGCACACTCCATAATACCACTAATTGCTGCTTTCATAACATAATATAAATAAATATTAAATTGTACAATTCCATTGTGGGTAAAATTTATTTTGATAAAGTCTCACAGTGTTATACAGCAAGTAATATTTACTGATGACCATGTTTCGAGCACAATTTATTGCCTCTTATAAGCATATCAAGACACTACTCACACAACTTTCTACGTAGGATTCTTGATAAAGCAGATTAGACAAGTTCTGTAGGTTAAAAGACCCGGTGGACCCAATTAAACAAAATAATATAATTTACAAAATACCTTGCAATGACTGTGAGTTAGGTCAACTACATAGGTCAGTCAAACTATTACGTCGGGGGTAGTCACATTGTCGGAACATAAGAATTTAGTGGCTAAGGTAAGAATGGGTGACCCCGCGAAAATAAGAACTTTAGAAAAAAGCTCAGCGATTGCACTGCATGCATGCATTAACACACAACCACACAATGGGCTGGGAGAGGGTTGATGACTAAGTCCTTGTTCATCGAGTCTACACCCAACACACATGCAATAGGAATGACTCATCACTCCTACCAGAAATATGGAAAATACTACTACCAATCATCAAGTCAAGCGATGAAAAATAATGAGAATTATAACAACAAAGTTAGAAAGTTGTGTGAGTAGTACCTTGATATGAATATGAGCAGTAATAAATTGTGCTTGAAACGTGGTCATCAGTAAATATTACTTACTGTATAACACTGTGAGACTTTATCAAAATAAAAATTTCACCCATAATGGAATTATACTCTATCACCACAGTGCTTCAGACAGTGGGAAATGAGAAGACAGGGATATCCTGGATTGACGTGAAGAACCTAGAAGACCTGGATTTCGCGGATGATTTATGTTTGATGTCACACAAAATCGAAGACTTACAAGAGAAAACCGACAAACTGGTCGAAGAAGCGGCAAAAGCAGGACTCCAGTTGAACATAGACAAGACGGAGGTTATGAAAATAACTAACGAACAACAGCAACAACATCCAGCGCCAATCACCATCAACGGAAGGGATTTGAAAGAGGTTACTTCATTCACTTCACTTATCTAGGGAGCATTGTCTCAACTACAGGAGGAACGGACGAGGATGTCAAATCGATGGCCGGAAAGAATCACCAACAAGAAACTATGGGAACAAACAAAGCAAGAACCGATCGCCCAACAAATATGCAGGAGAAAGTGGAGATGGATTGGACACTCGCTGAGGAGGCCGCTGGGTGACATCGCGCTTCAGGCCATTGCTCGAGTGGAACCCGAAAGGGAGGCGACGAGTTGGTCGTCCAAGGGTGACCTGGAGGAGATCATGTGAAGAAGAATTGAAGGCGTATAGGCAGACTTGGAGCCAGGTGAAAACTCTAGCAGAGAACCGAACGCAATGGAGACGAATGGCTGAAGCCCTATGTTCCTCTAGGAACTATAGGAAATAATAATAATAACTGAATAAAAATGTCAATTAAAATTTACTAAAAAATGGATACTGAACAAAGAATACTCTTTTCGATAACCCCTTCATCGTCAGGCTCTACAGTTATATATACATTATAGTGAATGAATGAATGAATTAGTGTTATTAACAACACGAATGCTGTTTAAATAACATTGAATCAATAATAATAATATCAATGGATTACAGTCTAACAGCATCAACGTAACAACAGACTAAATGTCAGAAAAATTAGGAAAGATAATAATACAAATTTGTGAATTTCTAGTCTCTACTGAAGGTCGGCCAGGGCAGCAGAAGTGGCTGGCTGAACTTGTTTCTTTAGCACACAAAGCACTGGTTGTTTGAGGCGAATTGCGATAGCCTTTGCTGTTTGGCGTATGCGGTACTTGGGTGTTTTTGGCAATTTATTTGGCATCAGGTGGATGATAGAGAAGGATTCTTCAACGGTGGCTGGCTGGCTTTGTGGCCGGTTTGCACCAGATGATTCAGTATGGAACAGTTAATGGTTTTCAGTACACCTTTACTTAGCCATACTGGGAGATGTTCTCGAGCACGATAAGATTGTGCATATAATTTGTGCAATTAATCATTTATTTTTTGGATTACAGCTTGATTCCACACCGTATTTTTGGTACAGGCATGGAATTTTCAGCATGTGGTATTGGTAGCCCAGATTTTGCAGGCCGGCCATAGATATCAGGTGTGCGTCGGCAGAGGATCGAACCCCGGACTATGTGTATGATCCACGGGAGTCGTAACCGCTGTGCCACCGACGCACATAATAATAATCTGTCACTAACAAAGATGAAAAAGTATAGCTATGTGTGATAACAACAATAACGTAAAACAGCATGATTAAACGAACAAACAAACAAATGTTCAAGTAGACATAATAGTCCATAAAGACTAAGAAAAGCAAAAATGAACCAATTAGGCAGTGCCAAGATTATAAGGGAAGTAAATAGAATTGAATTCAGGGGTGACTGAATTCCAACCCAATTAGCGGAATGGTGAATGAGCAGCTTGATCTCATAACCTGAAGATCTCTGGTTCGCTTCCTGCTTGGGACGTGGGGGCATACTTCTGATGAGTCCCGAAGCAGGACGAAACATTTATCCAGTGATTTCTTTGAGTGGTGTTGATTTGTGACGAAATCTAACAGTTGGAATCGCATAATACTCACTAGGGATGAAGGATAAACAGTTATGTTCACAACTAGTATTTTTGATTTGACACTAGTAACTAGTGTGATGTGTCTGGCTAGTCCTTTCTTTGGTGCAGACTGAATTCCATCAGTCAGGTTGTAACGTGGCCACCATTCTAGGTAGCTCGCCATCATGATGCACATTGATTTGTTGATATTAGATGGTTAGAGGCAATAGGCCACAGGAAGACTTGGACCTAAGTTTCGTGCTAGTTGGCATTCACTAGTCAGCAAGGCGTATCTGCAACTCAGCTGAGTGGTAACGTCCTTGATTGCAGCACTGGGTGACTCCAGTTCCAACCTCAGAAGGGATGTGAGTTCTTTCAAGGTAGCAGATGCACCACTTTGCTGACTGGTGAGTGCCAACTAGCACGAAACCTAGGTCAAGTGGGGCTTCCTGTGGTCGATTGCTTCCAACCATCTAATATCATCACAACTGATATTAATTAACATTGAACAATGGCGAGTGACAACTGATTAAAATCTTGGGTTTTGATGTGTTTCTTTCTGCTTGCCTACAGTTTTCGCTACCGAATTCCTAAGGGATTCTGACTGACTGACTGGTTTCAACGTAGAGCTTTGCACAGATGTACAGCAGTTCGAGTTGCCGCTCTCCCTCCATATAACACCCAAAGCAAGAGAGAGAATAAAGGGAGATTCAAAAGAGAGAGAGAGATAATAAACAGAAATATAAGGCAAAAAGAATATCAATATATAGAAGAACAATGAAGTTTTATTGGATATGATAAATGTCAAAGAGTGAATGCATCTGCACCAGGCATTGAGAACAATGAGTTTTAGCCATATCAACAACTGTCTTCAGCCACTATTCCCTTGCAACGCGAAGACACCAACCAAACTGGTAATATACAACTCTGTATAGGTGTCTGGCTTAAAATAAGTGATGTTGATTTCATTTCACTGATGAAGGCATGTTTTGGTTTGACCACCACTGGTTGCTTTTCAACCTGATTCTGTGTCAATCAGCTAAAATTGCCTGTCAGTCGATAAAAGGCGATGGCTAGGCAGGCATGCGTAACACATGTCTTAATTATATCAATCGATGTAACTTCACACTGTGTCATTTTGAGTCCATATTGATTTTTTCTTTTGTTTCCTTGTTCACAGTTGTTACCGGTCCACGTATTAAAGGTAAGTGTACTTCCTGTTTCACTATTTATTTAATCATTAAAAGAGATCTAGTGATCAGTTTTGTTTTCTTCATTATCTTGAGTGCCATTTGGTAGTGTGTGTGTGTGTGTGTGTGCGGAATTGTGGTTCACTAGCTTAAGCATTCCCTCACTTTTCAGTCAGTGGGTTGCGTGTTCGAAGCCCGCTCCGCGTATTCCCTCCAGGACTACTGGGCAGTAGCATAAGTCCCTTCCTCCCCCCTCCCAACCAATAAAAACAACACACAATAAGCATGGCTCATAGCCTGGAATTCTCATGACTAGATATTAATCTGTATATAGTATGTTGTTCGACGTCCTCTAGGAATCGGTATTTCGTCGTGGTATTCAGTAAAGAAAACAAAAAGATTGAGGGAGGAAATATTCACTTTTCAATTAGATCCTCATCTCACTCTGGCTCTAATCTAATATACACGCATAGCATTTTTATTACAATACACAACAATTTACCAATCAAGTGGCACTGATATGTTTGTCCAGTTCACATTCAACGACACCATCTACAGGCGAAAAGATAGTATTGCAATGGGATCTCCGTTGGGTCCACTACTATCAGATTCTTTTGCCGCAAGCCTCGAGAAAGGTTCACTAAAGCCAAGCATTGACAATTTGCGACTGTATAAAAGATACGCAGACGACATATTCACTATTTGTGACAACAACAATGACCCCAATCTACTGCTGAAGATATTTAACTGTTGCCATCCAGCAATAAAATTCACTCTTGAAATGGAAAACGAGTCAAAAATTCCGTTTCTTGATGTGGAACTTACAAGAAGAACTGATGGGAGCCTAAGAAGATCGATCCATAGAAAACCTACTTGGAATGGTCAACTAACAAGCTTCTATAGCTGGGTACCCATTCAACAAAAGCGAAATTTAATTAAATCACTTGCCACCCGCATCCGACGCATCTGCAGTCCCGACGCTCTGGAAACAGAATTAGATATTCTAAGAGAAATTTTCATCCAAAATGGATACCCAATGAGATTCACCGACAAAAATGTATCAAACCGAGAATTCGGAGAAACGAAACTCTACTTGCGTCAAAAAAGAAACTCTACATGAACCTGGATTTCAAGGGAGATTTAGCAAGCGATATTCCCAAGAGAAGGATCGCATCATCTCTGAGAAGAACATTCTTTGCAGCAACGCTAAGAATAGTGTTCTCCAGTCGCCCAATGATCTATAGAAGCCTCAAGGACAAGATCCTGCATCTGACCAATTCTATGTCCATATATCAGTTCACCTGCTGCTGTGGAGCCAGGTACATCGGTAATTTGACGCGCATCCTGTCCAAGAGGATTCAAGAACACTATCCAGCATGGTTGCGAAAAGGCAATGCTGGTGCAATAAAGAGTGCGATAATTGAACACCTGGTTAACACTGATCATTCCATTTCAACAAATACCTCCTTCAAAGTAATCTACAGAGTCAAGAACAACTTATCAAAGGCAATACGGTTTCGTCTTCTTTGTATCGCTGAAGCTCTAGCCATTCACATAGAAAAACCGGAGCTGCGCATACAAAAGAGGATTACTCAACCACTTCTACTGTCTTGGTAACAACTTTTTTGATTTGATTTTTTGATTTTGATGACTTAATTTTGTTTCTTTGCCTTTTCTTTAATTGCTTATGATTCTTGTATTCATTTAGAATTCTTAAGTAATTTCGTATTATCTACTTTGTTCTTATGTGCATCCTGAGTAAAACTCACTCATCAAATTATTCATATTATTACATAACTTCTCTTGACAACTGTTTGTGACAACTCATCACTTTTGTTACTACCCTAATTTCACTAACACCTAATTTTCTTGACTGATTTTGTACTACGTAACTCCAATTACTAATCTTCACCTTGCAACGTTTGAGTAGATTGAAAATCCCCATTGAGTCATATGAAAAAGAGAAGACATTCAGCGAAGAGACTCTTTTCGGCGAATTCATTCACATAGCTGTACAATCGCATTTATATATAAATATTTGTGTGTGTGTGTGTGTACATGAGGTTTGTCAAGTTTAGATAATTGATTAGTTAATACAAGAATGATGTAGTATAGAGACAAAGTTAATCAGACAGCAACTAAAGTAAGACTGAGTTAAAAAAAAAAAAACAACTAGATGACGTAATATAATTGGCTAAAATGTTACAACTTAGGTCAGGATAGCAACAGAGGTAATTACAGGTAGAGATTAAGTAGAAGTGAAATTGAGTGAATAAGTTGGATGACGTAACATGAATGACTAGAAACTGAGCGTTGTTCAGGTCAGTAACAGTGGTAGTGGGGTGTAGAGATTGAATCGGGTGGGGGTAGAGAACAAGAAAGTTGAAATTGTAAAATGTTACAATTGAGAAAGCAAAATAATACTAATGACGAGACAGAAGAAAAGATTAGGTAGAATTTACATGTCGGCTAATAAGATAGATTACGTCCATTGCAAGTGTAGTGATTGAACGAACTTCTTCTGTATGCAGAGTTCAGGACTTAGCAAGTGGATCGCCATTGCTTCTGCAGTTTGAAGAAGTCTGATTCGTACACCTTTAGGGAGACTACTTCTTACTCTGTAGACGACTTTGAAGTTTGTTTGCGGTGTAGCTTGGTGTCCGGATTCGATCAGATGTTCTAAGATGGAACTGCGGGGGCATCGATTTTCTCCTTTATAAAACCATGCTGGTAAGTGCTCGGTGATACGTTTGGAAAGCGAGCGCTGGGTACGGCCAACATACCTGGCTCCACACGAGCAGGTGAATTGATAAATGCACATTGATGAGGCCAGCAGCGGTAGCTTATCCTTCACGTTCACATGAATCATAGGTTTTGTGGAGAAGGTTAGTCGTAGTTCAGCTGCGAAGAAAGTCTTCTTAAGTGAACGCGACAGTCGATTTTTCAGTGTTTCCGCAGATAGATCTCCATTGACGACGACACCTTCATTATCGTCAACAACGAAGAAAATCTAGACGACATCTTAAAGTCGTTTAACAACTGCCACCCTGCAATTCAGTTCACGATGGAGAAAGAGTCCAACTCCACAATATCTTTTCTTGACGTCCAACTAACCAGAAGAGAACAGGATGGAACACTGAGAAGATCTATCCACAGAAAATCGACGTGGAACGGACAGCTTACTAACTTTCACAGTTGGGTACCACTATACACCAAACGAAACCTGATCCGTTCACTCAGCTACAGAGTTCGCAGAATCTGCACCCCGGACACCATAGAAGATGAACTGGACAACCTCAAGAGAATCCTCGTCGAGAACTGCTATCCAGAAAGATTTATTGTGAAATCTATGAATCCTAGACCAGAAAAGCAGCCCATACTTAGCGTCAAGAAAAAACTACTCTACATGAACCTCCAATTCAATGGAGATCTATTTGCGGAAACACTGAAAAATCGACTGTCGCGTTCACTTAAGAAGACTTTCTTCGCAGCTGAACTACGACTAACCTTCTCCACAAAACCTATGATTCATGTGAACGTGAAGGATAAGCTACCGCTGCTGGCCTCATCAATGTGCATTTATCAATTCACCTGCTCGTGTGGAGCCAGGTATGTTGGCCGTACCCAGCGCTCGCTTTCCAAACGTATCACCGAGCACTTACCAGCATGGTTTTATAAAGGAGAAAATCGATGCCCCCGCAGTTCCATCTTAGAACATCTGATCGAATCCGGACACCAAGCTACACCGCAAACAAACTTCAAAGTCGTCTACAGAGTAAGAAGTAGTCTCCCTAAAGGTGTACGAATCAGACTTCTTCAAACTGCAGAAGCAATGGCGATCCACTTGCTAAGTCCTGAACTCTGCATACAGAAGAAGTTCGTTCAATCACTACACTTGCAATGGACGTAATCTATCTTATTAGCCGACATGTAAATTCTACCTAATCTTTTCTTCTGTCTCGTCATTAGTATTATTTTGCTTTCTCAATTGTAACATTTTACAATTTCAACTTTCTTGTTCTCTACCCCCACCCGATTCAATCTCTACACCCCACTACCACTGTTACTGACCTGAACAACGCTCAGTTTCTAGTCATTCATGTTACGTCATCCAACTTATTCACTCAATTTCACTTCTACTTAATCTCTACCTGTAATTACCTCTGTTGCTATCCTGACCTAAGTTGTAACATTTTAGCCAATTATATTACGTCATCTAGTTGTTTTTTTTTTTTTTAACTCAGTCTTACTTTAGTTGCTGTCTGATTAACTTTGTCTCTATACTACATCATTCTTGTATTAACTAATCAATTATCTAAACTTGACAAACCTCATGTACACACACACACACACAAATATTTATATATAAATGCGATTGTACAGCTATGTGAATGAATTCGCCGAAAAGAGTCTCTTCGCTGAATGTCTTCTCTTTTTCATAATCTTCACCTGTTTAGTTTAAATAACTATAACCAATTGTATTTTTGTTTGATAAACTTATTGTACACATACATACAAAATAACACATGCATATTTGAGATTGTACAGTTAAGAAAATGAATTCGCCGAAAAGAGATTCTTCGCTGATCTACGTGTTTTGTTCTCATTAATGCCTTCATGGGGATTATACATGAATTGATATGTTTGTTAACAATAATTAGTCAGTCAGTGTCAACATGTCAATGGGGTGGGGTGATAATTAACGAAAAAAATTGATACACACAATTATAAGGTAGAAATGGTTACAACACGTTGATTGCGTAATGCATAATTTTGGAAAATTGAAGAGTAATTAAGGGAATAAGCGTGTGCACAGGTTGATTACGTAACAGATTGTTAAAGAAATAAAACGATTTGGACAATGATAATTTGCAACTAAAGGTGAAGTGGTCATGATAATAAAATAGTTTTGCAAGGATAACATGTAATTAAAGATGAAGTAGTCAGAAAAAATTAAATAATTTGGGCAATTATAATTATTATAATTTTTTAAAGGCTTAGGGGAAGGGGTAAAGTAGTCCGGTGTACATATTCATGTAACGATAGCCAAGGTAAGGAAAGTGGCTGTGCAAATTTCTTCTGAACACACAGGTTTGGCTTCTTCAGGCGGATTCCGATTGCTTCAGCTGTTGTATATAGAAGACGAAGTCGTAAAGCAAGATTAAGGTTAGTAGGAATGCCATAAAAAATTTAAATGCAGTATTAACGTCAACCTCACACTCACTATCTACAAGGTGTGCTAAAATAAAGCTATGAATAAATCTTATCTGTCCCTTGCTTAACCACGCTGGATGATGTTCGGAAATACGATGATGAACCTGCCTAATTGTATGCCCGATGTAGCTGGCTCCGCAGCTGCAGTCAAACTGGTAGATACACATAGAAGAGGCAAATTTAGGTAGTTTATCCTTATTTCTCGAACATAGAATAGGGGCGGTTGTGAAGAGACAACGTACCTCTGCTGCATAATAAGCTCTTTTAACTGCATTCTTCAGGCGTTGTGTTATTATTTCGCTGATGTTGTCACCGAGGAACTGCAGTTTTATGAACACTGGGTTTTTCGGAACTGCTGCCATACTGACTCTCCTAGGTGCTGAATTCATATTTTTCTCAATGAACTTATCTAGATAACCATTTTTTCTAAGTAATTTTCTAATAATCTTAAGCTCCTTATTGAGGCAGTCGTCTGAACAGATTAAGCTATCTCTATGAACCAGACATTTTACGAGGTTACGTTTATATTTCAAAGGTACAAAACTCAAAAAATGAGTGTACTGACCTGTTGTTGTAGGTTTCCTATACACACTCCTTCTTAGTAGTGTGGCATCTTCTTTCCTTGCCATGAAGACGTCTAGGAATGAGATACTGTCATTACTTTTTTTCTCTCTATGAATTGTGTATTGCAACAAAAATGCTCTCTGTGTATATTAGAGTAGAGCCAGAGTGCGATGAGGATCTAATTGAAAATTAAAAATATTTCTCCGCTCAATCTTTCTCCTTTCTAAATGTCTAAATGGAGATATACAGTAGTTGGATTCTACATACACTGAGAATTATTACTCTAAACGATACAACATATATAAACTGTACAACTGCATGGATGTGTGTATGCAGTGTACATTGCCTTGTTAATCAATCTGAAATCAATCTACTCAAAGACGAGGATGTGTATCAACAACTCCCATACAAACATTGGACAACCGCATCCAAAGGACCTTAAACAAGCTTACCAAAACTGGACAAATCACAAAACAAGACCAATGGCGAATGAAATCCATTGGACCAGTCCTACCCCGATTCTACGGCAGACCCAAAATACACAAGCCAAATATCCCGTTACGACCAATTGTATCACTACCAGGAACTCCAACATATAATTTATGCAAAGAATTATGCAGAAAACTAAAACACCTAACGGAATCTTGTGATCACTCCATCAACTCCGCTATCCAATTCCTAGAGAAAATCTGAGGCATCCAAATAGATGAACAAGGGATAATGATATACTTCGACGTCACAGAATTGTATACCTCAATCGGACAAAAACTAGCAAAAGAAACCATGGAGCAATTACTTAGAAACGGCAGACACCTTCCACAACAATCAAAAATGCCATAAACAAGCTGGATGGAATGCATAAACCTATGCCTAACAACGTACTTCCAATTCGACGGCCAAATATACGAACAATTCAAAAGAACACCTATGGGATCGCCAATATCAGGTTTGATTGCAGAAGCAGTGATGTAAAGGCTCGAAGACATAATTCTACCAAAGATCAAACCCAAGATTTGGATACGTTACATAGACGACACATTTGTATAAATCAAAAGAAACGAGTTGAACAAAACTCACAGCTTAATAAATCACGTCTTCAACGACATCAAATTCACAAGAGAAGAGGAATCAGAGAACCAAATTCCATTTTTGGACGTCTTAGTCAAGCGAACAACCACAGGGGAATTAGAAACTCAAGTCTACAGAAAATCAACTCACACGGACCAAATCCTGAATTACAACAGCAACAATCCAATAGCACACAAGAGGAATTGCATACAAACACTATTCAAGAGGGCCAGCCAGGACTCATTGCAGCATTCCCACCTTAAGGAAAATTGAAGATCGATATCTTATAGTCACTTTCCAAAAGAATGGATGTCCATGGAACTTCATCAAAAGACATATACCCCCAAGCCAACCTGTCAAATTAAAGGCCCCCAAAGAAAGCATAAAGAAAATCGCCCTACCATATATAAAGGATATCTCAGAAATCACTACAAGACTTTTCAAACCCTTAGGAAGTGACATCGCACACAAACCAACAAAATCACTTCACTCAGTTCTATGCCAACCAAAAGACTCAACAACAAAGGAAGATAAAACAAACATCATCTACAAAATAGATTGTATCAACTGCGAAAAACACTACATTGGCCAAAGTGGACGTCCCCTTCGTCTTCGTATCCACGAACACAAGCTAGCTGTCAAAAGACATGATATCCACTCCCTCATATCACTACATACAGACAACCACGGACATCAATTTAACTGGGACAACCAGCATTGAAATATTAGACAGAGGAAACAACAAAAATGTTAGAGAATTTTTAGAAGCTTGGCATTCCAGTGAATCATCAATCAATAGACACATTGAGATAGACAAAATGCATCGACCGATAAGAAAGAAACCTCAAACACAAAGGGTCAAAGTCCAAGTCAAAGAAACAATGAGTGACAATACAAGTAACCTAGAAGGTGTGAAAACACACAACAACAACCAATCACGTCCAAGGTCACCGGGAGAGATGATTAGTAAACTCGTGGAGAAATCTGAAAGCTCACTTCAAATTGAAGTATGCGCTGAAGATGTCACCTAGTAGGGTGATGAAAGCTTCGCAAATTAACTATCCAGCTCAGAGAACACAACCATATCGAAAACTGTTGACATTTAGCAAAATCCATGAGTGACCTTTAGAAATCACTGAGTTATCTAGTTTTCATGCAGGGAAAGTTCACTGAAAATACTCTATTCTGTGAGATTTTAATTTTCCAGATATATTGTTGAGCAGCAGTCTATACTCATGCTCATTTTCTTGAAGTAGTTTTCATCCTCTTGTTATGAAACTTTAGTTTAATTACGTGTCAGTCCTGTTATGAACTAGAATCGGATTCCTATACGATACACGGAAATTCAACTGTCTTCAGGATTTGTAATACATCAATAATTCGCTCACTTATTTACGTCCTGACTTGAACATCGCGGTTCTAGCGGTGGTATTGTGTTTATACATATATATTTTTTGTTGTGTATCCATGCTACTTGTGCGTCCGTAGCATAGCGGTTAGGACGCTCGCCAACCATGCACATGGTCCAGGGTTCGATCCCCGGCCAGCGCACTCCTTTACCTCGCTAAGCCAAAAATAATGCTGGTGAAGAGGAAAGGTTGAACATGAGGCCAGCAGCAACCCCATCCTGTAAAATAAACACTGCTACAGAAACTACAAGCCACTAGCTTGAAGCCCTATGTTCCACTGGGGAACGTGAAGGAAAAAAAATCCATGCTACTTGTAGCGTCATGGTCCATTGTTATGGTGGTGTAATGACAGCGACACATTTGCTGCACTTTATCAGAAAATGTCACTCGATACTGACATCTGTGCTTTGTAATAGATTAAAGGAGGTAACAAGTTCAAAAGTTAAACATATGTTATTGATTTTAACGAGTTAATCACGGATAGATATCAGTTAGAGAACCATTGAAAACCAGCACCAGAGTACTGAATAGTTGTTTCGTCAGCCTAGTTTGGGAATCATCTTCAGAACTCATCAATCTCTAGGTTTCGAACCCAGGACCTTCCGGTTACGAGGCAAGATCGTATACAATTTAGCCACTGGGACCCGGTTCAATGGCAAGTCCAATTCATGATTTAACGCAACCACCGACTGAATGGTATACGAGCTTGTCTTGTAACAGGAAGGTCCAGGTTTCGAACGCTGCCGGTGGGTGCGTACTGCCAATGATTCCCAAACTAGGCTGACGAAACAACTATCCAGTACTCCAGTTCTGGTTTTCAATATATATATATATACGCTAGTGTTTTCAGGGATTGTGTGACAAGGCATTACATTGAAAGGATTTAACCTTTACACCTCACTCTCTGCAAAACTAATCTTAACTGAGTTTCTTGTTTGTTTTTTCTGTTGAATTCATCTTGCCCAGTGTTTTTAAGTGTTTTTTTGAATTCCTTCACGTTCCCAGTGGAACATAGGCCTTCAACCTAGAGCTGTCAAGTTTCGGTAGCAGTGGTGTTTTTTTTATTTTTAAGGGATGGGGTTGCTAGCCTCATGCCCCCCAACCTTCCCTCTTTATCAGACTAATTACTGGCTTAACTAGGTTTGGGAGTGTACTTCGGCGGCCGGAGATCGAACCCCGGACCACATGCGCTGTGCCACCACCGACGCACGTGTATTTATTTTACCCTTCATTATTTTTTATTTCTTTTATAAAAGGTGATAGATAGATAAATGTTATCCATTCAAGACCTGATTGTTTTCTTTTCAATTCTTCGTCGTATTATCTTGAAGGTGTTAATTTGATTTCGTCTCTGTTTTTCAATTTTTATAGGTGGCAAAAAAGAAAATAAGAAAATCTGTGAAATGTTCCATCTAGCTGAACTTTGTATTGAAGTTTTAAAACAGAATGAACAACATCATGCTGAGGTGAGGCAGTCATCTATAATAATTATTATTATTTCTACACTTCGTGCTCAACTGAACATTTCAGGGTTATTTTGGGCGGGGAGGAGGGTGTATATGGAGGTATTGGTGATTTGATTAGCTAGCTGATTGACACTAGATGACAGAGTAACGGTTTCATCGGTGCAGATTGAGTCACCGTGAACTAAATGCCGTCGATGAACATCCAGTAGTTTACATCCCCTTTCACCCGCTACAACTGCTCGTCAGAACTTCACAACGTCCATTGTGTGTAGTCCACTCATTAGCAGGAGATTCATATATACAGACTACCAAAAGTTAGAGATGTACGACATCTTATACTACTAATAGATTGAGGTGAGTAGTAGTCATATACCGCTCACATCAACCAGTAAGTAGTAAGTCCTAGGCAAGTCGAAGTCATCTAAACAGCAGACATGCGTTCCGACTGTTCGAGGCCAAGCCCATCAGCTATATAATAATAATAATAATAATTTGCCTTATTCCAAAACAGTACTTGTGATATAGAATGGAATTCTCAGCATTTCTACTACAGTATTGCATCCAGTTAGTACATTATCAATAAATAGAATCCTACATAGATTAAGGAAATCTCAGTTCATTATGACAACAACATATTGGCATGTCGGTAGCAAAGCCAAAGTTGAACAGAGTGTTTGAAGGTGTTAGAAAAGTAGGTGCTATCATATTTACTGGCGTAAGCGAGAGAAAGAAACAAAGCAGCACATAACGGGAAAAGAAAGAGAGAGAAAAGGAAAAGAAAGAAAGAAAATGTTGTACCTATAAATGATATGAGTTGGAAAGACGAGATCCAGTTGTTCTACTGACTATTTAATGAATTATAGGTGTCACGCCTAATGCTTTCTTTATCACAGAACACGAGCCAAGTAGCGAATGGTTGAGTTTTTGTACTTGCTGGTGCGAGCATACAGTTTTCTATATAGGCTTCTGGTTTTGCCTGATGAGATGCAAGGGGAGAGTTGTGAGTGAAGAGGGTGGTATGAGTCAGATAAAATGGACTTGGCCCATTTTTCACATGAGTCCATGTGCCTGTCGACCAGAATATTCACAAGCTGGTTAAGTGGCACGTTGCTTACCCTGCTGACAACCTTTAAAATCCTGCGTAATATGTTATAGTCTTTCTTCAGCAGCCCGAGAAAAACTAAGGGGAACAATAGAGAATAATAGGCAGAATGCGAGAGTTAACGAATTGTAGGAGTAAGGGTTGGGTTGGGTAATACCAAAATGTCTTGACTTCTTGATGTAGAAAGTAAGACGGAATGTTTTCTTAGAAATCGCCAAGATACGAGACGACCAGGAGAGATCAGCAGATAGAATGACGCCTAGGTATTTAATTTCCAACTTGGTTTCTATTTCAGTGCCATCTACGGTACACACCTCGTGAGAGACAACCAGTTTGTTTAGGTCGGATTTATGCCTAAAGGTAACATTGACTGTTTGGAATTTGGAGGATGTAAGGTGAGACCGTTCTCCTTGGATCACTGGCTGATTTCTAACAGAAATCCATTTAGTTTAGAGCAGTCACTTTGACATTTGACAGGCAAAAATACTGTCAGGTCGTCAGCATATTTGACAAAACTGATGTCATTTGAAGATGGTAAGTCATGTAGAAAGAAAGAAAAGAGAAGTGGGGAGAATACAGCACCTTGGGGGACACCAGGTTCAGTGAGCGCAGCAGAGGAGAATTATATACGAGATTTGCCTCAGATCAGAGTAATTAATCATTTCAAACCACTTGATTTCTGGTCAGCTACTTGGCTAGGTAGTCAGTAGCGCCCTCAATCAATCAATTGATCAATCTCAATATTCAACTTTTACCGTTCAATGGAAGTGAAATTTCGATCATTTTGACCTGACTAACAAAGAATACTAACTAGATGGTCTGAAAAATCTGAGCATTTTAAAGAAACTGTGGCAAAATTTTCACCTTCTCGAAATTGTGTAAATTGGAAACTTCGAATTCGGTTTATCAATTGTTAGGATTAACAGCTATATGGGACAATATCACGTGCCAGGTGATCCACACAGGGGAAAACTCAGAGAAGCGTTCGAAGTGAATACAGGACCAAAAAAACAAGGCTGCCTGCCTATTACCACTGATGATATTCCTAATTGTGGTCGACTGGATTATGCGGGAGTGAAAAGACTGGAGTACGCTGGACCGATAATAAGACTCTAGAAGATCTGGATTACGCTGACGAAATATGCCATGCGTTACACAAACTCGTAGACTGGCAGGCTGGTGAAAACCAACAAACTAGCTGAAGAGGCAGGCAGTGAAGACAGGACTTCAGATGAACATAGAGAAGACAGAGGTGATTAAGATAATCAATCAACAGCAACAACCAGCATCAATCACCATCAACATGAGGTATTTGACAGACGTTACTTCCTTGACTTATACTGAAGATCAAATGACCAGTCGGCCGGTAAGAAAGAATAAGCCACAAGAATCTCTGGCTGGGAACAAACCAACAGGCGAGGGCCTATTGCTCAACAGATAGGTAGGAGAAAATGGAGATGGATGGATGGATGGATGGATGAGACATACGTTGAGGAGGCAATCGAATGACATTGTGCTCAATTCAGGCCATCATTCGAGTGGAACCCCTTGGGTTCTGAGCGGAGTATAGAGCATCAGCAACACATCTCCACTTTGTTCTATTCTCCGCTGTCCTCACCAGCTGACCAGACGATTGACCATAATCTCTCATCTCCTCCATGCCACACCATCACCATTTTAACTTCGTACTGATGATCTACTCATCCCTTCCTATTTGGATTCCGCTCGAGTGATGGCATGCATTGTGCGCGATAGCAATCGACGGCCTCCTCAAGCTTTTTCTATTTTCTTCCACGTATTTGTTGAGCAGTCGGCTCTCGCCTGTTGGTTTGTTCCCAGCCAGAGTTTCTTGTTGTTGTTAATCTTTTCTGGCCATATGATCTTCACTATGGAACCCGTGAAGGCGGCTGTTGATCAAAGTCTGGAAATGCTTTTCATGACTCGTATCGAAGAACTCCTTCTTTACGCTGAGTCAGTGCAGACGATTTCCAAACTGGTTTCAGGTTGTTGTAGACGTATTTTTCCTTTCCTATTCTTGCTGTCTCGCTTTAACATCTTCAGCTGTTCCGTTAGTCTGTGATTGGAACTGTAGGAGAAAATGGAAATGGATTGATCAGGCATACATTGAGGAGGCCGCTGAACGACATCGCACGCACTGCAGGCCATTGTTCGAGTGGAATCCCACAAGGGAAGCGATGAGTGGGTGGTCAGTGGAAGGGTGACATGGAGGAGATCGTGTGGCGAGGAAGACATGAGAGAGCTTAGTCAATCGTGGACCCAGCTGAAGAGGACGGCAGAACACAGAGCAAAGTGAAGATGTGTTGTTGAAGTCTCATGTTCCACTTGGAACACAAGGGAATAATAATAATAGAAGGAGTACGTTGAGCATATAAGGATATGTGAACCAATTATCTTATTGCCAATCTTCAGTACTCGTCAATATCCTTCATCTCCTATAAGATCTGCGCGTAAAGAGCGTCTTGTGATCCCGCTTTATCGTTTCAGTGTTTTTTTATGTACTTAATATTTGATTCTGATCAGAAGCCGTATCTAAGGTACTTCTCTACAGAAAGCAGTACACCGTATACAAAGGTAAATCCTCATCTACTGCGCTCACTGAAGCTGGTGTACCCCAAGGTGCTGTACTCTCCCCACTTCTCTTTTCTTTCTTTCTACATGACTTAACATCTTCAAATGACATCAGTTTTGTCAAATATGCTGACGACCTGACAGTATTTTTGCCTGTCAAATGTCAAAGTGACTGCTCTAAACTAAATGGATTTCTGTTAGAAATCAGCCAGTGATCCAAGGAGAACGGTCTCACCTTACATCCTCCAAATTCCAAACAGTCAATGTTACCTTTAGGCATAAATCCGACCTAAACAAACTGGTTGTCTCTCACGAGGTGTGTACCGTAGATGGCACTGAAATAGAAACCAAGTTGGAAATTAAATACCTAGGCGTCATTCTATCTGCTGATCTCTCCTGGTCGTCTCGTATCTTGGCGATTTCTAAGAAAACATTCCGTCTTACTTTCTACATCAAGAAGTCAAGACATTTTGGTATTACCCAACCCAACCCTTACTCCTACAATTCGTTAACTCTCGCATTCTGCCTATTATTCTCTATTGTTCCCCTTAGTTTTTCTCGGGCTGCTGAAGAAAGACTATAACATATTACGCAGGATTTTAAAGGTTGTCAGCAGGGTAAGCAACGTGCCACTTAACCAGCTTGTGAATATTCTGGTCGACAGGCACATGGACTCATGTGAAAAATGGGCCAAGTCCATTCTATCTAACTCACACCCCCTTGCATCTCATCAGGCAAAACCAGAAGCCTATATAGAAAACTGTATGCTCGCACTAGGAAGTACAAAAACTCAACCATACCCTACTTATCTCGTGTTCTGTGTGATAAAGAAAGCATTAGGCGTGACACCTATAATTCATTAAATAGTTAGTAGGACAACTGGACCTCGTCTTTCCAACTCATATCATTTATAGGTACAACATTTTCTCTCTTTCTTTTCCTTTTCTCTCTCTCTCTTTTACGTTATGTGCTACTTTGTTTCTTTCTCTCGCTTACGCCAGTGAATATGACAGCACCTACTTTTCTAACACCTTCAAACACTGTTCAACTCTGGCTTTGCTACCGACATCCCAATATGTGGTTGTCATAATGAACTGAGATTTCCTTAATTCTATGTAGAATTCTGTTTATTGATAATGTACTAACTGGATGCAATACTGTAGTAAAAATGCTGAGAATTCTGTTCTGTATCAGAAGTAGTGTTTTGGAATAAAGCAAATTATTATTATTATTGAATGTTGATATAAAACAAGCAATTCGGGAAACATTAACATCACTTAACGTGTTTCATCTTTATCTTCTATTTCAAACAATTTGTTACTGCTGTTGTTATTGTTGTTGGTTTCGGTTGTTGTTGTTTTTTTCAGTCATTTGCATGGTTCAATGATCTTTTCATTGAACATACAGAAAATTTTTGGTATCTTTTTCAAATGGATCTATTTGAACTATTGGATAGACTACCAGAAGATTGTTGGGAAGTATTTGATTTATTTCAGTTGCTTAATAATTATCTTTTAAGTAATGGTAAGTTAATATATAAATTGAAAATTATGTAAATGTTCGATGTATGTTGATACTATTTGTTTTAGTTTATGCCTATGGGTGTTTAGTTTATGTTTATGGGTGCGTACTGATGAAGAGTCCCAAAGTAGGACGAAACAGCTGTCCAGTACTCCCAGGTTTTCCAGTGGTTCTCTAACTAATGTCAGCTCATGATGAAAATCCTGTAGCCAATCAAATCCCTACAAACCGACACTTGAACAAGATTTATCTTTTGAATTCTGTTGCAATTAATGTGGTATTAATTTTTTGAAGTAGGGATTTTGTTTAAGTGGCTGGAGAATTTCATCATGAGCTGATATCAGTTAGAGAACCACTGGAAAACCACCTGGGAGTACTGGACAGCTGTTTGGTCAGCCTAGTTTGGGACTCTTCAGCAATACGCACCCACCGATAGGGTTCGAACTCAGGACTTTCTGGTCACAAGGCGAGCTCTAACTGATGTCAGCTCAGGATGAAATCGTTCAACCAGGCTAATAAATTCCCTACAAAACCAATACTTGAAAATTAATCTGATACTCACTAGCGATTGGCCCTATTCAAGCCGTGACCAGTAGGATGCAGCAGGTTTTGAAGGTGAGGCTGTAACTAATCGGAGAAGATATGGCGAAGTGGTCGCACTATGTCATGAATTGGCAGAAGTTAGAATTCATGGAGTGGCCATTGAATTGGTGGGTCCCAGTGGCTTAATGGTCTATGGGCTGCTCGCTTTGTTAGCAGAAGGTCCTGAGTTCAAAACCTAGCGGTGGGTGCGTACTTCTGAAGAGTCGTAAACTAGGCTAACGAAACAGCTGTCCAGTATTCCCTATTGGTTTTCCAATGGTTCTCTAACTGACGTCAGCTTATGATGAAATCCTCCAACTAATGTAGTATTCCTTCTTTCGTGTAAGTTATCATTACTGTCATTATTTATTCCCTTGGGTTTTGAGTGGAACATAGAGAGAGAGATTCAGCAAAATATCTTAATTTCAATCTGTTCTCTATAGTGCTGTTTAGCTCGTTCCGCTTTTACCCATAAGCTTTCATCTCTTCCCCACACGATCCTCTCCATGTTACCCTAGGGTGCCCAACTGGTCATCTGGTCCCCTTGTGGGTGTTCAATTCGAGGGCCTCTGTGGCGCGTGATGTCACTCAGCAGTCTTTGCAGTGTGTGTCTGAACCATCTATATTTTCTTTATGATATTTTTTGGACAAAAGCCTGTTGGTTGGTTCGTTGACATAGTTTTTTTTTATTGATAATCTATTCTGGCTGGCAACCTGTCTAGTCTTCAGTGTAGATCGAAGTGGAAGACTGTTGAATTCGCCGAAAAGAGTCTCTTCGCTGAACGCCTTCTTTTCTTTTATATGACTGAATGGGGATTTTCAAGTTACTTAAACGTCGCAAGGACCCACGGACGGTGAAGGAGCTGGATGGTTTCCTACGTTACTCCGTCAAACTTGCAGTAGCGAAGACTAAGGTGAACTTCTTAAGAGAGTGTGCAGATAAACATGAATACCCAAAGATGTACTGGAAATCACTCAAACGCAACCACATTCATCCGAACACCAGAACGCTGAGACGACATACGCTAAACAACATCGACTCCATTCAATCACGTATTCCTGAGCTAGAAAGAAAGGTCTACTCACGTGCTTATGTAGTCGAAGACTTAGATCCAGAACTACGCCAACCCTTAGAAGAATATGTAAAAGAAGTCACAGAGAAACAATGCGACAACATTAAATCTGACCTCCTTAAGAGCCTAAAGCCTTCAGTTAACACCGAACGTCCGTTCCCAAGCAATCCAGAAAAGTATGTATTCAACCTCTCAAACATCACACTATCCACAGCTCAACTAGAGGTGTTATCTCTTGGTCCGAAATTCTGCGTAAAACCACGAAGTGTTCACAAGCTTCAATGCCTGGTTCAATTTGAAAACCTGATAAATCAAACCTATGACTTGATACCAACGTCCGATGAGAACCTACAACAATTCAAATCAACTGTCCTCGACTGTTGCCACAAATTTATAAATGGCAATCCAAACGGAAGATCCGTACTAACGAAGAAACACTACAGAGAGCTGAAAGAATTGATGAACAATGAAGAGATTATGCTGATACGTCCTGATAAAGGTGGAGGAATCGTAATCATGAACCGTAAGGATTATATCAGTAAAATGTTGACCATTCTATCTGATGAATCTAAATTCACCAAACCGGCCAACGAGAAAAACATGACGGAGCAGATTGAACAAAAACTAACAGACATCCTCCGTAAACTGAAGAACGAATCCTTCATTACCAACGAAACGTTTGAATCCCTGAGACCATCTGGTTCAAATATACCAAGACTCTACGGACTTCCTAAAGTACACAAGATGGGCACTCCACTTCGACCGATCCTCGACATGACTAATTCACCTTACCACCGCACTGCCCAATGGCTAGCAGACTTACTTGAGCCAATCAGAAAACAGGTCTCCCGTCACTCAGTGCGAGATTCATTTGAATTCGTCAACTGCGTCGAAAACGTCAATGTTTCTAATCGAACGATGATCTCACTAGATGCTGTCTCATTGTTTACAAATGTTCCACTAACTGAAACAATTTGTCACATATGCGAGCTCATCCACTCAGAAGGAGTAAACATCGGCATACCCACCGACTATCTGAAAGAACTTCTGCTGAGATGCACCCTAAACGTCCAGTTCTCCTTTAACAATGAAATATATCGTCAAAAGGATGGTATAGCTATGGGCTCACCCCTAGGCCCTCTGCTTGCGGATTTCTTCATGTCGAAACTCGAAAACACTTGTCTAAAGAATATGATTGACAACTTCGAACTCTACAAGAGATACGTCGACGACACCTTCATCATCTGCAACAACGAAGAGAATTTAGAAGATATCCTGAAGTTCTTCAACAACTGCCACCCTGCGATTCAGTTCACGCTAGAGAAAGAGTCTAACTCAAAGATATCTTTTGTTGACGTTCAACTGACGAGACGCCAACAAGACGGGACATTAAAAAGATCCATCTACAGAAAGCCAACGTGGAACGGACAGCTCACTAACTTCCACAGTTGGGTACATCTATATACTAAACGAAACTTAATCCGTTCACTAAGCCACAGAATACGTAGAATTTGCAGCCCAGACGCCATAGAAAATGAAATGAACACTCTTAAGAAAATCCTCCTTGAAAATGGCTATCCAGAAAGATTTATCACAAAATCAATGAAACCCAGACCAGAGAAGCCGTCCACACCCAGTGCTCCAAAAAGACTTCTCTATATGAACCTACAGTTCAATGGAGACCAATCTACAGAAATACTGAGAAATCGGCTCTCCCGCTCATTGAAGAAAACCTTAATTGCAGCTGAATTACGACTGACGTTCTCCGCGAGACCAATGATTCGTATGTCCGTGAAGGATAAGCTACCGCTGTTGGTCTCATCTATGTGCATCTATCAATTCACCTGCTCGTGTGGAGCCAGGTATATCGGCCGTACTCGGCGTTCGCTATCCAAACGCGTCGACGAACATTTACCTTCATGGTTTTATAAAGAAGAAAACCGATGCCCCCGCAGCTCGATCCTTGAACATTTGATCGACTCTGGACACCAAGTCAAACCAGAAATAAACTTCAAAGTTATCTACAGAATACAAGGCAATCTTGCTAAAAGTGTACGGATCAAACTTCTCCACATCGCAGAAGCAATGGCAATTCATCTGTTAAATCCTGAACTCTGCATACAAAAGAAATTCGTTCATTCATTAAATCTACAATGGACGTAATCTTTCTTAATTTCAGTCTTACTAATTGTATTATTTTGGCTCTTGCATTTTATTATTTCACGTCTTCACTTATATGATTCTCTACCCCACCCTTTTGTAATCTCTACCCTCATTAACAATGTTACTAACTTGAAGCACGTCCAATTTCTAGTCAACTGCGTTACGTCATCCGATTAACTTAAAAATTTTCAACTGTATTATTCTCTAACCCCACCCTTATTCGATTTTAAACACCACTCACTAACACTGTTGCCAACCTGACCTAATCTGAATTCTACTCACTTAATCAATTCTATTTTATTTTCCATCTTAACGTTTGTTTCCAAGCCAAAAAATACTTATATTACATAATTATCTAAACTTTATAAATCTAATGTGCACACACACAAACAAAATTGTATAAATATGCGATTGTACAGCTCAGTGAATGAATTCGCCGAAAAGAGTCTCTTCGCTGAACGCCTTCTTTTCTTTTATATGATAAACATCTGCAGCAGGCCATTGCAAGTACCTTTCATGACACATCAAGTCTCTCAAACATACTGAAGAACTGATTGAGCTCACATTAGGTGTTGACAATCCGAATCTTGTCCTTTTTCCTGACTGAATAAGATTTGCACACTGTTTTTAGATGATTGAATTTCTGTTCACCTTACCCATCCTGTTGTACTTCCACCAGTTTCTATCGCATTTTGCCTATTAAAACTGATCAGGTCAGTTTTTGAAAAACCAAAACCAAAGTGATTCAGAAAAGAGTATCTCTTCGGTTGCGAATTTATTCACTTAGGTGTACAATGACAATTACATATATGTGTTTACATTAAGTTTGTCCGACAAGAATAATAATATGTTAGGGTTATTGTTGTCAAGGCATTTCAAAAATGTGATGAGTAATCAAAGAGCATCTCAAACAAACTACAGACCTTCATTAACATTTGTCTTCTCTCAATACTACTCAAGATCAGATGGCCAGAAAAGATCAGCAACAGAGATCTCTGGCAATGAGCGAACCAACATAGCAGGAACCGATTGTGAAACAAATAGGCAGGAAGAAATGGAGATGGATTGGCTGGCCATACTCTGAGGAAACCATCAAGTGACATCACACTAGACAAGCCATCGCTCGAGTGGAACCCGAAAGGGAAGCGGCGAGTTGGTCGTCAGTGTGAGGGTGACCTGGAGTAGGTCATGTGAAGAGGAGATGAAAACATGTGGGCAGACATGGAGCCAGGTGAAGACTCCAGCAGAGAAGCGAACGCAATGGAGACGCACGGCTGAAGCCCTATGTTCCTGTAGGAATTAAAAGATACAATAATAATAATTATAATAATCAAATTGTAACTAGTGTGTGTGGGTGGTTGGGTGGTTGAGGATTGGTAAGAGGGTAGTGGTGGTGTATTGCCAAAAAATAAAATAGTTATTAATGTCAATCAACATATATAAGGGCTGCTATAATAGAACATCTCGTCAACACACCGATCATTCCATCTCAACAAACGCCTCCTTCAAAAGTGATCTACAAAGTGAAAAACAACCTACCAAAGACAATACCCTTTCGTCTCTTATGTACTGCTGAAGTTACTATCATGGTAACAACCGTGTTGACTTCTACTGACTTGATGTTTGTGTGCTTGTTCCTTTTTTTTAAAAACTCCTTATAACATTTGTAATTTTTAGAAGTCTTACATAATTCCATATTTTCTTTTGTTTCTGTGTGCATCCTAATCACAACTCACTCATTAAAAACTATTCATCTTATTACGTAACTGTATTACGCTTATTCAACTTCTTTTATGTATCGATTAACATTAATAACTATGTTTTTGTGGACAACACATGACCACTACCCTCTTACTGATCCTCATCCTCCCCCTCACACTAGTTGCATCACATTTTTGGAATGTCTTGACAACAATAACAAACCGAGCAATGGCACTAAGTAGCACAAAAAAAAGACCTAAATGATGAAATAAAACAGATAGAAGAATGGCTGCTTGGTGTTAAATAACTATCCTTTAAAATTCATTAGGAAGACTGATAAAGGCCAAAATAAAAATATTAATGGGAAAACTAGTGGTGATAACATAAGTAAGAGTGAATATAAGTCATCTACAGTTATACCTATTGAGGAGGGGAAATCTGAGACCCTTCCCAAGTAGGATTCTCAATAAAGCAGGAATTAGGGTGGCATTCAAACCTACAAACTCATTCACATAGGACAAGCTCTGTAGGTTAAAGGACCCTGTAGGTTGACCCAATTAGACAAAATAATATAATTTACAAAATACCCTGCAATGACTGTGAGGTCAACTACATAGGTCAAACTAGTAGGTCAGGGGTAGTCAGATTGTCGGAACATAAGAATTTAGCAAAGGTAAGAATGGTTGACCCAGAGAAGATGAGTAATTTAGAAAAAAGCTCAGCAATTGCAATGCATGCATTAACACACAACCACACAATAGTGTGGGAGAAGGTTAAAATTCTAAAAGGTAATCTATGTAGGTGGAGAGAGGTTGATTACTGAATCCTCCCTGGTTCATCGAATCTACACCCAACACATGCAATAGGAATGAATCATCACTCATACCCGAAATATGGAAAATATTACTACCAATCAAATAAAGTGAAAAACAACGGAACTAAATAAATGAATTTAGCAAGTCGGGTGGTTACCTTGATATGATTATGAGCAGCGGTAAATTGTGCTCGAAACATGGTCATCAGTAAACATTACTGTATAACACTGTGAGACTTAATCAAAACAAAATTTACCCATAATGGAATAATCCTAACATATTACTATTCTTATCGTACCAACTTTATATATATATATAATTAATTACGATTGTACAGCTAAGTGAATGAATTCGCCGCTGAAAAGAGACTGTTCGCTGAACTACGTGTTTTGTTTCCCTTCTCTTTAACTGCACAATTTTCATTTCACAAAACAAGACATTACCAAAAGTGATGCGTTGTCATAATCATACTTTCGATTGTTAGATTTTCGTCAAAAAGAAAAACCAACACCAGTTAGAGAGATCATTAAATACCAGAGAGTACTGGATAGACAGCTGTTTCGTCCTTTTAGAGGGGACGTCCTTCAGTAGTGCTCATCCACAACCCACCTTGTTGACCAATCCGACACTTGGACTGGGATTCAATGCCCCCCCCTTTGAATTCTAACCTGTACACCGAATGCAAACCACGGACCACATCCATGGTTGGTGACCATTCCTACCGCTAAACCACTGGCGCAAACATATTCTCAAGTATTTATTCCCTTACAACAGATCTTTATTTCATTGTGTATAATATTTGACTATATGTATTTAGCAACCCAGTAAAATCTGAGTAATTTTGCTGAGGAATCTGTGGTTTGCACAGCGAAACCCTCAGAAAGATTCTTGTTATGATTATCTAAATACTTTGATATTATTCTTAACTAGTTTTCTAATGACGCCATCAGACTCAGAGTTCAAATTTTGCCTGGAGATAAATTATATCGATGGTCTACATACTTATAATAAACTGATATAAAGTTCAAGTGTTGGTTTGTAGGGATTTGATTGGTTACAGGATTTCATCATGAGCTAGGGGTCGCGCTATGTCGTGAATTGGTAGAAGTTAGAATTCATGGGCCATTGGATCGGGTTTCAGTGGCTTAATGGTCTACGAGCTTGCCTTGTAACCAGAAGGTGTTGGGTTCGAACCCCGGTGGGTGCGTACTGATGAAGAGTCCCAAACTAGGACGAAACAGCTATCCAGTACTCCCAGGTTTTCCAATGGTTCTCTAACTAATGTCAGCTCATGATGAAATCCTGATATAAAGTTGTTTGATGAGAAGCTGTTGCCATCAGGTTACTGACAAGAGGTGGTACTGTAACGACAGAAGACAAGGGTCAGGCAACAGATCGTTTATTGAGAAAATCGACAGGTATTTTATAGATTGTAGCATTAAGAACACAATATTCAGCGAAGAGACTCTTTTCAACAACGAATTTATTATCAAGCTGTACAATCGTATATATATGGTTTCTTTTTAAAAAAAATTATATCCGGTGAGGGAATTAGGTCAAAGGTGTGATACATGAAATAATAATAATAGTAGTATGAAATGCAATTAAAATATTTGTGATTATAATCATAAAATCTATACACCTTATGTATTATTCTATATACGACATTAATTATTTTGCCACTTGACATTAAACTATGATTATAATCATAAATATTTTAATTGCATTTCATACTACTATTATTATTATTTCATGTTATTTACACCTTTGACCTAATTCCTTCACCGGATATAATTTTTTGAAAAAAAACCATATATATACGATTGTACAGCTTGATAATAAATTCGTTGTTGAAAAGAGTCTCTTCGCTGAATATTGTGTTCTTAACATTAATATTCGTTATTGTTAGCAGAGAAGCAATGTCTTCTGATTGGTTGTTTTCCTGCTGAAGGTTATTCTGTCATCTCTTTGTTGCCATCCGTTTCTTAGACAGTCCGTTGATATATATCTGCAAATCGTATCCGCCAACGCTAAGTCTGCTTTGATTGGTTGCTGAGTTCCTCAAGGTTAGGCCTTTTCCTGGCTTTTTTTCTCATGACCCCGACTTGGGACGTAAACACTGACGTCAGTTGTTGTTTACAATTTTGTCTTGCTGACAGCTCTCACCACAGTATAATCTAAGTTCATCGGTGGCACAGCGACAGAATGCCCACCAACCACGCCGCAGGTGGTTCGGGCTTCGATCCTCGACCACCAATGCACTCTTCCTTTACCTCTCTAAACCAGTAATAAGACTGGTACAGAGGGAAGGTTGAGGGGCATGAGGCTAGCAACCCCATCGCTTAAAATAATAATAAAAACACCACTGCTACCGAAACTTCAAAGCTCTAGGTTGAAGCCCTGTGTTCCACTGTGAACGGAAGTGAATAAAATAAAAAAATTTCAATAGATTTTGATTAATTGTATCATATAAATTGGTATAACCCACTAAACAGCCGGGAAAATACTTCACGTTTCATGAGAAACATATGAATGGTAATTGAGAAGCTGCTGGTTCGAGAATACATTATCATTAACCAGATTTCCATTTGACCTTTATTCATATTATTTCTGTTTTTCTCTTTTTTTTAGCTAATTTATCTAATGGTCGATTTCATCAAGAGTTAGCCAATCGTTTTACACCTTTAGTAGACCGTTATATTGGATTAATGTCTGACTCTGTTGAGCATGCATTAATAGATGGATTTAAAAATGAACGATGGACTCCTGCCACAAAATTAAACAGAAATGAAGGTGAGATATGCACACACTGACTGACTGACTGACTGACTGGCTGACTGACTGACTGACTGGCTGACTGACTGACTGACTGACTGACTGATTGACTGACTGACTGACAGTGAATATTATTATAATCATACTATATTTTAATTGAATTTAAGATTTTCCCGTCGATTGATTGGACCGAAGTGCTCGGTCTCAGGTTGACATGTTGGCTTCTTGTGCAGATGCTTCGACGATGTCTCGGCAATCAATCGACGGGAAAATCTTAAATTCAGTTAAATAATTAATATGACCCGTTGCACAAAAGGTGGCTCTCGTGGCCCAAGTGGTCTAGTGGATAACGCTTTGGCGTTTGAAACTATAGGCACTGGGTTCGAGCCTTGGTGGGAACATCATCACCCACTGGGGAATGCAGGTACATCCACTAGCTGACGAGTCCCAAACAGGACGAAATGGGCATGCTGGTTGATAAGAACTTAGGGCATGCTGTGGATAATAATAATAATAATGATTAATATTATTCATGTGATAATCTTCGCGTCACACTCAGACACACACCTAAATCGTCACCCTTCATTTGTGTATTACTTGAGGACCTGAAGTTTTACATCACTTTTGAATGTCTCCTCAGCCTATGTCCAATCCATCTTTCACATTTTATGAAAATTTTTTAAGCAGTAATTTATTGGCTGTCACTGTGTTTTCCATACTTCCTTGTCACCCTATCCTTTACATCCGCCTGTTTGTTCTTCTCTATCGAGCCAGCACTATGCGTTAGCTATTTATTGATGAAAGTCTGTACCAGCGTTCTAATCCTTTGTGTTCCAAGTGAAACAGAGGGTTTCAAGCTAGAGCTTTAAAGTTTGAAAGGTAGGGGCCTTTATTTGTACTGGGTAGGTGGGGTTGCTACTCCGACGCCTAACCTTTCACCTCTACTGGTCTGACTTCCGGCTAAGTGAGATTAAGTGAGAGTGAGTCGACTGGGGAGGGAGGGGATTGAAACTATTATTATTATAATTGTTTCCTTTAATTCCTAGAGGAACATAGGGCTTCAGCCGTGCGTCTCCATTGCGTTCGGTTCTCTTCTAGAGTCTTCACCTGGCTCCAAGTCTGCCCACACGTTTTCATCTCCTCTTCACATGACCTCCTCCAAGTCACCCACTCTTGCACTGACGACCAACTCACCGCTTCCCTTTCGGGTTCCACTCGAGCAATGGCTTGTCTAGTGATGTCACTTGATGGTTTGGTTTCTCAGAGTATGGCCAATCCATCTCCATTTCTTCCTGCCTATTTGTTTCATAATCGGTTCCTGCTGTGTTGGTTCGCTCATTGCCAGAGATCTCTGTTGCTGATCTTTTCTGACCGGCCATCTGATCTTTAGTAGTATTGAGTGTAGACAACTGTTAATGAAGGTCTGTAGTTTGTTTGAGATGCTTTATGACGCGCAGTGCAAGTCTCTGATCTGTATAGTAGGTAGCACTGACTTCACATTAGAGTTGAAAATCCGGATCTTATTTTTGATGCTGAGTAGTGCTGTTGACCTCCACACAGGCTTGAGAGTAGTGAAAGCTTGTCTTGCTTTCCCGTTCGTCGCTCCTTTGATATCCTCATCAGTTCCGTTCACCTGTAGTTGAGACGATTCTTCCCAGGTAGGTATGTAAAGGAGGTTGTTTCTTTCAGTTTCCTCCAATTTCTGCTGATTGTTGTCTGTTGTTGTTGCTGTTGGTTGTGTTGGCCAGGAATCTTCATCACCTCTGTTTTTCTCTATGTTTACCTGAAGTCCTATCTTTGATGCTTCTTCCACTGTCAACTTGTTGCTTTTCGCCTGCATATCTTCCAGTTTGTGGGAAATCAGACATATGTCGTCGGTGAAGTCCAGATCCTCCAAGTTTTTCCTTAGGGTCCATTTTATGCTTGTTTCCTCATTTACCGTCCCTCTGTTTGTCGCACTATCCAGTCTACTACAATCAGGAAAATCATTGGCGATAGTAGGCAGCCAACTTGTCTTACTCCTGTCTTCATTTCGAAGGATTCCGTAAGTTTCCCGTCGAAAGCTGCACCACATTAGACTTGGTTAGTGGGTATTCAACCGGTAAACCACCGACGCACCGGGCATAGATTATAAATGTGTATTTAAGTGTACATCTTATATTTTATATACTCTGACATACCCTTATTAAATCATCGTACGCTTTAATAGAATTTCTTTCACATATGAACATTCTTTTTTTTTAAATAAGGTACAAAAGAATTCCTACATGACAATATCTCACAACTAAAAATTACACCTGATACGTCAACACGTATTCGCCATTCATTAGCTTCATTCAATAAAGGTGATATTGGAAATATCAATGAAACACGATCGTTAAATATACCAGTAGTAGTTCATGCTCCTCAGCATCCTCCTCCACCTCCTCCAGCTCCGCCTAGTCGTCACATCATCAACATCATCCTCATCAGTTAGATATTGACTGGAATGCATCACTAGTGTGTACAAGTGAAAATTCTCTAGACACGAAGGACAAAGCAAAATTGTCAACAGCATCAGCAGCATCAGCAACAACAACAACAGCAATCACAGAACTTTTCCAATATTCCTCTGGAAATTTTAATATAACCAGTTGTCAAACATGTCAAACTGTTATTGACTTGCTGTGGAGATTATATAAGCTAAAAAGATTTGTACAAGAATTGAATTGGCCACAGGCAAATATAGCGGATGCACTTGATGAAAGAGTACGTGTCCTGTGTGCACAAATGCTTAGAGAAGCTGTAAAACGGTAAGTTATACTACAATTATATTATTATATTTTATTTATTGTTCCCTTGGGTTCCTAGTGGAACATAGGGCTTCAACTACACGTCTCCACTTGCTTCTGTCTTCTGCTGTACTTTTTACTTGCATCCATGTTAGTCCATACTGTTTCAACTCTTCTTCGCACGATCTCCTCCATGTCACCCTTGCACTGACGTCCCACTCGCCGCTTCCTTTTCGGGTTCCACTCGAGCGATGGCCTGACGTGCGATGTCACCCAACGGCCTCCTCAGCGAGTGTCCAATCCATCTCCACTTTCTCCTGCATATTTGTTGAGCGATTGGTTCTTGTTTTGTTTGTTCCCATAGTTTCTTGTTGGTGATTCTTTCCGGCCATCTGATCTTCAGTATAGAACGAAGACAGTTGTTGATAAAGGTCTGCAACAGGCTGTTGGAAATAAATATTCTTTGTGACCCGCCAAGTTTCTGATCCGTATAGAAGAACTGACTGACTTGACGTTTGTATTGAAAATCCGAATTTTGTTGTTTATGCTGAGTGACGAAGATTTCCAGATTGGTTTCAGGTTGATGAATGTGTTTCTCGCCTTCCTGATTCTCGATTTGACATCCTCGTCCGTCCCACCTGCCTGTAGTTGAGACAATGCTTCCTAGATAAGTGAATGAAGTAACCTCTTTCAAATCCCTCCCGTTGATGGTGATTGGCGCTGGATGTTGTTGCTGTTGTTGTTGGTTGGTTGGTTATTTTCATAACCTCCGTCTTGTCTATGTTCACCTGGAGTCCTGTCTTTGCTGCTTCTTCGACCAATTTATCGGTTTTCGCCTAGATAACTAGCTCGCTAGTTTTCTAGCCGGTCCCAAGCCCGGATAAAGAGGGAGGGTTTGGGCGTGGTGCTAGCAACTCCACCCCCAAAACTTAACCAAATTGCTACAGAAACTTCAATGCATAAATGTATTAAAAATACTAAAAAATGTATCATTAGAAGACTAATTCTATCGTAAACACTGTTATTTGTTATTACTCTCCCTTCAGGTTCTGAGGGTCGGACATAGGGCTTCGAAACTACATGCTCTATTTCGTCCGGTACTTTACAGTTCACTTTAGGTGGTCTCTTCAATCGCCTATAAAATCTCATTTCCTCTCCATACGACCCCCTCCCCGGTGTCACATTCGATACCTTTGCCAACTCGTTGTTTGCCATTTGGGGGGTTCCACTTGAGGGTACACTGGCGTGTCAAAGTTACTCAAGGTTCTCCTTAGAGTCAATCCGATCTGTCTTCATTCTCCTTGGCATATTTGTCGAGCATTAGGCTTTCGGTTGATTTGATTTGGCAGAACTCTTCGTTGCCCAACCTTTCTGGTCCTTGCTTCTGATCCCCAGTATTATGGTGCGAAGACAACTGTTGATGATGAAATTATGAAGTTTGTTGGGAATGCTTTCGATGATGCGCAACTTTTCTGAACTGATTTACTCGACATTAGTGTTGAAAAGCCTAATCCTTATGCCCATTGCAGCAGGTTTCCAAATTGATTTTAAGGTAATTGTAATTGTCTGCCTTGCCTTTCCAATCTTGCCTCTGACATCCTCATCCGTTCCGTCCACCTGTCGTTGAAACGACGCTGCCTAGATAAGTGAGAGAAGTAACCTCTTTCAAATTTATTCCGTTGACAGTAATAAGTGCTTATTGTTGTGGTTGTTTGTCGGTTGTATGTCTTATCACCTCTGTCTTCTCCATGTCCACTTGAAATCCTTTCTTCGCTGCTTCTTAAGTCAAGTTGTTGGTGTTCACCTGTAGATCTTCGAGTGCGTATGATCTTAGAGTATAGATCATCTGCATAGAGCAGGTCTTATCAATCCAGTGTATTCCTGTCTTTTCGTTGCCTAGAGTCTGCTAAATAATCCAGTGATCCACCTCAGTATGGAATATCATCGGTGATAATAGGCAAGCAGCCTTGTTTACTCCTGTATGCACTTCAAACGCCTCACTAACTTTTCCGTTGTGGATTACCTAGCACGTGGCATTGTCTTCTAGCTGTTGTATGAAGTTGATTTTATGTATTCTAGAGAATCCTGGCAAAGGATAGAGTCTTTTGATTGTCTTGTGTCGTGAAAATAAGAAAGCCTGAAAAGCAGTGGTGATTATTTTTACAGGATGGGGTTGCTAGCTAGCCTCATGCCCAACCTTCCTTCTTTACCAGTCTTATTACTGGCTTAGCGAGGTAAAGGAGTGCGTTGGCCGAGGATCGAACCCCGGACCACCTGCGTGGCCGGCGAGCACTCTACCACTGTGTCAACGACGCACAAGCCAGCTCCTCTACTGGGAAGCGAACCCGGGCCTTCCACGTGACAGGCGGACATACCCACCACTATACAATCAAGGACAATTGTGCAGTTACAAACAGCGCAATTTTTTAAAGCTGGTTTGTAAGGATTAGTTTTGTTTTCACGAGTTGATCACGGGTTGCTATCAGTTATAGAACAATTGAAAACAGACATTGGAGTACTGGACAGCTGTTTCATCCTAGTTCGCGACTCTTCGGCAGTACGCACCCACGACCAGGGTTCGAACCCTGGACCTTCCGGCTACAAGGTAATCTCATGTACGATTCAGCCACTGGGACCCGACTCCTCAATGGCCAGTTCATGAATTCTAACTTCTAACACTCAGCTGTTCGGGACAGTAACTGCAAGTCTGGTGACCTGGCATGATTCCCAAACTAGGCTGAGAAACACCTGTCCAGTACTCAAGTGTTGGTTTTCAATGGTTCTCTAACTGATATCAATCCGTGACAAGCTGGTACTAACAAAACAGCGAATTGTCTTCATAGTTTGTCCACTTGTCAATGACTGACGTGAATATTGCATATCCCCGTCCACCTTTCTCTGACCTACACAACTACCTGAGAATAAATTAGGATGGGTTAAATTTTAGATAGAGAGTGTTTTATATTTGACTTAGAATATCCAATCTGTTTGTTGCGGTAAGACAGGATGACGTCAACTGTATGAGTGAGTGCATTTCATCAAGTATTAGTCATATTCGATGTGATATTTTCTAAACATGAAGATTTTATTACTGTATAAGCAAATAATCGAATTCACAGTCTGTTAGTTACACAGTTCTAGGTATGAATCTATCACAATTTCCTCCTATGATATAAAATTTATTCAGATCACAATATTTGATCGGTTTGTTTGATACCCTAAATGGAAATCAAGAAAATAAGCATAACTACGTGATGCGACGTACCACAGACTGATTGACATGAATAGTATGGAGGCAATCGGTCACAGGAAGCCTAGCTTGACCTGGGTTTCGTCCTAGCTGACACTCGTCAGCAAGGCGTATCTGCAACCTTGAAGGAACTCATGTCCCTTCTGAGATTCGAACTCGTGTCACCCAGTGCTGCCCTGAAGTCAGAGACGTTACCACCACTAAGTTATTTGGGCTCGCGATTGATCACCTCCCTGTTGGACTGTATTGGATACTTTGATTGGACACTAATCAGTAACACTGTAACAACAGAAGACAAGGGCCAGGCAACAGAACGTTTATTACGGAAAACCAACACATATTTATAGATTTTGATGTACATTATTGTAGGTTAATGTTAGTAGAAAATACAGTCTGTTGATTGGTTGTTTCTCACACAAAGTTAACCTTGCATCTCTTGTGGCTGTGTCAGTTCATCTATATGTTAACTGCATCCGCCTGTCCATCTTGACCTTGTTTTCACATGACTAACATTGACCTCAATTACTGTCAACCGATTTGGCTAGCAACCATCTCTCACCACAACACTAATGTGATATGTCTAGTCCTTTCTTTCATGCAAACTGTCAGTCTTTTCTGTCCTATAAACTTACTTTCAAAAGTTAAAACATGTCTGTGATATGAACTCTAAACAATCTAAAAAAACACCTATAATTGAATTAAACGAAGCATAAAACGAATGACATTAGTTACACTTCGTAGTATCCAATCACAGTACCCATAACAATCCTGAGTGAGGTGAATCACGAGCCCGAATAGCTCAGTGGTAACGTCTTCTCTGACTTCAGTATTGGATGACCCGATTCCGAATCACAAAATAGGACATGAGTTCCTTCAAGAATGCAGATACGCCTTGCTGACTGACTGGTGAGCGCCAAGAAGCACGAAATCTAAGTCCACTGCCTCCTGTCGATTGACTTCAATCATCTAATGCCATCGTTTTGAATACAAATATTAAATGGAAATCTTTTGATAACAATGACTTCTGAAAAAACGAGTATTTTGAAACGTTTGAATAAAGCAAGAACAACAGTGGTGGTTTATGCAGAATAATATGGCATCATCATTGCTTATTTCGTTGGCTTCTCATCAGCTCAGCTGCTTACAGCCTAAATAAATTATTATTAAGTTCATTTACAGGAAAGTTTTAACACACTGGCAAATTTTATATGATATCAGTTGACAGGAAGTTCCGCAATTAGTGAACAGTGCTCAGAAAAAAATAAATTAGGTCACTATGTACCAAGTTCAACTGAAATGATAGAAGCAAGAGACAAGCGAAATTACATAATGTGTCAAGGCGAAGGATGGGTGAGGTTAAAACCAAAGATTGCGTAATCAAATGAAAGAGAAGCTAAGGACATCCAGTTACCAGGCAGGGCAAGAAAAGACTGAAAACTGCTTTTTTTCTGAACACACAAAAACCGGTTTTTAGGCGTTTGACAGAGATTGCTTCGGCAAACTTGAGGAGAGTTGAGCTTTTTTGTCTACTGATAATTTTAAAGGAATTTGAGATTTCCGTATCAAGACTCGTATCAAGAAGGTGCCTGGTAATGGCACGTTTATAAGGGTTTATTCCCTGCTGGAGACGTAGGCTTTTCGGTTCATGTTCAGAAAATCGTAGGTGTGCCCCTCCGTTGCAGAATAGGTTCTGTTAACTATTGCTGTAATATTTTCACCTCTAAAACCGGGTTGAATGAAGACAGGCTTTTTTCCTACTGTGATTTGTTTTATATTTGAGCCTTTACTTCTTCCGTGTATTTTTAGCGAATTTCTGATGGTAAATGTTGTTGTTCAATATGTTTTCGAGAATCATAAATTCTTTCTCTTATTTCTCTGTACAGCATATTCCCCTAGCTCTATAGTAGGGAGTCTTGACTAGTGCTCGTTTATAGCTGTTTAGACAAAAACTATTAAAATGTAGGTACTGTCCATTCCATTTAGGCTTTTGGTGAATTGAATTCTGCAGTTTACTATCTTCTAGGCATTGCATGGCAGTGTCAAGGAAATGGAACTTTCCATCATTTTCATGTTCCATAGTAAATTCAATATTTGTATTTGCATCATTGAATAATCTGAGAAGGTAGGAAGCATGACTTTCATTCATTGTTGCACACTATAAATGTGTCATCAACATATCGACAGTGGGAAGTTATTTCGTCGATTGCATGCTTCAACTTTGTTTTCTCAAAGTTGGACATGAAAATATCTGTTGAAACAGGGCTAATTGGACTGCCCATAGCTACACCGTCTATTTAGCGTTAAAATGTATTGTCAAACTAGAATGGTACATTAGTGGTACACATAAGCGGTAGGCGTTTGAATTCCGACTCTGGGAGTGGAAGAAGATCAGAGTGCTGACAGACGATCTCGATAGTTTCATTGATTGGCATCCTTGTGAACAAAGCCTCAGGATGGTCGGGGGTAGGTGCCTTGCGCTGCGGGTTGGCCACCCTTCCGCACACCTCTCGAAATGCCTCCGTATGACCAGGCGTCTTACATAGCCTCTCCTGAGGAAGTCCTACTCACTGCCTTCACGTGGCGGAGGTGTTTTTCACCAAAGTGAGAGGGCGAAAGCGGATGCCCGGCGCTCTTCACCGAGTTGACTGTCCATTGGATGACAGTCTAGGGGAGATGGCTAAACCCTGATTCCAAACCTCCAACGACTGGCGTATGAAGCTCACTGGAGCTCACCGGCAGACGTATGGACAAAGGGCCTGTTGGATGTCCTGGATGTCTGGCCCCATTCAAAAAGGCGTATGAACCGAACTCCGGTCACCGGGTGCCAATGGATAGTGGACTCCCTACTCCACTCCTACTGCCTTGTAGGTCACACTTGGTTGTGTAAAGGCTAGAGCTGCACTCTCAAACAAAAGGCCGAGCGATTCTGGGGACATCACTCGTATCAAATTCCCATGAAACTTCATGAACTCTCTTAGTTGAATAACCCTGTCGCAAAACGTTGCATCAGATCGCCGCTCCTGGGCAGCGATGATTCGAGATGTTCATGAAGCCGGCTCATCCTCCCGTAGGAGATAGCCGAAGTAAAAAAAAATTGTGAACAAGGAGGTTGCATTAATTGACGCCATGAACTTATTTGAAACGCTCATGTGGTTCACACTTTCAGTAAGATGAAATGAGTCTTTAATGTTATACAAAGCTGGCTGTTGACGAATGGGTTCCAACTTCTCTGTAAGCCAACGGGCAACTTTATGTTGGGAAGAGTTGATCATCGAAAGTACAATCTCAGGGGGACTTGACTTTTGTGTGTCTTTATAAGGTCATACATGTGCGGTAAACGAGATCCTCGGGATATTTTGAAACAAAATAATCTCTTTTCATTTCGTAAATGTTCTTGTTCTTGCTTTGTTCAAACAATTCACTGACAACACAACTTTGTCCATAGATTTCCGAAACTTTATACAAACTAATAACTGAATAACCTTTATTAATTTTGTGCATCGAAGAGGTAAGTTACAGTTTAGATGCACCTGATTTTGTACCTTTTCCTGATTCGCTTTGTGCTCATGTAAAACTCTGTACTAATATTTAATCTACTGTCATTTTAAAGCATTTTATTAGTACCGGTAGGGATAACGACTATCCGCATCACTGGACTACTATTATTTACCGCTGAATATTGAATTCAAAACATACTTTATATAAAAAAGCTAACTATACATTGATATTGTGCGTCGGTGGCACAGCGGTTAGGACGCTCGCCGACCATGCACATGGTCCGGGGTTCGATACCCGGCCAACAAACGCACTCCTTTACCTCGCTAAGCCAAAAATAATGCTGGTGAAGAGGAAAGGTTGGGCATGAGGCTAGCAACCCCATCCTGTAAAATAAACACTGCTACAGAAACTTCAAGCCTTCTAGCTTGAAGCCCTATGTTCCGCTGGGGAACGTGAAGGAAAAAAAATGCATTGATATGTAGAAGTGTCAAATTATTTGAGTTGGAGAACTAATGAAAACTCCTAGGGAGTACTTAATGGACAGCTGTTTCGTCCTGGTTCGGGATTAACTCATCAGAAGTACGTACCCTCGACCTTATAGGAGGATTGAACGCAGGCCTTTCACCTTACTGGGTTAGTGTGTGTTGACCATTCAACCCCGGGGGGAGGGGGGTAATGCCTTGGGGTCATGTTAACGTTCTGCTGAGAGGTAAGTCAGTCATTCAGTCCCTAAATAAGATGCAACAGTTGTTCAATACGCCCTGGCAGTTTACAATTTAGCAAACCAAACCAAACATGTGAAAGGAGTATTTCAAAAATAAATATAAAAACAACAACAACAAAAACACAGAAATAATTTTTTTAATGCGAAAAAATACCAGGAAGTAGAAAGGAGAATAAATAACATAAAATAATATCTCAGTATTGGGTAATGGAAGCTATGATATGTTTATGCATGGTGACAGTAAAGCTATAGTCATACAAGAAGTTATGAAATGATATTAAGAATGTTTATCGCCAAGATGATCAGTTAATTTGGTTGAAACAAACACCAAACAATCATAAAATAACATTTCAGGGTTGTTGTTTTGTTTTTTATTGTCAGGTCTAATGCAGTGTTTGTAGTGGTAGTGTGAGTAATCCTGCATAATACAAAATTTTTAGATGGTGAAAATGGCGTTCACAACCAAGATTGTCAGTTAATATTGCCGAACAAAAAAACACCAACAATCACAAAACTAATAATTACATGATGGTTAATGACAGGAAAATTTTGTAATACTCATAGTGCTAGTATAGTCGGAACCAGTAGATACACAAAAGAAGGAATAGAGTAAAGTACAAAAAAGTAAGCCAATGTTAATAATTTAGGTAGCTAAGTATGTTTAAGAAGGTGTTCACTGTAGAATACAAAATAAGAGAGAAATAAAAGAGCCTAAAATTATGTTGTTAACAACAAAGCAAGTCATAGGTTTCGCGCTTAACATTGTCTCTGTCGTTAATAACACGGGCCAAGTATGGTATCGTTGAGTTCCTGTACTTGTTTGTACGAGCATAGATTATTTTATACTGATTTCTGGTTTTACTTGATGAGATAAAAGGCGAGAGTTGGGAATAGAGGGGTTGTTGGGTGTCGGAGAGTATGGTTTTAGACAAATTTTCGCATGTATTCAGATGCCTATTAACTAAAGTAGTGACTAGCTGACTGAGTTTTACGTCACTAGTCCTACTAACTACCTTCAACATCTCTCTCAGGATGGTATAGTCCTTTTTCAGTAGACCAGGAATGACTAACGGGGAGCAGTAAAGTAGAATAGGTAAGATGCAAGAGTTGACAAATTGTGAAAGTAGAGGTTGGGTGATTCCAGATTGTCTGAGTTCCTTAATGTAGTAGGTTAGACAGAACACTTTTTGTTCAAAAATTATTTCTGTTGTTTTTGTTGATGTTTTTATATTTATTTTTGAAATACTCCTTTTAAATGTTTGGTAAAATTAGTTGCAAATATCGTACCACTAGCACTGTTTCTGGAATAAAAACATGTTTTAATTTCTGAAAGTGAGTTTATAGGACAGAAAAGACTCACAGTCAGCACCAAAGAAAAGACTGGACACATCACACAGGAAGGAGGTCAATAGAGAATCTGAATAGCTCATTTATAACGTCTCTGACTGCAGGGCAATAGTGGGTTGTTGTTCTCTAACTGAAGTTAGTTCTTGATCCCATTTCAACAGTCAGTGAAGTCCATGTAGAATCAATACTTGAGAGCTTATTTGTGTATTATCTCACTTTATTTTATATTTTTATTTTCTTCTAATAGTACACTGATTGAACTAGAATCAATGGTACGAAAATGTTCTAAAACTGTAGATTTAATCCTCCCGTTAGAATGTTATACAATGCTGAATACAATCAGTGAATTAAGAGCTCATCTTTTCATATTATGTCAGCCAGTAAAACAAGGAAGTTTATCAAATAACACTACTACTACTAATAATAATAACAGCAATATTAATAACAATGACAGCAGTGGATGGTCGTATCGTTCACCAATTAGAAATGCCGTAAGTTGAAGTTTTTTTTTCCCTCTTACTTATTGCATTCTACATTTAACCATTTATAAAGCATCGTAATGGCTAGCAGTAGAATCCAAAGTGCACGTTTGCACGTTTTGTTTGAGGCTCGTTGGCTAGATGTACCTGCAATCCCCAGTGAGTGATGGTGTTGCTGTTTGAGACTCGAACCCGCTAAACTAATAGAAGGTGGTTCAAGTTGTCTAGTGAGTAACTTTTTGACGTTTGAAACGATGGTTACTTGATTCTAGTCTCACTGAGGAATATAGGTATATTTGGCTGATGAGTATTAAGAAAAGGGGGCGAATACACATCCCGGATTCTACTCCTGTTCACCATCCATCCAAGAAATTTCTTCAAGAAGCAGTTGTAGTTGTAATTGAACCAACTACCTTTTTCCCTATTAGTTAATTTGACAGTGAGAACGACTGTAAATCTACTATGAGTTTAGAGTTAGTCACACAGCTATTTTGACAAATACATAAGTAGTCAGACAGTTGGATCAAAGTAGAACTGTTTATAGAAATTTATCAGTTCAAATGGTTACATTTTGAAGGATCACATTAAACTGTGAATAAGCCTAAGTACAACAGAAGACAAGATATTTCATCATGAGCTGACATCAGTTAGAAAACAGCTGGAGAACCCCCTGGGAATACTGGACAGCTGTTTCGTCCTAGTTTAGGAAACATCGATAGGTGCATACTACCGAAGAGTCTCAAACTAGGACGAAACGGCTGTCCAGTACTCCCAGGGGGTTTTCCAATTGTTTTCTAACTGATGTCAGCTCATGATGAAATCCTCCAACTAATCAAACAAAATCCCTACAAAACCAATACTTGAGAAGACAAGATAGTTTAGTGGATCCAAGTGAATACTTGACCTGCAGTGTGAAGGATTTTTGGCCTTGTTGCCAAGATTTTCTATATACTGGTCATTAAATTATCTATACCAGTCAACTTAAATTTACTCACATGATTTAAAACGATCGTCACTGACTTCCTGGAGAAGAGGGGATGTTATGTATGACTTGACTACCCAAACCTACCCCACTGAAGGCATTCCGTCTAAATCACTGGGATACCTAAATTCATAAATCCATCTTCATGCATCGTCGTATTTAAGAACAAACAAGTTCAGCGAAGAGTCTCTTTTCAATGATGAATTCATCCACCTAGCTATACAATTACATTTGTATATAATTATTTGTGTGTGTGTGTACATTAGGATTGTCAAACAAAAATAAAATAAAAATCAGTTAGGATTATTGTTTACGTCATAAAAATGTTTCAAAAATGTGATGAATAACCAAGATTGTAACTGGGGGAGGAGTGGAGATTGGTAAATTTGGAAAAGGGTTACGTAATATGGAAGACATCCAGAAAAGTAGGGCGTGAATGAAAGAGTGTGGAGACAAGTATCCAAAGTGAATTGTGTAATAGGTAGAAAGAGTAAATAAAGCGTTAGTTAAGAAAAAGATGTTATTGAAATGTTGTGCAAAAAATGCACAAATAGTATTAGTAACAAAGTAATAGAACTTGGAATTATACTCAAGGTAGAAGAAGGGGATGGAGAAGTCTCTTCGGTGTATATAAATCAGTGTTTCCTATCCGGATAGCTAAGGCGCTGGCAATGCAATGTATACGGAAGCTTACCGTTTATCTGTGAAGTCCATGACCAGCAAAGAACACCCCATCTCCATGCCGAAGAGGATGCTGTACATGGATGTGGTGTTGAAAGGCAACCTTGTGACCGACATCTTAGAGAGCAGAATATATAAAGCCCTGAAAACAGCATTCGCTGCTGCTACATTACGATTGGTGTTCTCATGCCACTCATTGTTCTTTAACAACTCTAAAGACAAACTATCGCATTTGATCACCTCTATGTGTATCTACCAATTGACTTTCTCATGTGTAGCGAACGAGGTATACAGGTCGTTTGATGCGTGTTTTATCTAAAAGAGTCAAAGGAAAATATCTTGCTAGGCTACGAAGAAGTAACAGTGGATCAACACTGTACGGAGAATTCATTCAAAGTCATCTACAAAGTCAAAAGAAGCCTCCCGAAGACGGTAGGCTTCCGTATACTTTGCATTGCCAGTGCCTAAGCTATCCGGATAGGAAACACTGACTTCTCCATCTCCTTCTTCTACCTTGAGTATAATTCCAAGTTCTATTTACTTTGTTACTAATACTATTTTATGCATTTTTTGCACAACATTTCAATAACATCTTTTTCTTAACTGACGCTTTATTTACTCTTTCTACCTATTACACAATTCACTTTGGATACTTGTCTCCACACTCTTTCATTCACACCCTACTTTTCTGGATGTCTTCCATATTACGTAACCCTTTTCCAAATTTACCAATCTCCACCCCTCCCCCAGTTACAATCTTGATTATTCATCACATTTTTAAAACATTTTTATGACATTAACAATAATCCTAACTGATTTACATTTTATTTTTGTTTGACAATCCTAATGTACACACACACACACACACAAATAATTATATAAAAATGTAATTGTATAGCTAGGTGGGTGAATTCATCATTGAAGAGAGACTCTTCGCTGAACTTGTTTGTTCTTATATCCATCGTATTTCCTGCATTTTTTTTGTTTTAATAGTACAATTGAGTTTATGAATCACAATCTGTGCCAAATGGGTTTCATCGACGCCTTCATGTATTTGTGGAGTCACACCAGTTCTTTTGGAATAATTCTCGATGAAGTCTTAGCCATGATATATAAAAAAAATAAAACTTACATCTTCTTAGGTACCACCGACTTCCCACATAAGAGCCGGTGTACTGACAGTCAGTTCTCTTCGTCCAAGGACCTTACCTGTGAAGTTAGGGGAAATAAAGAGATTAATGGATATTTTTACGGCAGGTGCCTACTTCAAGTTCTTCGTATTAGGTGTTGTAATATGGTCAGTAATAATGGATGTGAGGCGAAGTAGGGGAAATCAGTTGTTGAGCTTGTGAAACTCTACCGGTCGATGTGACTAGAGCATGCTGAGGCACACTGCCTACTGTGACTGCTGATGTTCGTTAAAACTGAGAGTATGCTAAAAAAGGATTAGGAGTGACTACACAAAAATACAGCATCAATTTACGAGATCTTTCACCATTGGATTGAACGATTAAGTAGATGAAGAATACATGGTTAGTTAGCATTGATCTTGAAAATACTTAGAATCACAGGTTGAAGACCCATGGAATGTATTGAAGATGTTTGCTCCTCTTTTTCATCATCATTCAGATGCTGAAAATCTTCAAGAATTTTTATCTAGTAATTGTCTCTCTTTTTCCCCCTCCGCGTTGGATATCTTTGTTCATTGTGATTTGATTACATTTCTTTTCCTTGAATTCATGAACGCTTTTCCGAAGTGCATATCAACTTAAATTGCTTCTTTGTGCACTTTTGTGCACTGTTCCACGTTAACAAATAAATGAATAAATCAGTCACGCTATGATTAACAATGACACCTTCTTAGCCGTCTTCAGCTGATCTATTTGACGGATCATTGTATCTACGTTCCAAGATTCTTTCATTGGACACTAAGTATTACCTAGAACCATATGTCTAGTCCTCCTTCGTTTTGGTGCAGAATGAATTCTATCAGTCAAATATGCAATGTGGTCATGATTCTAGGTGTATCATTATTATTATTGTTTTCTTTAGTTCCTAGGGGAACATAGGGCTTCAGCCATGCGTCTCCATTGCGTTCGGTTCTCTGCTAGAGTTTTCACCTGGCTCCAGGTCTGCCCACATGCTTTCATCTCCTCTTCACATGATCTCCTCCATGTCACCCTTGGACGACCAACTTGCCGCTTCCCTTTCGGGTTCCACTCGAGCAGTGGCTTGTCTAGTGATGTCACTTGATAGTTTGTTTGGCCAATCCATCTCCATTTCTTCCTGCCTATTTGTTTCACAATCGGTTCCTGCTGCGCTGGTTCGCTCATTGCCAGAGATCTCTGTTTCTGATCTTTTCTGACCAGCCATCTGATCTTGAGTATTGAGCGAAGACAACTGTTAATGAAGGTCTGTAGTTTGTTTGAGATGCTCTTTATGACGCGCAGTGCAAGTCTCTGATCCGTATAGTAGCACTGACTGACTTCACATTGTAGTTGAAAATTCGGATCTTATTTTTGATGCTGAGTAGTGCTGTTGACCTCCTCCACACAGACTTGAGAGTAGTGAAAGCTTGTCTTGCTTTTCCGATCCTCGCTGCTTTGATATCCTCGTCAGTTCCGTTGGCGTGTAGTTGAAACGATGCTTCCCAGGTAGGTAAAAGCGGTTGTTTCTTTCAGGTTCCTCCCATTTATGCTGATTGTTGTCTGTTGTTGTTGTTGCTGTTGGTGGTGTTGCTTAGAAATCTTCATCACCTGTTTTCTCTATGTTCACCTGAAGTCCTATCTTGTCTGGATGCTTCTTCTGCCAACTTATTGCTTTTCAAAAATCCAATTCTCATTCTGGGTAATTAACCATCGTTGTGTATTCTGATTGGTTGTTATTTGCCTAGAGACAATCAGCAGGAAGCCCTGTCTAGACCTAGGTTCCGTCGTTGTTGGCACTCATGTCATAAGAAGGCATATTTGCAATCTTGAAGGAACTCATCCCCCTCCCGAATGCTGCACCAACACCGATGACTAGACGCACGGCATTACTTATCACCCAGAGACCAATCAAAGTATCTATTACAGTCCCACAGAAGGTCAGTTGACAGCCTGAATAGCACAGTGGTAATGTCTCCAGCTGTAGCACTGGGTCACCTAGGTTCGAACATTATGATTTGCAGATACGCCTTGCTGACTGACTGACTGACTGACTGATTAGTGCCAAAATGTACGAAACCTTCAACCATCTAACAACAACAACAACAAATCATCAAGTGAAATCACACGTCAGGTCATCACTCAAGTGAAACCCGAATGGGAAATGGCGAGTTGGTCGTCAGTGCGAGGGTGACATGTAGAAGAGGAGGTGATGCGAAGAGGAGATGAGTGCATGTGGGCAGAAGTGGAGCCACATGAAAATGGTTGTGGAGAACCGAACGCAATGGAGACGTGCGCGGCTGAAGCCCTATGTTCCTCTAGGAACTAAAGGAGACAGTAATAATAATAATAACAATAATCTAACAACTTTCTAAGATTACATACATATATATCCTTGTGGATATTGGTGCGTTGTTATTAGTTACCATCGTATATTTTCTTTGTTCCCTTTAATTGATTAAAAAAATATGTATTCCCAAAAGGAGATTTAAATCACATCTGAAATTGTTCATGCTTTTATATATATATATATGCTAATTTATGTTTTTTTCCAAAATAACATGCTAATTTATTACCCACTCTGTTAGGTCACATACATTTACCCTCATTTAATACACTGAGTATTTATTTATCCCATCTTCTCAATTTCCCCCTTCTCTAATGTGTTTGTTTATTTTGTTTTTGGTTTGTTTTTGTTTGTTTTCTTCTTCTTCAAGAACCAATTACATATGGAAACACAAGAATTCTTTGAAAGTGTACAAAGAAATATGATGGTTATCATTATCGATCAATTTATGACTGTTTTAAACGGTGTACTGAAGAAGTTAACGAGATTCGATGAAAATAAACTATTGTCTTCAATACTTGTCCTAACTGTAAGTTGATAGGAAAACTATCTTCTTTTTTCATCATGAGCTGACATTGGTTAGCGAACCATTGAAAAGCCTGCGCAGAGTGCTGGACAGCTGTTTCGTCAGCCTAGTCTGGGACTCTTCATCAGTACGCACCCACACTGCGGGGTTCAAACCCAGGACCTTCTGGTTACAAGGCTCGGGAGCTCGTAGACCACTGGCCAGCCAGTCCATGAACTCTAACTTCTGCCAATTCATGACATGGCGCGATCACTAGCCAATGTCTTCGGCGGGTATTTGTCCTCACACCCAACCTGCTGCACCCTACTGGTCACGACTTCTCACTGGAACTTCAGGTGATGAAATCCTGTAACTAATCAAATCCCTACAAACCAATACTTGAACAATCTTTTTTTATTTTGAAAAGAAAAAATTTCTTCATGTTCCCCAGTGTAAAACATAGGGCTTCAAGCATTTTGAGTTCTGAAGGACTACGCACGTCCAGAGTCGCAACTTAATCCGTGCTTACAATCGGTTAAACGAGCTTTACGTGAAGTGCGTCGGCTGGGAGTTAAACTGCGGACCAGGTTAGGCGGGTAGTTGAACCACCCATGCGCTGGAACGACAATGAAATTAGCCTTTTAGTAGCAGGAATCAATTAAAGATTAGAGAAAAAAAACTGAATTTGAACAAAGAAAGAACAACGATTGTACCAGGATAATATGAGCTCATCTTTTATTATTTCGAGGATTCTTCTCAACTGGTTACAACCTGAACGATAAAAAATATGAATTACATTACACTAAAGATTTGAACATACTTTTCCACGATCACAAGGAGTAATTGATAGGAAGTTAAAGTAACATTATGCGTCGGTGGCATAGCGGTTAGGACGCTCGCCGACCATGCACATGGTCTGGGGTTCGATTCCCGGCCGACGCACTCCTTCACCTTGCTAAGCCAGAAATAATGCTAGTGAAGAGGAAAGGTTGGGCATGAGGCTAGCAACCGCATCCTGTAAAATAAACACTTCTACAGAAACTTCAAGCCTCTAGCTTGAAGCCCTATGTTTCACTGGGGAATGTGAAGGAAAAAAAAAAGTAACATTAGTCCGGAATGATTTAACTAATTAAGAGTTACAAACACTGACTATTTATAGAATAATTAGACAATTAGGCTTGGAAACAAAAAAAACATAGTTGCGTATATATATATGTATATATGGGTATAGAAACAAGGTTTAGCTAAAAAGAACATAACAAAACAGTAGGTTGCGTAACCGAAGGAAATGTTTTATCTAATAGCCAATAGAAAAAAAAGAAGAAAAGAACAAGGCAGGGTGATTCATATTTAGATGAGAGAGTAGAGTTTTCTAGACAAGAAAAAGGGTGACTCATGAAAGTTGTATATTTTTTGTTTTCACCAGGGCAGTCTCTTTCTGCTTACATAGCTTTGGTTTCAGTCATTTGATAGCAATTGCTTCAGCAAAGCGTAGCAAGCTGAAATACAGTGTAGAAAAAATCCCTATTTAGACATTTAGAAAGCGAAAAGACTGAACGAAGAAATATTTGCTTTTCGATTAGATCCTCATATCTCTCTGGCTCTACTCTAATATACCCGTATAGCATTTTTATTACAATACACAACAATTTACCAGTCAAGTGGCACTGATATGTTTGTTTGTTAACAACAATTAGTCAGTCAGTGTCAACATGTCAATTGGGGTGGAGTGATAATTAACGAAGAAAATTAATACACACAATTAAAAGGTAGAAATGGTTACAACACGTGGATTGCATGATGTATAATTTCGGAAAGTTGAAGAGTAATGAAGGAATAAGTGTGTGCACAGGTTGATTACGTAACAGATTGAATTTCAAAACTTTAACTATTTCCCCGGCCGACGCGCATCCGATATCAACGGTAGGCCTGCGAAATTTGGGCCACCGATATCACATGCTGAAAATTCCATACCTGTACCAAAAAAACTGTATGGTTCCAAGCCATAATCAAAAAGTAAAGACATAGAAGCGAACAGTATTGTTGTTTTCAATTAGATCTTCTCCAGGCTTTACTCTAATTTACATTTATATATATATATACGTTTTAACCAGTGGCGGTGAGTTTGTGGATCCGATTATGAAAATAATAATTAATGTATTACATTCTTTGAAGATCAGTAACATCGATGATTATGTTGTCTTTATTCCTTTAAGTTCCCAGTGGAATATAGGGCTTTAACCTAGAGCTGTGTTTATTTTTACGGGACGATATTGCTGGCTCCATGACCCCCAACCTTCCCTCTCTACCAGTCTTATTACTGCCTTAGCGAAGTAAAGGAAGGCGTCGGTGGCCAGGGATCGAGCCCTGGACCACATGAGGCGTGGTTGGCGAGCATTCTACCGCTGTGCCACCGACGCAAACAGTCTCTTTTCGACGGCGAATTCATTTATTCACCTGTACAATGGCAATTATATATGCTTTCTGTTTATATGTGTGCATTAAGCTTGTCAGATAAGAATGAAAACGAGTCAGGTTTATTTTTGTCAAGAAATTTGAAAAATGTGATGAATAATCAAATTGTAACTAGGGGGTGGGAGTGAAGGTTGATAAAAGAGTAGTGGTGATGTGTTACCAAGAAACATATTTATTAACACATAAAAGAAGTTGAATAAGCGGAATATAAGTTACGTAATAAAATGAATAGTTTAATGAGTGAGTTGTGATTAAGATGCACATAGAAACAAAGGAAAATGTGGAATTACGTAGGAGTTCTAAACATTACAAATGTTATAAGGAGTTAGAAAAGAAAGAAGAAAAAAACAATCACACAAACATCAAGGCAGTACAAGTCAACACGGTTGTTACCATGGTAGTAGAAGTGGTTGAATGATTTTCTTGTGAATACGTAACTCTGGCTTCTCCAGCTGAATGGCTAAGGCTTCAGCATTACAAAAGAGTCAAAAGCGTATTGTCTTTGGTAGGTTATTCTTCACTTTGTAGATCACTTTGAAGTGATAATTCCATATTTTCCTGTGTGTCCATGTGTATCCTAATCACAATTCACTCATTAGACTATTCATCTTATTACGTAACTGCATCACGCGTATTCAGCTTCTTTTATGTGTTGATAAACATTGATAACTAGTCAATTATTGGTTTGTAAGGATTTGACTGATTGTTTACAGGATTTCATTATGAACTGACATCAATTAGAGAACCATAGGTAAAGCAGTCAGGGAATACTGGACACCTGTTTCGTCAGCCTAGTTTGGGACTTTTCATCAATGCGCACCCGAGGTTTGAACACAGGACCTTCTGGTTACAAGGCTAGAGAGCTCGTAGACCATTAAGCCACTGGGACGCGACTCCTCAAAAGCCATCCCATGAATTCCAACTTCTACGAATTTGTGGCCACCAACGGAATGGTATACGAGCTTCCGTTGTAACCGGAAGGTTCTGGGTTCGAAGCCTGTCGGCGAGTGTGTACTGCTGATGAGTCCCAGACTAGGTTGACTACTTCCACCTGAACAGTTGTTTGTTTAATCATGCTGTTTTTTCATTATTCGTGTTATCACAGATTGCCTCACTTTTTCATCCTTATTATTGATAAGACCATTTTTGTTATTACTATTATTATTATCATTACTACTATTATGAATAATTGCCCAATTTATATTCACCATCTTATTACCCTATAGACAAAACACCATGATTGGTTTATTTTTGAATTTTTATTTGTAAACTTATATATATTAGAGTTAAGCCTGATGAGATCCAATTGAAAACTACAATATTGTTCGCTTAAATGTGTTGTTCTAAATTCCATCAATGTATATAAATGAAGTCAAAAGTTGTGTGAGTGAGTGACTTGATATGATTATGATTGGCAATAGTTTGTGCTTGAAAGGTGGTCATCAGTTAATATTACTGTATAACAAACACTGTGTGATTTATCGAAATAAAGTCTTACCCATAATGGAGTTATACTCTATCACCATAGTGCCCAAGTTTTATACTTATATCGATATCACATGAGTGGTTGAGTAAAAAGACAATTTTCCAGGTGTTGGTTTGCAGGAATTTCATTGATTTCAAGACTGATGAGCCACCCTGTGTGGCTCAGTGGTACACGAGCCTGCTTTCTAGCCTGGAGGTCTTAGATTCGATTCAGAGTAAGAGTTAGGAGTGACTTATGGTGAAGAGTCTCAAACAAGGTGGACGAAACAGCTGTCCAGTACACCACGATAGTTTTGATTGATTCTCTCTAACTGAAATCAGTTTGTGATCAGTTTTAAAAAGACAGGGGGGGGCGAATTCTTCATTCACTTTTTTTGTTTTTCCCTCCTTTTTCTCTGAAACAGAAACCTACCGATGAAGAAGGTCAAGCCTATGGAACTTTTCTTCATGTAAATTTACAGAATTTAAGTGAAAATCTAATCGATGAAGTTTCTATGCTATCGATGCTGGAAGTAAGTTTTGTCCTTTTTGTGTAATAATCCTGCACGCACACAAACACACACACACGCAAGACAAAATGTGCTTTTTCACACATGAATTCCCTGTTTATAAATTTGAACAGAGATAGAACAAACACTGGTGCAGTAATGCTAACGTCTCTGACTGCAGTACTGAGGTATGAGTCGTTTCAAGACTGCAGGTACGGCTGGCTGTGACACGAGTGCCAACAGCCATGAAATCTAAGTCAAGAGGAGTTTCCTTCTGACTGCCTCCAATCATCTAATAGTAGGATAATATGCACCCATTTTATTTCGTCTATCGGAGATAATAAACTACAGTGATTAGAACTCATAAGATTGGAAAATCAAAATTTGAATGCGTACGAAGTCGACTGAAATGATGGTGATGATGTAATGCAGTGAGTAGAATTCAATGAATCAAAAATTAAGCCTAATATGAAGGACAAATGAAAAAATGACTGTACTGAGGTGTGTGTGTGGCGGAGATGGGGACAGAATGATGAAATTCGAGGACAAAGAGTTGCTAAAGTGTGTGAGAGAGAGAGAGAAGGACATTCTGACTACGCGTATGCAGACCATAACGCCTTACTCTACGGTAACATACAGGTTGCCCGAATCGCAGTTAATCAATTGGTGGACAATGTCTATAAATATGGTACATGCTTTGTTCCGTTTAAGTGAAAATTACTGTTTCAAGATTGGTAGGAGCCTTTACCTACATTCACCTTCACAGATAAACCGCTAGAAACAGTCAATAATTTTTTTTATTATATTTTGATTCCACACCGTATTTTCGGTACAAGTATGGAATTTTAAGCATGTAATGTCGGTAGCCCAAATTTTGCAGGCCGACCATTGATATCGGGTGTACGTCGGCCGGGAATCGAACCCCAGACCATATGCGTGGTCGGCGAGCGCCCTAACCGCTATGCCAGCGACGCATAATAGGTTCATGTACCTAGGACGTTTTACGAATGTTTGGTGGAGATGTGACGGTTGAGCTCTCCGGCTGTATACTAAAGGCCAAGATGGCGAAAGCCAATTTAGGACACCTATGCCACCGTCGCTATCCAATATCGGTGGACGCAGTCTGGCTCTACTCTTGATGAAGCCTGACCTCTCAGTGAGGAGGATGTGCAAAGATTCAGCACATTTGACCGTTGCTAATTCCGTAGAATCGCTTGCATATGGAGTTGGTGCTTTATTACATGAACAATTTATCCAACTGTGACAACAGAAGACAAGGGCCAGGCAATAGATCGTTTATTAAGGAAATCAAAGCATATTTATATATTTTCATGTACATTATTATAGTTTAGTTAAGCAAACAAACACAGTCTTCTGATTGGTTGTTTCTCACTTAAAGTTATTCTCTCATCTCTTTGTGACTGTTTTTTGAATGTCAGATCATCCATATGTTAACTGTATCCGCCTACGCAGTCTTCTGTGGTCGGCTTTTTAATCAGTCTTTGTTCATATTTTCTCACGACGAATCTTGAGAACGTAAACATTGACGTAAATTACTGTCTACTAATTTGGCTAGTAGACAGCTCTTACCACACAACTTTAGAGCATAGTGATATTTGTAATTACCTGATTCGGTAGAAGGCTTTTTTCATTCCTTCAAAGTTCCAGTAGGCTATAGATCGGTCGGTTTTCGACATAGAACTTTGCACATATGTGCGGAAGTTCAAATCGACACACCCCCTCCTTTTAGCACACAAACCAAGAGAAGAAAGTAGGAGAAATGCATAATAGAGACGGTAAACAGAGGTGTCAGAAAAAGGAATAGTAATAACGAAGAACAAAACAGTTTAATTGGAAATCATAAGTCACAACGAGTGGATGCATCTGCACCATCCATTGAGAACGATGAGTTTGAGCTATGTCACCAATTGTTTCCAACCATTGGTTTTTACCGTCCCGAGGACCCGAACCAGTCAGGAAGTCTACACCTTCCTACGTGGCTTAGACTAACTGTTGTAGATTTCATTGACTAGTGGCATAGAGCTTCAAATCTCCTAATCTTTGAAGTATCAGTTGCAGTGGTATTTACTTTCTTTCTTTTACGGAGTAGAGTTGCTAGCCTCATGCCGAACCATCCCTCTTCAGTGGGATAACTATCGACTCGGGGAGGTTCATGAGTCCTCTCGGCGGGGATTTGAACCTCGGATCAAGTGAAGCGTGGTTCACTAGCATTCTAACTATGAACTTTCAACTGTAGAAAGTAACTTACATTAAAATATCATTTATTAATTATCTGAGATTTATGGTTTGTCGTAGGAACCTTGTGAATTACTCATCTCGTTTTTTTTTGTATACCCTTGTATAGACATGGTATACACGTCAAATGAAGGCTGTCTACGATTGGCTTATCCAGCGTAAAAGTATCCTACTTCATCCGCATCAGATTAAATTTCTATCAGTTATTGTTAAAGTGAGTTGTACCTATATATCTTTGTTATAATTAATATTATTGTTCACTGGTTCTGTGAATTTTTTTCTATTCTCCCAGTATAGTTCTCAGTTTGGTGCAGACTGAATTCTGTCAGTCTATCATGCTAGGTGGAGGCTCGCCATCACGGTGCACTGGGAATTGTTTGTATTAGATGGTTGGAAGTAATTGGCCACGGAAAGCCTTGGACCTCAAAAAACTGTACATCCCGACTTACCCCACCTACCGTAGTCCGTGGTCTACGGTAAATTACTAGTACGGAATCAAAGCAAAAATCTAGTTCAAACAGGCTATGTGTGTGATTGGCCGGCCTCGAACAGTTGTCCCCTAGGCTATACTGTCAGGCAACACTAATTCTCTTTTTGTTTCAAGTACCTCAAGAAAAATCAACTTCCACTGTGTGGACAGTCAGTAAATTACAACCGCCCAGACATTTTCGAAACCACACGAAACTTTATACATGACTATGAATTAAATCCCTGCTGATTCTGTGTGACCAGTAGTAATATCGCAATCCAGAATGGAGCTCTTGACTCTTCTGCTTCCTCCTCTTGATAAACATGCTCGTGAGTGTTCATTCCGCCGTCTAGACAATGTTCTGCTGCTACAGGCAATGTATTTGCCTCCACAGGAGTGAATGAATCGGTTAGTCGCCAACAGCGTGCGTGGTTTTATCTTCGACGGTTTAGTAAACAAAAGAGCATGTGTATAGAGAAGGTTAGGAGGCGTATTGATGCAGCAACGAATGTCCGTCAACTCTCTCTCGACAAGTGACTTTGGAGATCTTCACCAATTGTATAACTCCCTTGAATTTCTTCAGATACACAATTAGTTGTCAATTCGGTACATTCAAGTTTCACGGAGTATCGCTGTTTAGTAATTCATTAGGGGAAACCTGGATTTTGCCTTTTTGGAAACCTTTTATCCAGTCTCTTTTATTACCGTGGCTTCACTAAATGGTTGCATAATAAAGTCTATGTAGTCCTTTATTTTTTAAGTAGCTTGAAAATTTCCATTGAGTCATATGAAAAAGAGAAGACGTTCAGCGAAGAGACTCTTTTCGACGGCGAATTCATTCACATAGCTGTACAATCGCATTTATAAACAATGATTTTTATGTGTGTGTGTGTACATGAGGTTTGTCAAGTTTAGATAATTGATTAGTTAATACAAGAATGATGTAGTATAGAGACAAAGTTAATCAGACAGCAACTAAAGTAAGATTGAGTTAGTCAGTAAGTTGGATGACGTAATATAATTGACTAAAATGTTTCAACCTAGGTCAGGATAGCAACAGAGGTGATTACAGGTAGAGAGAGACTAAGTAGAGGTGGGGTGGAGAATAATGCCATTTAAATTAGGACTAAAGTTGAGCAAATAAATTGGATGACGTAACATAAATGACTAGAAATTGAGCGTTGGTCAAGTCAGTAACAGTGGTAATGAGGTGTAGAAATTAAATCGGCTGGGGGTAGAGAACAGGAAAGTTGGAAATGTAAAATATTACAATTGAAAAGACAAAATAATCCTAATGAAGAGACAGAAGAGAAAAAAGTAGAATTAACCTGTTGGGTATTAAGATAGATTGCGTCCATTGCAAGTGTAGTGATTCAAGGAACTTCTTCTGTATGCAGAATTCAGGGCTCAGCTTTAACCCGTTTCCAATCCTTCGTTCTTTTGTTTCCCAACCAATTATTTCCGAAGGATTATCAACCAGTTAAGTAATTAGTTGTCAACCCTCTCACCGGTTACGTAAGACTATTCATAATTCTTTCAAACATTGTTATTACTCATGCACTGTGATTTGTTTTGTTACGACGTGAGGGTAATTTTTGTGACTTCTTTTGTCAATCAACATTGTACATTGCATATATTTCCTAAATAACTAAGTGTACAGCTTTGAAGTGATGTTACCAAAAGAGGAGATCGCTTTTCTTACTGATACGTTCTGTCTAATTATAAGAAGTACCTTCATTTTGATCGAATGCATGGAAAAAGGTGGATATGAGCTCAAAGTTATCCGCTGGTTATCTCTCCTTCTGTTTCATGTTTGTTCACGCATTGATATTAGTTAGAGAGGTGTTGAAAACTGGGGTGTACTGAATAGCTGCTTCGTCCCAGTTCGAAACTCCTCCGCAATACGCACCCATGACAGACTGAACCTACTGGGGATCAAAACTCAAGACCTTCTGTTGACAAGGCCAAGCTCGTTTTGCCACTTAACCATCAAGGTTGGGATCCAATAGCCCATGAATTCTACCTTTTGTCAAATCGTAATTTTAGCCCAACTACCATTCAATATGATCGGAGAGTATCTGTCCTGATACGCTTGGCTGGTCAAACCTTCTCTGTAGAACTCTAGGCAATTTTATCCCATAGCCAGTTACTATTGAGCCTAAAAGTAAGAAAATAAAAGACAAATTCAGTGAGGAAAATTTTATTTATCGGCGAAATCATCTTCAGAGGGTGTACAGTGGTATTTATGTACACACAAAGCACACACTTTCCAAACACATCTCTGAACATTATCCGGCATAGTTGGTTAGCAAAAGGATAATGCAAGACAATTACTAGGTCAATTCTCGAGCACTTGGTGAACTCAAGCCACACAGCTCTACAAGGGTCGTCTTTCAAGATCATCTACAAGGTGAGGTCAAACGGTACAAAGGGCGTCAGGTTTCGGCTTTTGTGTATGGCGGAGGAGTTGGCAATTCGTCGATACAACCCCGTATACAGAAAAGGTTTGTCCAGTCTCTTACTCTACCTTGGTCTTAACCTCCTCTATTCGTTCCCTGTGAAAAAGATTTAATTTTTTTTCTCTTTTTTAATTTTCAATTTTACTTTTAGTTTGCTTTTACTTTTGCGTCGGTAGCACAGCGGTTAGGACGCTCGCCGACCATGCACATGGTCCAGGGTTCGATCCCCGGCCGACGCACTCCTTTACCTCGCTAAGCCAGTAACAAGACTGGTAAAGAGGAAAGATTAGGCATGAGGCTGGCCAGCAACCCCATCCTGTAAAAATCAACACTGCTACCGAAACTTCAAAACTCTATCTTGAAGCCCTATGTTCCACTGGGAACGTGAAGGAATAAAAAAACCATGCCGGATAATGTTCAGAGATGTGTTTGGAAAGTGTGCGCCTTGTGTGTACATTTTCACACCCTCTTCACACTTGCCAAATGGACACTCAACTACCACCTTTCTTCTCACTCAATGACAATTGTATTCTCATCAAATTTCTAGCTTTGTGCCATTGAGTACCATCTAATTTACAAAGTTTATTTTTTACATCTAAAGCCACTTCCGAGTAATTATATCAATTATGTCACCTCCCCTTATTACTCAGTAACAGACTACTTTACATCCTACATATTATGCAGGATGTTAAAGGTTGTCAGCAGGGTAAGCAACGTGCCACTTAACCAGCTTGTTAATATTCTGGTCGACAGACACATGGACTCATGTGAAAAATGGACCAATACCATTTTATCTAACTCACACCACCCTCTTCACTCACAACTCTCCCCTTGTACCTCATCAGGCAAAGCCAGAAGCCTAAATAGAAAACTATACGCTCGCACCAGCAAGTACGAAAACTCAACCATACCCTACTTTACTCGTGTTCTGTGCGATAAAGAAAGCATTAGGCCTGACACCTATAATTGATTAAATAGTCAGTAGAACAACTGGACCTCGTCTTTCCAACTCATATCATTTATAGGTACAACATTTCCTTCCTTTCTTTTCCTTTTCTCTCTCTCTTTTTTCCGTTATGTGCTACTTTGTTTCTTTCTTCCGCTTACGCCAGTAAATATGATAGCACCTACTTTTCTAACACCTTCAAACAATGTTCAACTTTGGCTTTGCTACCGACATGCCAATATGTTGTTGTCATAATGAACTGAGATTTGCTTAATTTATGTAGAATTCTATTTATTGATAATGTACTAACTGGATGCAATACTGTAGTAAAAATGCTGAGAATTCCATTCTGTATCACATGTACTGTTTTGGAATAAAGCAAATTATTATTATTATTTTTAGTAAATATAAATACGACTGTGTGCAGCCAGCCTGAGAAGATGATTTCGTCAATAAAGAAAATTTTCTTTGCTGAATTTGTCTTTTATTTTCTTCATAAAAATTAGAGTTGGTTCTTGTAGGGATTTGATCTGCACGTCTGTGCAAAGTTCTACATTGAGATCAGTCAGTCAGTCATTCATTCAATTATCAGAAATATCTTCATTTTGATCGAATGCATGAAAAATTGTGCATATGAACTCAAAGTTTTCTATTTGTTATTCTTTTGTTTCAAATTTGATCACCAACTGATGCCACTTAGAGAGCCTTTGAAAACCTGGAAGTACTGAATAGCCGCTTCGTCCCAATTTGGGACTCTTCATTGGTGCAAACCCACGCTGCCATCGCTTTGAGTCGAACCTAAGATCTTCAGGTTACAAGGTCAGGCTCGTTGATCACTTAATCACCTGGTTTGGGATTCAATGGACCATGGATTCTACCAAGTGTCAGTTCTCGATTTTAGTGCCGTCGGCAGGCAATGTGTTCAGCGAGTATCTGTCCTGACAGGCGTGACCCGGAGCTGGTCAAAACTTCTCCCTAGGACTCTAGGCAGCTTTATCCCATAGCCAGACACTAGTGAGCATAAAAAATAAGAGTTGGTTTTTGTGGGGATTTGATTTGTTGTTTTTTTTCAAATTTGATCTCAAATTGATGTTACCCCTTTTGTCATGATGCAGGTTTGCAGGTTTTCTCTAACACATACTTTACTTTTGCATTTTGATTATTTTGCTGTAGAAAATATTTAGTGCCTTCGAATTACAAGGCTTATCGAAAAATGTTCTCAACACTATTGTATATCAAACAGTAATTCAAAGAATTCAGGTGAGTTATACAATAATTAAATTGAAAATATTAGTTCATGTAAAAAATTAACTGATATCATAGTTGATGTATATATATATAGGTCAGTGATTCAACAGTAGAGTGCTGGCCAACTATGCATGTGGTCCAAGATTCGAGTCCCTACCTGAGCACACTTTTAACTCTCTTGGCTAGTTATAATCCAGACAAAGAGGGAAGGATGGACGTGAGGTGGCTAGCAACACTATCCCGGTAAAAACTAAACAACACCGCTACTGAAACTTCGAAATTCTAGCTTGAAGCCCTGTATTCCACTCGGAACTTGGCAGAAGCCTGTACCCGCACTCACTCTTGCGAGTGAACCGCTTGAAGTTGTTGATAAGTTTGTGTATCTGGGTAGTTGTGTGAGTGCTGACGGATGAGATTTCCAACCGTATTATGAAGGCTAGGGTGGCAAACATCAACTTGAGTCACCTCTGGTGCCATCATGACGTTAGCCTGGCTGTCAAAGGTCGGGTATACAATGCTTCGGTGCGGGCCGTCTTGATCTGCGCCTGTGTAACCTGGCCTCTCCGAGCTGAGGATGTGCGGCGACTCTGCGTGTTCGATCATCGCTGTCTCCACAGGATTGCTTGCGTTCGATGGCATCATCGTGTGAGTAATTCTGAGGTTCGGCGGCGTGTGTTTGAACACAGTGGAGATCACCATTAATTGAGTGTCGTCATGTGGAAACATCGGCTTCGGTGGCTTGAACATGCGCTACGAATATCATCCCAGAGGCTTCCATACAGGTCTGTGTTCGCTGGTCGTGGGACGGGATGGTTGGGGTCCGCGAGATAGCCCGAATCGATGGCTCGAAACGTTATCGGATATGGCCAAGAATCGTAATCAATGGCGAACGTGTTGCAATTTCCTTTTTTCTTCCCTTCCTGATGATAGTTAACGAATACTGCTTGAACTTGTTAAACATGACTGTTTTCCTTCCAGATGAAGTTCTTTATCCGTTCTCTACTTATATGTTTTAATTGTTGTTTTACTATTATTGTGTGGTGCATCTTTCTTGGTGCCATATTGTACCAATTTTTTTCTGCGTTTAAATAAATAAATAAATAAATACGCTGCAAATCACCACTACTAGGCAAGATGTGAAGAAACGTAAAAACGACGAAGTAGAAAAATTACTTCGACAGCTCACTCCCTGTGTATATTCCACAGTCATTCTTTCAAATATCTGTTTGATATGAGTTACAAAGATCCGGATTTTCATGTATGAGCTACACACTTATTGTGTGTGTGTGGGTGGGTGGAGGTTGAACCCAGGAGCCATTAGCTGAAAGTCATCTGCTTAAGCCGAAGAGCTATATCTGCACCCCGAACGTCAGTGAACTCATAATACACAGGGACAGATCCAATCATTACACAACCTTGTTCTCCTGTAACTGTCAATTATCCCCCCCCCAGTTCTGATATTTTCAGTTGTAGTGTCAATTCATGTTAAAGAATGGGAGTACTGAATATCTGTTCCTTCCTAGTTAAGGATTCGTCACCAGAGTTTTCCCGATAACCTCAAAATCGTGATTGAATTGATGAAGAGCCCCGCAATGGGACGAAACGGCTGTCCTGCACTCTTCGGTGGTATCTCTATATAGTCAAATTATGTATTCCTTATCTTCAATACACCGTTTGCACAGATCTTCGAGTTGTGGGATACTTCTGGACTTCATATTGTGTTGCTTTGTGTTCCTTTCACGTCTTCCATGTACCTCCGCAAAGTTGTATCATTCGCCTTTTCCGAAATCAAATGTATCCCCCTTTTATGTGCTGTTTTTTTTCTTTCGATGAACGTCTTTTTATATACTACTGACAAATTTTACCAGTAGCATTCGGCACACTGTGACTGATGTCATCTAATTAGAAGCCAATCACTTCCCTCCAAACTAACACTTGAAAACAGACTGTTACTACTTTGAATTTAGTCTGTTTTGAAGTAGGGTATCAGATTGACACAGCATTAATTATTATTTTTACTTATCAAATAGATACATTATGTATCCCTATGCGGACAGTATATCAATTAAGGAAATTCACCTGGAAAATATTCTCCATACCACAATGGACAGATCTTATGATGATTATGAATTTAAAGTCAATCTTATTATTATTATCGTTTCCTTTAATTCCTAGAGGAACATAGGGCTTCAGCCACGCACGTCTCCATTGCGTTCGGTTCTCTGCTAGAGTCTTCACCTGGCTCCAAGTCTGCCCACACGTTTTCATCTCCTCTTCACATGACCTCCTCCAAGTCACCCTTGCACTGACGACCAACTCGCCGCTTCCGTTTCGAATTCCACTCGGGCGAGGCCTTGTCTAGTGATGTCACTTGATGGTTTGTTTTCTCAAAGTATGGCCAATCCATCTCCATTTCTTCCTGCCTATTTGTTTCACAATCGGTTGCTGGTTGGCTCGTTCATTGCCACAGATCTTTGTTGCTTATCTTTTCTGGCCGGCCGTCTGATCTTGAGTAGTATTGAGCGAAGACAACTGTTAATGAAGGTTTGTAGTTTGTTTGAGATGCTCTTTATGACGCGCTGGCCAAGTCTCTGATCCGTATAGTAAGTAGCACTGACTGATTTCACATTGGAGTTGAAAATCCGGATGTTATTTTTGATGCTGAGTGCTGTTGACCTCCACACAGACTTGAGAGTAGTGAAAGCTTGTCTTGCTTTTCCGATCCTCGCTGCTTTGATATCCTCGTCAGTTCCGTCCGCCTGTAGCTGAAACGATGTTTCCCAGGTCGGTAGGTAGGTAAAAGAGGTTGTTTCTTTCAGGTTCCTCCCACTTGTGCTGATCGTTGTCTGTTGTTGGTGGTGGTGGTGGTGTTGCCCAGGAATCTAAATCACCTCTGTTTTCTCTTTGTTCACCTGAAATCCTATCTTCTCTGGATGCTTCTTCTGCCAACTTGTTGCTATTCGCTTGCATATCTTCCAGTTTGTGGGAAATCAGACATATATCATCGGCAATCTTACAGTTATAATATTCTCAAGTATTGGTTTGTAGGGGTTTTTGTCTCTTTTATTGGTTGGACGATTTCATCATGAGCTGACATCGGTTAGACTATACCACCTGGGAGTGTCGCTAGACAGCTGTCTCGTCAGTCTAGTTTGGAACTCTTCATCAGTACGCAGCCATCTCTGGGGTTCCAAGGACCCAGGACCTTTTGGTTACAAGGCTAACAACAAGCTCATAGACCATTCAGCCACTGGGACCTGATCCAATGGCCAGCCGATGAATTCCAACTTCTGCCAATTCATGACATAGCCGGTCCTAAACCCGGGATGGTTGAGCGTGAGGATAGCAACCCTACTCTGGAAAATCAGTTAAACTGCTACGGAAACTTCAATGCTCCGGAAAAAATATTGAAGATATAATAAACAAACCGTTGCTTTTTTTCGTTGAAGTTTCAGCAACAGTGGTATTTTCTTCTTTTTTACGATGAAGAGGAGGGAGTCACTTACCTGACGCGCTCAACCATCTCTCTCTGCAGCGCACTGACTACTTACTGGCTTACAGAGAATTAAGATTGTGTCAACTGGGGATCGAACCCCGAACCACGCACAACATGAGGCGTAGTTGTGTCGAGTATTCTACCCGCTGAACAAAAAACATGTAATCCAACAGGAGAACTTCTAAACTATAACACATAGTAAAATATACCTATGTACGCATGTATGTATGTATGATAAAGCATCATAACAGAGACCCTGTTTGTGATGATATTAGATGGTGGGGGGCCATCGGCCATAGGAAGCCTTGCCTGACCTAGGTTTCGTGCTAGCTAGCACTCACCAGTCAGCAGGGTGGCGTATCTGCAACCTTGGAGGAACTCATGTCCCTCCCTTCTGAGATTCGAACCCGCGTCACCCAGTTCTGTAGTCAGAGACGTTACCACCACTGAGCTATTCGAGCTCGCGATTGGCCTCCTTCCTGTGGGGCTGTAGTGGATATTTTAATTTGACAGTAGTAACTAGTGTGACGTGTCTAGTCCTCTCTTTGGTGCTGACTGAATTCTATCAGTAGACAAAAGACAAGTAGTTCAGCAAAGAGTCTCTTTTCGGAGAATTCATTTTCAAAGCTGTACAATCACAAATATATATGGTTATTTTGTGTGTGTGTGTGTATACATTAAATTTGTCAAACGAAAATACGGTTAGTAAGTTCAAATGAATTGGATGTTGATAAGAGGATAGCAACAAAAGTGATGAGTTGTCAAAAACGATTGTTAAAGAGGAGTAAGTTCAGGTGAATTGGATGTTCATATAAGAAGATAGTAACAAAAGTGATGAGTTGTCATAAATGATTGTTAAACAAGAGTTACGTAATGGCATGAATAGTTTGATGAATGAGGTGTACTCAAAGGGTGTGCATGGAAACAAAATAATATACAGAATTACACAAGGGTTTTAAGTTAGTTAAATAAGCATACAAACAGAAGTAAGGTCAAATCAAACAAACAAAGAAGAGTTGGGTCAAATCAACGGAGTTGTTACCATGCGAGTAGAAGTGGTTGGATAATTTTCTTTTGTATGCACAGTTCTGGTTCCACCGACTGGATGGCTAGGGCTTCTGCGATGCAAAGAAGACGGAATCGTACTGTCTTTGGAAGGTTGTTCTTCACTTTGTATATCACTTTGAAGCAAGAGGCGTTCGTTGAGATGGAATGACCAGTGTTGACGAGATGTTCGATTATTGCACTCCTTATATGGCCATTATTTCCTTTCTGCAGCCACGCCGGGTTGTGTTCTTTGACCCTTTTTGACAAGATGCGCTTTGAACGACCGATGTACCTGCCTCCACAGCAACAGGTTGTAATGTGGCCACCATTCTAGGTAGCTCGCCATCACGGTGTACATTGTTTGTGATGATATTAGATGGGCAGTCGGCAGGAAGCCTTGGACCTAGGTTTCGTGCTAGATGGCACTCTGAAGAGTGCTGAAGAGTGCCAACTAGCACGAAACCATCTAATATCATCACAAACAATGTACACCGTGATGGCGAGCTACCTAGAATGGTGGCCACATTACATAGAACCTGACTGATAGAATTCAGTCGGCACCAGAGAAAGGACTAGACGCATCACACTAGCTACTAGTGTCAAATCAAAAGAGACCCTATTGTTTTTATTTCTTTTTACAAGTTATTGAAAACATACAAAATAATATATAACTCAATTTTCATTATGTTATTTTATCTTATCTTATTACTAATAATAATGATAAAGGTTGAAGAGACAACACAATGTGTTAAAAAAGAAGCCAGTTCCAGTGGTAGTTCATCCAATTCAAGTCGGAATAAAATATTAACTAATCTTGGTGAAGGATTAACAGCATTCACTGGTAGTCCTATATTCCATAGATCTTAATGTTGTAATGTAATGTAATCATGCTATTATTGCTCGACAATGACAATGAATGCCGACAACAGGAAGAAGAAGATATAGGATGCATCACTGTTTATTGCTTTTTTTGTTATTTAAGTATTTGACAGTATTATTATTATTATTATTATTATTATTATTATTATTCTGTAATGAATACCTTCCAGTACTAGTCGAATCTTTCCACTACACACACATACACACGCACACAAGAGATTACAAAATACACCATCAAGTCTTTCAACTGCTGAAATCAGAAGACGAACTATTTTTGATAAAATTAGTCTATACAAACATATATGCATATATATATATATATATATATATGAGTATGTGCTTATTTATTATATGTACTATAAAAGCTTAATGGGATATGTGATATTTCCTTTGTTCGTTTGTATGTTTGTTTGTTTGTCCGTTTCGTTTCGTTTTTTCTACACACACACAAACACAAACACATAAATATGCGCCTTATTTACTTATTTATTTATTTATTAATTTGTTTATTTTGATTCAGAGAAGAGGAAAATTGAAAAAAAAATGCCAAAACTATTCCCACTATTGCTACTACTAGTGGTATTTTGTAAACTTTACAAATACTATGCAATTATGTGAATAAATTATACAAGCAATGAGTAACTTCTTCATGCAAGGGAGAGGGCTCTCGAGTGGTTGCGCAACAGGATGATCCTGCATGCCAGTCTCGTCTCGCAAGAGGCAAGGATAGGTGTGTTCGGTTCTCCTGAAAATCAATACCCAGTCAATGGGTGTGTCACTGTGGGTGCGTCGGTGGCACAGTGGTTAGGACGCTCGCCAACCATCCACATTGTCCGGGGTTCGATCCCCGGCCAACGGACGCACTCCTTTACCTAGTTAGGCCAGAAATAAAGTTGGTAAAGAGGAAAGGTTGGACATGAAGCTTGAAGTCCTATGTTCCACTGGGAACGTAAAGGAATAAAAAAACTTCTTCATGTCTTATAATAATAATTATTATTATTGTTATTACTTTGTGGGGTTCCGAGGAGCTTCAACGCTACACTTGTAAATTTTATCCTGTCTCTCTCTCCTAATGCAGTCTTTTTTTCTAATTAGCTAGCCTCTAAGATTGCTTATAAACTCCTCAGTTGTCTCCTCACACCATCTTACATAAAATGTCATCATCCCGTGATCCATGTCAAGCTAAGTTGCTTCGCACTATTCGACTGTTTGGCGTGTGATATTGTAACATCAGAAGACAAGGGCCAGGCAACAGCTCGTTTATTGCGGAAATCAACAGATATTTATAGATTTTCATGTACATTATTATAGATTATTGTAAGCAAACAAACACAGTCTTCTGATTGGTGGTTTCTCTCTCTCTCTGGACGTTAATCTTTCATCTCTTTGTGGCCGTTTCTTGAAGTTCAGATTATCTACCTGCAAATTGTATCCGCCTACGCAAAGTCTGCTGGAATTGGTTGTTGAGTCAGTCTTTGTTCTTATTTTTCTCATGACCAATATTTGGGACGTACACATCGACGTAAATTACTATCGACGAATTTTGGCTAGCAGCCAGCCCTCACCACAATATCACCTCTAACAGTCTTCTCAGTATGTGTGTGTTACACTATGAATGCTTTGGTTGGTTGATTCATTCCCAGAGTCCCCTGTTACTTATCCTTTCTTTCTGTACGACTATCTGATCTTCTTCAGTATGACGTCAGAGAAGTTGGCAAACTGTTGATGCAAATCTGCAGTCTGTGAAGGATTCATTAGATTATTGCTGTAGGCATAATCAATCAATCAGTCAATCTGAGAAACACAAGGTAGAATACCCAACGACCAATCACAGTTTAGAAAAAAACTGAGCAAAGAATATCCTTTTCGATAATCTCCTGTTCCGACTCTATATACAATATTATCGATTTGTTTGGTGAGATCAATAGAATCACCACAGTTCAAGAGAGATGCATAAATTATAATAAGCGTTGAAAAATGTACTACTACTAAATAGAATATCGAATAAAATTTAGGAAATTTCAACAACAAAGTGAGGATTATTCAAACCTTGATTGACGGCCAAGGGCAAGACAGTGTCCGAACCAACTTCCTCCTTTTGAATACATAGGTTAGGTTCGTAAAAATTAGCGAAAGAGAAATGATTAATTCCAACGTTTCGTTCGGCAATCTGGTCCAAACTTCTTCAGGGAAATTAGTCGAAATTAACATAACAGAGCAGTAGCACTAAGTAGCACAAAAACGACCTAAGTGATGAAGAGGCGTTGGTATTAAATAACTAAAATTCATTAGGAAGATCAGAAAAGGCCAAAGGCAAAATAAAAATAATTGCGAAACTAGTAATAATAACATAAATAAGAGAGAATGTAAGTCATCTACAGTTATACCATATAAAGAGGGGACATCTGAGACCCTACGTAGGGCTCTTAATAAAGCAGGAATTAGTATGGCATTCAAACCTACAAACTCACTCACATAGGACAAGCTCTGTAGGTTAAAGGACCCTGTCGGTTGACCCAATTAGACAAAATAATATAATTTACAAAATACCTTGCAATGACTGTGAGTGAGGTCAACTATATAGGTCAAACTAGTAGGTCGGGTGTAATCAGATTGTCGGAGCATAAGAAGTTAGCTAAGGTAAGAATGCTTGACCTCAAGAAGATAAGTAATTAAGAAAAAAGGTCAGCAACATTGCACTGCATGCATTAACACACAACCACACAATATGGTGGGTGGGAGAAGGTTAAAATTCTAAGAAGTAATCTATGTAGGTGGAGAAAGAGATTGATTAATGAATCCTTCCTGGTTCATCGAGTCTACACCCAACACATGCAACAGAAATGACTCAATGCAAATACCAGAGATATGGAAGATATTATTACAACCAGTCAGTCAAATCACAGGAGGATATTAAATAATCTTAAAATTCTATTTCAATTCAAATACATCATAACATTCTAACAAGTTACTTATTTTGACTATAAAAACACTCGTCTTATTTCCCATCTGATTGTATTTGATTGATAACACTCATATTATTATTATTTCTGAGTGTACATTATCCCATATTGATTTTTATTCAAATGTCTAATCATCAATTTCACTCATGTATATAAATGAAGCAAGAGAGTTGTGTGAGTGAGTGAGTGACTTGATATGATTATGAGTGGCAATAGTTTGTGCTCGAAAGGTGGTGTGTCATTTATCAAAATCAAATCTTATCCATAATGGAGTTATACTCTACCACTACAATGCCCAAGTTTTATACTTATATCACAACCACATTGTTCACATCACACTCCTTAGCTAACAAACAATCTACGCCCAACCTTTAAAAGTGCTGCCCAATATATTTTACCAGTACTTAACACAAGAGAAAGAGAGAATGCAAACGCCTAGGTAATAATAAAATAATAAAATCGAAAAAGGGATAAATCTAGTTTATTATTATTCCTAATATTAATGATTCAAATTGTCCAAGATTTAGGAGGAAGATAGACATCATTCGAATAAAAGTGCATTGAACGAAAATCCCTAAGTACTCTACCTTCTGACAGTAAACAATAGTTATATTTATATTATTATTATTGGTTTGTTCCTTTGCATTCTCAGTGGAACATAGAGCTTCAAGCTAGCACTAACACTGTGAAGTCTCGGTATTAGTGGTGTTTATTTCTACGGGGTGGGATTGCCAGTTTCACACGCCTAACCTTCCCAATTTGGCTGGCTTTTTACCACCAGCTAAGCGAGCAGCGAGGTAAGGGAGTGCGTCGGCCGGGGATCGAACTTCAGACCACCTGATAGGTAGGCTGGCGAGCATTCTCCCTTTGCGCCACCGACGCGTTGAATGATAGCTATTTTGCTTGAATACTACTCACACTACTCTTATGCGAAATGTGAGGATGCATTTGTAACATTTCGAAGGTATCTTGTTTGACCTTGACATTCTCCGACTTCTACAAAAACACGACACATGAAGAGGGAAGATATGAGAAAACTAGCTGTCGTTAACTACAAATTGTATGCGTTTATTATCTCACGTGTAAAGTGGCAAAATATGGTGACCAATATTGAGGTTAGGCGTAGAGTGTGTGCGTTAGGTAAGGAAGGTTGTGATAGAGAAGATTTGTAGCTCAGGTGGATGATTCTGATGTGGTTGTGTTCTCTGAGCTAGCTGGATGGTTTATTTGCGAAGCTTTCATCGACCCAACACTAAGCGACATTTTCAGTCCATGCACTTCAATTTGAAGGAAGTGAGCTTTCAGATTTCTCCACAAGTTTATTAATCATCTGTCCTGGTGACCACCTTGAACGTGACTCTTTGGTTGTTTTTGTGTGTTTTCACACCCTCTAGGCTACTTGTGTTGGTGGTGCTGATTGTTTCCTTGAATTGAACTTTGACCCTTTGTGTGTGAGATTTTTTCTTATCGATTGGTAAATTTTGTCTATCTCGATGTGTCTATTGATTGATGATTCACTGGAATACCAGGTGGGTTTCTAAAATTTCTCTAGCATTCTTGGTGTTTCCTCTGTCTAATATTTGAATGTTGGTTGTTCCAGTCGAAATGATGTCCGTGTTTTTTTTGTATACAGCGAGTGATTTGAGAGTGGATGTCATGTCTTTTGACGGTTAGTTTATGATCATAGATACGAAGATGAAGGCGACGTCCACTTTGGCCAATGTAATGTTTTCACAGTTGTTACAATTTATTTTGTAGATGATGTTGTTAGATGTTAGGTAGGGAAATGCAGACTTGCGGGTTGGGGCCCACCCTCGGGACTCTAAGAATCAATGGCTGGAGACAATAGGTGACATGGCTCAAAATCGTTGTCAATGGCTTACGCAGATGTATTCAGTCTCTTGGGTAATCCTTCATATTCCTTTCTACCATTACTCATTCTGTTTCACTCTTATACTTGTCAAAACTCTATTGGTCCTCTTCACTCATTTTCTTGTCTACCTTTGTGTGCTATTTGGACGTGGCAACTCGAACTGCTGCACTTCGGTGCCAAGTTCTATGTTGAATCCAGATAGACAGACAGTATTAGCTCTATAAGAAGTGCCACAGTTGAACACCATGTCAACACTAGTCCTACCATGTCAACAAACGCCTCCATCAATGTAATCTACAAAGTGAAGAATAACTTACCCAGGACAATACACACATTCGTCTCCTTTGCATTGCTGCTTCCGTAGTCATTCAACTAAAAAAACAGCCGGTGCTATTGCATACAGAATGAAATTATTCAACCACTTCTACTATCATGTTAACAAGCTTTCTCTTGATTTCTATTTGTTTTTCTCAATCCTTATAACTCTCGTATTTACTTAGAATTCTTACACAATTTCATATTTTCCTTCGTTTGTATGTACACATCCTGATTATGACTCATTCAATAGATTATTCATCTTATTACGTAACTCCAGTACACCTATTCACCTCCTCTTTTACATTGAATAATTATTAACAGCTATGTTTCTTTACTATCGACAAGTAGGTAGAATAGCTATGGGTTCACCATTAGGCCCAATATTAGCTGACTTCTTTCTCGCAAAACTTGAAAACGGGAAATTGAACGACGTCATCAACCAGTTTGATATGTATTACCGATATGTCGATGATACATTTATCTTAGCTGATGGGAATGTTAGCACATAGACGAATTGTTGCTGAAATCCAACAACATCCACCCTTCGCTTACCTTTACTTGTGAAGAGGAGCAGGAGAATAAACTACATTTCCTGGATGTCTTGCTAAGTAGGAGAGAAGATGGGTCACTTGGGAGAAGCGTGTATAGAAAAAGCACTTTCACAGGGCAATACACACACTTCCTTAGTTACGTGCCCATTAAATATACAAGAAATGTTGTAAAATGTCTTGCGAGCACAGCAAAAAGGACATGTACGAATGACTTCTTACAAAAGGAATTTGAATATATTCACGATTCGAGTAGTTTCATAAAGAAACATATGAAAACATCGGAGAGAAAACCTTAGGCTCTGACAGCATGTAAAAAACTTCTATTTATTAAGTTACAATTTAATGGTGACTTATCAAGTGAGATTCTATTCCAAAGACTTTCAAGGAGTATACGAAGAACATTTTTTGCAGCACACCTATGTTTGTCATTTTCTAGCCGACGAATGATTGGGACGCAAACGAAGTATAAGCTTGATAGTTTTGCCACATCTATGTGCATTTATCAATTCAACTGCACCTGCGGTGACAGTTATATTGGGCGTACTACTAGACAGCTTAGCCAACGTGTTAGTGAACATCTCCCATCGTGGTTTGGAAAAGGACAGACAAAAACAATTCGTAGCTCAATTTTGTCACACTTAATTGACAGTGGTCATGTAGTGGATAAAATGAGAGCTTTCAAAGTGCTTCATCGTATCCTACCGAATCTTTCCAATAAACTTCGTATTCGTCTACTGCACACAGCTGAGGCAGGCGATAGGTATTCGAACTATTAAACCTAAACTAAGCATTCAAAAAGAGAAGTTCGTACAGCCTTTATCCCTCCCTTGGCCTATTAAGACATAATCAACTAATCACCTCTACACCACCCTTTGTTTATATTTTCAACCCCTTTCTTATCTTCCCTTAATCATATCTTCATTATAAACGTGTTTCATTTCCTTCCCTTACAATCTAACACTACTTAATCGGTTCATTTGTTTTTATTAGCCTTTATCGACTACTTCCACCTGAACAGTTGTTTGTTTAACCATGCTTCTTTTTCATTATTCGTGTTATCACAGATTGGCTCAATTTTCATCTTTATTATTGATAAGACCATTATTATTATTATTACTACTACTATTATGACTAATTGCACAATTTATATTCACCATCGTATTATCCTATAGATAAAACACCATGATGGGTTTATATTTGTAAACTTATATATATTACAGTTAAGCCTGATGAGATCTAATTGAAAACAATATTGTTCGCTTAAATGTGTTGTTCTAAATTTTACTATGGGAATATTTAATATAGATATGTTAGTGACAACCAATCACTTTTGCTGCTAACCCTCTTTCACGGGAAAAAACCTCATATCTAAATGCGGTTGTACACCTAAAGAGGAAAAAGATTTATCTTCGAAAATAGCCTCTTCGTTAAGCACTACGTGTTTTGTCCTATTGATTAACTTTCAAGTATTGGTTTATAGGGATATTGCTTTGACTGACTGGAGGATTTCATGATGAGCTGACATCAGTCAGAGAACCACCACCAACCAATTTCATCGGTGGGAACTCATAGGCCAATGAGTCAGGTCCCAGTGACTTAATGGTTTACGAACTCGCTAGGGGTTTAAACCCGAGTGGTTGCGTACTGATGAAGAGTCCCAAACTAGGCTGACGAAACAGCTGTCTGGCAGTACTACTCCCTGCCAGGTTTTCCAATGATTCTCTAACCGATGTCAGCTCATGATGAAATCCTTCAACCTATTCATTAATATCTGGGCGACTAACTAGAACAGTTATGTATGCCTGTCTGCCGCCCTCCCCACTCACTCCACAGACACACACGCACATACAATTTGCAAACATATTCCATTTACATTTATATCAAAAAAAGGAAATTTTTATTATGAAGAAATGAATTATTATATATATGGAAGGAGAGAGAGACAATAAAACAATCGTATGCGTGTATGTGCATCCAGAGATGATAAAAGTAACTTCACCGAGGACACTGAGAAAGAAGAATAAGAAGAGATACAAAAAAAATAAATAAATAAATAACTGAATCTTTTCGTATAGACACCAACCAACCACCGCTGATGAGGGTGGGGATGCGGGTGCGTGGATGGATGGATGGATGGATGGAAGGATCATAAAATTTTCCCTTGAAAAGAAATTAACCAATAACTAACCAGGATCAAAAAGCCAAAGGACGATTGTTCTTTTTTTTAAAAAAAAGCACAAGTTATATACAATAAATATGAATTATGAACATAAATAATATATTATATTATATATATAGATACGAAAACAGAAGAGAAGAGGAGAGAAGCGGGGAGAAGCGAAGACAACAAAAATATTAACGTCTTCGTCTAGGTGCTTGACGTAAATTCAATTGTCTAAGATTACGTTGTTCCACCTTCTTAATTTCAATATCTGCTACTTCTAATGCCTCATCAAGTTCATCTTGAAACATTGAATCAGGTAATAGTTGAGTGGATTCAGCTAAAGGTGGAAGACGTCGATGTATGGCAGCAGTAGAAGCATTTGAATGTGCTTGTTTCTTCCGTTGTCTTGTTGTTCTCGCTGTTGTTGTTGTAGAAGCTTTTCCAGACTTTTTGGCATTACTATTATTATTATTATTATTACGACGTGTATTTTGTCGACGTGTATTGCCGCCTACAGGTTCAGATTTACAACTCTGTACTTCATCATCATCGTCGCTAACACCATCATCATCATCATCACGATCATCGTCGCTATTGTCTGTTTCATCACAAGTAATACTATTCAAATTTTCTTTATCCATTTGATGATTACGTGAATTACCGCCGCTTATCTCGAATTCACTATCTGATAGGCATAAAGAAACAATTGGCGATGGAACATCAGGGACTTTAGGCGGTGGTCCAAATCTATGCGTCAATCTGCCACGATTTATCTTAAGCTGTAAACGCGAGGCTGTAGTGTTATTATTTCTCAGATTGCGTTTCACAACTGGATTATGATCATGATGCTGTTCTGATGTTGTCATACACATACTATCACTTTCATCATCATTTAACTCTTCCTTATATCTGTTGTTGTTGCGAGAAGCAGCAGCAGTGGCTTTATTACAATCCAATTTAGGTTTTAAATTTTCTATAGATTTGAGCTGGTCTGTTTGAATTGATACATCTAGATTGACTGGACAAACCTGTTTAAGAAAGAAAGAAGGAAAAACATTTCTAAGACATTGAGAATAAAGCGTTGTTAATTGGTGGATAATGACTAGCAATGGAATCAACCAGGATAACGCGCATTTCGTCCTCTACTCCTCTACACGAAACAAAAAAGAACAAATAAAAACAGGCCGCGTGTGACCGGCTGGCCTCAAGCAGTTGTCCCATGGGCTCTGTGGTCACGCAACACTAGCCTTTCCTCTATTTCAGGTACCTGAAGACTCAACCAACTTCCACGATGTGGGCAGCCGGGAAGTAACCAACCGCCCACACACACTTCCAAGAGCACACGAAGCCTACCTGAGCATCACTCTCCCTTACTCACATCACTTTCCTCATCTTGCTTCTCTAATACAGTTAGCACTATTCTGCAGGCTAGTGAGTCATCTTCACTTTACTCTGCGACCACAAACAACGATGAGAGCCATAGAAACACCCCAGATAGCCTTTTAAAGCCACGTTGCCAACTTTATATAGGAGCTTTCAACGTCAGGACCCTCTGCCAAATCACTAGCAAGAACTCTGAAATCTAGAGCCATGGATGTATGTTGTGTTTCGGAGACACGCATACAAGACCCGAGTGTGGTCATTCACTTGATCTCACACTGTCAAAAAATTCACTTTAAGGGTGTCGGGAGACCCCTCAGCTAGCTCACAAGGACTCGCAGGTGTAGGGATAGCACTGAGTGTTAGGGCGGAAAAATCACTCCTTGACTGGATCCCAGCAGATAGTCGTATGTGTGCGGTCCGTCTGAACGGGTCCGTTAAAAGAAGGAAAGACGGCGCTACCCGTCGTTGCCTTTTCGTAGTCGTAGGCTTGGGGCTTGTCGGCTAGTGGTTGTACCCGGGATTCCCCTGTGAGTGAGTGAGTGATGGTGTTCCCACGGAGACCCGAACCCTGTGCACATAGTTTCAAACGCCAAAGCGTTATCCCCACTAGACAACTTGGGCCACGACAGCCACCACATCTTGTGCAACAGGTCATATTTATTATTTATTTAATTGAATTTTAGATTTTTCCGTCGACATGACAACACCTGAGGCCGAACACTTCGGTTCAGTCAGTCGCTGGGAAAATTCAAAATTGAATTAAAGAAACCGTTGTGTGTTAATAAAGCAGGATTACCTGAATTCATTACAAAAATGTGCGTAAAAACTCTTCAGTTAGTGAATACTCTTTGTGATACATTTAGGAGATATATGACTATAAGATAGGTGGAGGCGTAATCGGCGGGAAGCTCCGCTGCGATACATAGGTTTCGTGCTAGTTGGCACTCACCAACCAATCAGTAAGGTGCATATGTAACCTGCAAGGGACACATGTCTCTCCTGAGACGACGTTACCATTCAGCTATTTCAGCTCGCAACTCACCCCCTATAGGACGGTATTGGATACTTTGATTGGGCAGTAGTAAGTAACTAGTGTAATTTATATATATATATATATAGCCTTTTTGAAATAGTTTGTATCTAACAAGACTCTTAAAGCGTATATACTGTCGCGTCTATGAATACCTGTAAAATTTAAATCTTTCTGTCTGTCTGTCTGTCTGTCTGTCTGTTTTCGACATAGAACTTTGCACATATGTGCGGCAGTTCAAGTCGCCACAATCCATGTAGCACGCAAAGCAAGAGAAGGAAGTAGAAGAAATGCAAAATATAGACAGTAAACAGAGGTATGAGACAAAGGAATAGTAATAACGGAGAACAAAACAGTTTAACTGGAAATGATAAGTCACAAGGAGTGGATGCATCTGCGCCACTGAGAACGATTTTGAGCCATGTCACCAATCGTTTCCAACCATTGGTTTTTACCATCCCGAGGGCCCCAACCAGGAAGTCTACATCTTCCTACGTGGCTTAGATTAACTGTTGTGGATTTCATTGATTGGTGCCATGTTTTGGTTTGACCACCGCTAGCTCTTTTCCAGCCTGACCCTATATCAGCTAACATTGCCCGTCGAGGAAGGCGATGACTAGGCATACGTAGCACATGTCCTAACCATCTCAGTCGATGCAATTTCACAGTCTCGTCGATTGATTTCCCCGCCTTACCTAGCACTCGACGCCTAACCTCAATATTGCTCACCTTATTATTCCACTTCACGCGGGAGATAGAACGCAGACACCTATGATCGAAGACAGCTAATCTTTTCATATCTTCTGCTCTCAATGGCCAGGTCTCACAGCCATAAAGGAGGACGGAGCGGACTGTTGAGCAGTACACACGCCCTTTGGTCGATAGTCGGATATCGCGTCTACGCCAGAGACGGCGAAAACTGGCGAATGCGAACCTAGCCCTCTGTATTCGTGCTGAAATTTCGTCGGAGATCAACCCGTTGGGGCTGATGGTACTTCCCAAGTAAGTGAAGCGGTCAACGTGTTCTACCACTTCACTTCCTATTTCTAATCTAGGGGTCGATGAAGTCCAATCCTGCAGCATCATCTTACATTTTATAGGGGCGAATCGCATGCCAAACATGCGGAGGTTGTTGCTCAGGGTGTTCAGTAGACTCTGCATTTTGTCAGAGTCCTCGCCTAGAAGGACTATATCGTCCGCATATTCTAAGTCAACGAGATTCTTCCCTGGTAGCAAGTCAATCCCTGAGTCGCTGAAGTGAGTTAGGGTTAAGTCCATTAGTACATCTATGATGAAATTGAATAGGAATGGGGATAATGGGCATCCTTGACGGACGCCACTAGTCGTCACCACTTCAGATGACAACTCGCCATAAGCCCTCACCTGGCTGCATGAGTACGAGTAGAGTGCCTTAATCAGTGCAATGTATTTTCTTGGCATTCCCTTTACAGCCAAGCATCGCCAGAGAACCTCCCGGTCGACGGAATCGAATGCCGCCTTTAGGTCAAGAAATATAATGATTGTCGGACGCCGGTAGGAATGCCTATGTTCTAGAATCTGTCGAAGGGTGAAGATGTGATCAATACACCCTCTACCTGGCCTAAAACCTGCCTGGTTTTCTCGTGTTTGTGTCTCCCGAGCACCACTTAATCTACGCAGTATTATTGAGCCTAGGATTTTAGATACTATATTAGTCAAGCTAATCCCTCTGTGATTATCACAAGACGACTTGTCCCCCTTCTTGTATATCGGGATGATCAGTGACTTACACCAACCCGATGGGACTTCCTCTGATTCCCAGACGCTGCCTAGAACCTCCGTTAACGCAGACAGTAAACTGTCGCCTCCGTACTTAAATACCTCTGGAGTCAATAAATCAGGTCCCGCTGCTTTGCCTAGCTTCAGATTGGTGACAGCTTTAGTAACCTCGGTTAAGGACGGAGGACCTGTGTCTATCTCCCATTCAGGGAGGTGCTGGATGTCCGGTAGGTTAAGTGTGGCTGTGGGCCAATTAAACTGCTCCTCATAGTGTTCTTTCCAGCGCTCCAGACGTCTATCCTGGGAGCTAATTATGGTGCCATTTTTCTCGGAGATTGTTTCGCTTATCATTTGTTTTTTACCACCTGTTTCCCTGATAAGCCTGAATAGTTGTCTGGTGTTGCCTATCGCCGATGCTTTTTCCATCTCTTTCGCCTTTGTCAACCACCACTGTTCACGGTCCTTGCGGAGACTTTTCGTAAGTTTCCTCTTGTGCAGCTTTCGCTCCTCATTGAATTCGGAGCTCGCCGGAATAAGTCTTCTAGCATCTATCAGTTCGGATGAGGCAGTCGAAATCCAATGGTTTTTACTCACCTTTGGATTTACCTTATTCACAGCTTTTACAGCTGTATCTATGGCTGACTGAATATTCTTCCAGGCTTCTTCAGGGTGAGCGCAGCTGTCAAACTCAGATATGTGTTTAGCTAGTTCTTCCTCAAATAGGGACTTAGTTCCCTGGTCGAGCTGGGGACGTGGTGGGTTTACCGCCAGCTGTTTCCTACGTCCGTTCAGTCGTAAGCACACACGAGCGCGGACCAGTGCGTGATCGGTATCTACACACGTGTTCCAGAAGGAGCGACAATCTCCTACCGACCCACGCCAACGATAGCTTATTGCTATGTGGTCTATTTGTGTCCAGCGTTGATTTGATGATGGTGGTCGCCAGGTCAAACAGTGTCTCTCCTTGTGTTTGAAGTTAGTGCTTACAAGATACAAATGATTATCTGAACAGAACTGTAGGAGACGGTCACCGTTGTCGGTTCGCTGGCACGGAATTCCGTATGTGCCACCAACATTCTTCTCAGATTGACACAATTTCCCTACTTGAGCATTAAAGTCACCAGCTAAAACGACTATATCTGAGCGTTTAGCCTTTCGCAGCAAACTGGACAGCTTTTGGTAGAACTCATCCTTCGTTTCATCCGAACTGCAGTCAGTGGGGGCGTAGGCGGAGATTACGAAAAGGCATCGGCGAGTAGTGCAGTCCTTTCTCCTTTTCACTGATCCGTTCAGGCGGACAGCGCACATTCGGCTATCTACCGGGATCCAGTCAAGTAATGTCTTTTCTGCTCTAGTACTTAAAGCTATCCCAACACCAGCTAATCCTCGTGAGCTAGCCGTCGCATCTCCTGACACCCTCAAGGTGAATTTTGCAGATTCATCCTGTTGGCCAGGTGGGGTTAGGTGAATAACCACACTTGGGTCTTGTATGCGTGTTTCTGAAACACAACATACATCAATGGCTCGGGATGCCAGAGTCTTGGCTAGTGATGCTTGTTGTCCTATTTGGCAAAGTGTCCTAACATTAAATGCTCCTATATAAAATTGGTGGCGTGGCTTTAGGAGACCATCAGTGGTGGCTTTTTGGCTTCCATCGTTATCAGTGCACACAGAGTGAAGGGGAAGTGAAGAGCCAACAAGTAGAGGAGTTGCATTAGTAGAAGGAAGGCAAGATAATAGAGATGAAGATGAAGACAAAGATGAGCGAGGATTAGAGGGGTTTCGCGTGCACTTCGGATTGTGAGGGCGATTGTTACTTCCCGGCTGCCCACACCGTGGAAGTTGGTTGCGTGACCGCAGAGCCCAGGGGACAACTGCTTGAGGCCGGTCACACACGGCCTGTTTTTGTTTGTTCTTTTTTATTTGGTGTGTCTCAGTAGCGTATTTATCACTTCTGCCCTGTGACACGGCAGCAGAAAGCGCGGTCGTTGTTAATCCGGGCCCCGACCGATCCGGCATGATATTTTGTGATTTATTTGAAATCATAGGATTGGATTGGGTAACTGCTTTTAGTCTAACTGCTATCCAAACAACCTTTCTGGCATGGTAGGACCTGCAGGAACATAAGTTCCAGCCAGTATAGCTTGTTGGGTCATTGCAGTGTTCAAGCCCGACCACCACGTCAAGGTAGCAGCTATCGGTCGGGTAATCTTTCTATTGTGTAACTAATCCTCCCCCCCAGTGAAACGTCAAGGAAACCAATGGTATCATTAGACACAAATGATATATAGTCAGATATGTCACATGATTATGGTGAGATTGGATCAAGGTCAGTCTGGTTATCTTCTGGTGGGGCCATAATCCCCCCCACCCTTCTAGTGCACATATATGAAACTACTTCAAGTTTGAGCACGCATTGAAAACCACCAGGGAGTACTAGACGAATCAGAAATTGATAAAAGTTAGAATTCACGGGCCATTGAGTCGGGTGGGTTCCAATGGCTGAATGGTCTATGAGCTCACCGTATGACAGTGAGGTCCTGGTTTCGAAAGCAGATGGGTACGGTATTGCCGATGAGTCCTAAACTAGGACGAAGGCCTTGAATCTAGGTTTTGTGCTTGTTGGCACTTGCTATCAAGTCGTATCTGCAATCTTGAAGGAAATTTTTGTCCTATCTGAAATTTGAACTCTGACCACAGAGTGCTACAGTCAGAAACATTACCACTAAGCTATTCGGGCTGGTGATCGACACCCTGTAAGACTCCGAAGGATACTTTCATTAGACACTAGGTATTAAGCAATGTATCATGCATCCATACGATATTCCTCTATCTCCCAAAAGTTATACCTTATCACACTATATTGTAGTGGGTAACTCCTGAGCGAAGAGATATGAGCTCCCTCAAGATTTCAGATAAGCTCTTCAGACTGATGATTGCCAAAAAATACGAAACCGATGTCAAGTAGGGTTTCCTGCCGGTTGCTTCCAGCCATCTGATACCAACCATTCACAGTGCACTGTGATAGCGAACCACTTAGCATAACGGCTATATATAGAGAAGATGACTTATAGAACTCAGTCTGCACCAGCACCAAGTACTAGATGCATACCATTGGCAACTACCAAGTATCCAATCAAAGAGGATAAAGACAATCTTTCCTACACTTATCAAGAATTGAGTTTGTGGCACATGGCAACGATAAAAGACAACACACAGTGGAACTCAGTTCATCAATCATTAAAAAACACGGGGGAAGTTGAAAGACAGAGGAATTTAACTCATGACAATACACTAGATGTCAAAAATGAATGTTTACATCAATCGATAAAAAAAAACAACAGCAACTGTACTCAGTCTTCCTAAAAATCAACAAGAACTCCTTTTGCAGGCAAAGAAAAAACAATATTCCATATTAGTTTGTTTATTAGATGTTATATCACACAGTCAGTGAAACAGTATTATTATTTACTGGATGACACAGTTTATTCCTGTTCATAATCATATCAATTGTAATCACACAACTTAGAAACTTGAGTTTTATAGTTTTCTTTGTTTTCTCCTATTTGTCGTCTTAGGGGTAGTAGAATTTTCCAGATATCTGGGTGGACAGGTGTTGAATCATTCCTATTACATGTATTCTCTTCAGTTGATTCGATAAACAAAGCTTCTGCTGTCATCAGTCTCTCCCCTTATCCTGTGACATTAGATCTTATAACTGTCATCCTATCCCATCCTATTGTATGGTTGTGTGTAAGTGCATTTAGTGAGTGCTATAGCTGTACTATTCTCTAGATTTCTTATCTTATTTGGGTCAACTAATCTAGATTTTGCTGGTAGGTTTTTGTGCTCGGCTAGTCTGACTGACTCACCTCGTTCTACTAATTTGACCTATGTATTTGACCTGAAAATCATTCCAGAAGGGTATTAGATAAACTAAATTTTGTTTTAAAGGCTCCACAGGATTCATCCCTTAACCGACAAAGGTTGTTTCTAACTGAGTATGTGGGTGGTTTTGAATCCCGGCCACTTTGATTCCTGCCTTGTTGAGAATTCTGAATAAGGTTTCCGAGTTTCCTTCCTTGTATGGAATTAATACGGATGATTTAGATTCCTTATTGTTGGTGTTTTCTTGCGCATATTTGACATGCATGTCGTCATTAATATTATTATTATCACTATCACATCTATCATTATTTATTTTATTTTTACGTTTCCTTACATATTTCCTAAGTAATTTACCAAGGCTTTTTTTATGTGTATCACTTCGTGTCTTAGATTTTCCTTGGTACTACTTAGCTTTTGTGTTCAATTACTTGAACATTTCACCAATCCTATTTTTACTGACATAGGGTGAGATGCTCGGAAGTCCAAATATCTGTTTGAATATGTGGGTCTCCTGAAAACACACTAGTATGTGTTTAACTTCCCATCTTCTTTCCCTTTTACACTGCAATCTGAACATTGGAAGTTTCCCTTCCTAACTTTCCAATTCATCATTAGTGAATTAATGAATTGCCTCCACCTTTGAGTTAATGTATTCGAAAAATCTATCTATATCCTGTGTTCAAAGTACAGTGAATGTGTGTGTGTCATCTACATACCTCCACCATACTTTTGGGATGAGGGTGAACGTTTCAATCGCCACGTTTTCCCACCTATCCATGCATATATCTGTTTCACTGACCGTGTGATACATCTAATAAACAATCTAATATGGAATTACTTACTACCACAGTGCACAAGTTTTACACATATATATTAAAAAACAATATTGTCCAAGCTCCCCACAGACGATCTTGTACAACCGAAGGTAGAGACAAACTTCAGTCTTCCCCATCAAATGCCCTCACACCTATGGAGCTTAACACGCCAGCTGACGAATCGCACAGGATCGAATGGTCATCGGAAACTATGGGAATGCAGGTAGGTCCTGATGACGCAGCTCTACTGACTTGTCGATCAAACTTGAAGACAAAAGCTCGATGGAGAGGAGCAGCCTCTGAAGACAACCACCTGCTTTTGTGTCTGGACGTCCAGTCGCCAAACAAACTCTATGAGACAGTTTTGTGTGGGGCATCTTTCTTGTGTTGTAATCAATAAATCAATAAAATATGATTCAACTATATGCATGTAAAGTAAACCAGTAACTATACCTGAATCGATAAATCATTCATTTGATATATTGAAGTTTGAACAGATATTGAATCGGACAGGATACTCGGTTCATTATTGAATGTTGTCTGTAAGGCAATATTAATCTCCGGGATATGTGATAATAATTCAGCATTACGATCCAGTGCAGTTTTCAAGTCAGCCTTCAGTTCATCTATACGCTTTTGTGCATCAATATTGTAGGCGTCTAATTCCTTCTGATGTAACTGTTTCAATTTGGTCAATTCTGAAGTTGAATGTTGTAAATCACTGGCTTGTGTGATCTGATTTATACATTAAAAAATATTTGCAAAAAGAAAACAAACAAGAAAACATGAAATACGCCATTCCATCAATAGAAATAACTGAATTAATGGCTGGCTGGCTGGTTTCAACATAGAACTTTGCACCGATGTGCAGCCATTTGAATCGCCACATTTCACTCAGCACACAAGGTAAGATAAGAAAGTAAAAAGAAACGCATAAAAGAGACAGTAGACAGAGATATGTGGCAAAAAGAATAGTAATATGGGAGAACAATATAGTTTTATTGGGTATTATAAGTCACAAGCAGTGGATGCATCTGCGCTAGTCATTGAGAACGATGAGTTTGAGCCATATCACCGATTATCTCGAGACATTGGTGTTTAGCCTCCCGAGGACCCCAACCAGTCAAGATGCCTACACCTTCCTACGTGAGTTAACCGAACTGTTGTGGATTTCACTGACTGATCAAGTCATGTTTTGGTTTGACCACAACTGGCTAACTCTTTTCCAACCTGATCCATCCTATGTCAGCTAACCGTTGCCCGTCGAGGAAGGTGATGACTAGGCATGTGTAACATATATCCTAACCATCTCAATCTGTGTAACTCCACAGCCTCATCGATTGATTTCCTCTCCTTCCCTAGCACTCGACGCCTAACCTCAATATTGCTCACCCTACTATACCATTTCACACAGGAGATAGAACGCATACACCTATGATCAAAGACAGCTAATCTTTTCATGTCTTCCACTCTCAATGGCCAGGTCTCACAGCCATAAAGTATGACGGAGTAGACTGCTGAGCAGTACACACGTCATTTGATTGCTGGCCAGCCGGATATCAGGTCTACGCCAGAGACAGCGTAAACTGGCATATGCGAAACTAGCTCGCTGTATCCATGCTCAGATTTCGTCGGAGATCAACCCACTGGCACTAGCTGATGCAACTTCACAAATAAGTGAAGCGGTCAACGTGTTCTACCAATTCAGTCCATATTTCTCAGCTGACTTAATGTAGTCCAGTCCTGTAGCATCATCTTACATTTGGCAGCAGGAGCGAATCGCATGCCAAACATTCGCATGTGTGACATCTTATGATATTTACCAGTTATAGGGATTCCAGTCCAGAGACTCGATGGTGATATACCTTCATACACCAAGTTGACTACGACATAGGGGTACCGAAAAATCTCCTAAGGAGGAATTTGTAACTTTTATTTTTATGCTGACAGTTCTATCTGTTCTAACCTAAATTACGATGCGTTATTCAGTTAATAAACAACCCTAGTATGACCCATGGTGGATTAATTTCGTTAATCCTCTCACAATACTCTCATGTAGCCACATATTCACAACCTTCTTCAGTTACTTCCTGTTCAATGCCCTGACATCATGGCGGGAGTTTTCCCTACAAAAGTGAAAAAGGGAACGTGAAAGTCTGGCACTTATAACCAGATTCGTGAATATGCTGGTGTAACACCTACGGGAGCAGAAAAATCCTAATTCTAAACCTACAGTGCACGTCAGCTCCAGAGTATGAACGGATCCAATAACGAAAACAAAACACGTAGATCTGCGAAGAGTCTCTTTTCGGCGAATTCATCTTCTTAGCTGTACAATCGCAAATATATATGCATTGTTTCGTATGTATGTGTACATTAAGTTTGTCAAACAGTTACAATCGGTTAAGGTTAATTTTAACTAAACAAGTGAAGGTTGGTAATACAGGTCAAGAAAATTAAGTGTTAGTGAAACTAGGGCAATAACAAAGGTGATGAGTTGTCACAAACAGTTGTAATAATAATAGTGAGTTTTACTCAGGATGCACATAGAAACAAAGTAGAAATTATGTAAGAGATCTAAGTGGATACAAGAATTATAAGCAACTAAGGAACAGGCAAAGAAACAAAATTAAGTTATGTACATATACACACATACATACAAAACAATGCATATATATTTGCGATTGTACAGCTAAGAAGATGAATTCGCCGAAAAGAGACTCTTCGCAGATCTACGTGTTTTGTTTTCATTAATGCCTGAATGGGGATCCAATAACGTCTAAACCTGTTTTATTCACTGGGATCCATGAGAACGCAGGTCCTACCGCTGCTCGACTACCTTGTGGATCAAAATTTCAAGTCAAAGGCTCCATGAGAGGTGATCTCTTAAGACAACCCACTTGTTTCGGTCTGAGGGTCCGGGCAGTATTCCAACCCTCACAAAAACTATGAGAATTTGTGTTGCGCATTTCTTGATGCCCATAATGTACCAACTTTGTGTACTAATAATAATAATAACATGCATCCTATCCCACGTTTCTTGACAGAAACTTACACAGTTCCTGTGTTAGACTGATGAATGTATCAAACTACCTGTGTCAATTATTACTACTATATTGTACTACTGTGATGGAAGCTGTCTGTAAGACAAAACTGTAGACAACAATTTACGTCAATGTTTACGTCCCAAATCTTTGTCATGAGAAAAAAACAAAGCAAGAACAAAGACTAACTCAACAACCAATCATAGCAGACTTTGAGTGGGCGGATACGATAAGTAGATATATCAACGGAGTGTCAGCAGGAAAACAACCAATCAGAAGACTCTGTCTTTCTGCTAACAATAACGCTAATAATAATGTACATAAAAATCTATAAATATCTCTTGATTTTCACAATAAACGATCTGTTGCCTGGCCCTTGTCTTCCGTCGTTACACTAGTACTATTTTTATTATTAATGGTAATCAAAAAATTAGCATAAAAGTAAATTTACACGTTTAACCACTTACAAATCTCTGTGACAAATCGTCATATCGGCTTTTCAGTTCATTGAAGGCTGTTTCACTCTTAACTAAAGCATCATGTTTATTAGCGAATTTCTCTTCAATTTCATAAATTTGACGTCGTAATCGTTCAAGTGCTTCTTGATTTTGAATATTTGCTTCATGCTCCAGAAATGATTGTAAACCTTCACTGATCTAACATAGCAACAAAAAAACAACAACAACAATGTTTAATATTTTCTTTAGGTAGGTTATATTGTGGACAGTGCTACTAATAAGATTTATCAGTAGTATATAGAGAGACGCTCATCGGCATAAAGACATCAAATAGCAAGAAGATACACTAGATTTCAGAGAAGGCGAATGATACAGCGTTGTGGAGAAGTGAAAGGAACACAAAGAAACACAATATGAAGTCCAGAAGTACCCCACAACTCGAAGATCTGTGCGCAAATGGTGCGTTTGAAGATAAGGTATACAAAATTTGGCTATATATATAGATTTTCAAGTATTGGTTTTGTAGGGATTTTTTGTTTGATTGCATGGAGGAATTCATCATGAGCTGACATTAGTTAGAGAACCACTGGGAAACCTGGGAGTACTGGACAGCTGTTTCGTCCTAGCTTGGGACTCTTCATCAGTATGCACCCACCGGGATTCGAACACAGGACCTTCTGGTTACAAGACGAGCTCGTAGACGATTGAGCCACTGGGATACATACCAATTTCCAAAAATAAATATTCCTTTACTAAGTCTTCGGCCTTCTACCGTAACATCAAACAAACAAAGCAGAATAAACACTTTGTAGCATGAAACTGTGAAAGAATGATAGAGACAGAGAGTAGGAGAAAAATGTAGCGCACCTCAGAGACCATTCACAATTGAAGAAATAAGACTTCACACCAAACACAGCTAGGTAAAGCAGGAGTCGAACCCAGGACCCACTTGGCACAAAATCGACTGATTAATTAGATCAATTCACTATGTATCCTCACCAAACATGATGCCCATCGGTGGATAGAAAAATTAGTATTACTGTAATGTGTGTGTGTGGCCTATTCGCTTAAGAGCTCGATTTCCAGTGAACGGATCCAAGGCGGTTCGAGTCACACTCCACATACTTTAGTGTGGGGGCAACTAGATAGTATCACTGGCCTTCATACAATAAGTATGGCTATTAACCTGATGCATTAAAGATCAATCCGGGGGAATCAAATTCAAACCATTACTGTGATTGGACGATTTTTTTTCCTTCACGTTCCCATTGGAACATAGGGCTTCAAGCTAGTGGCTTGAAGTTTCTGTAGCAGTGTTTATTTTACAGGATGGGGTTGCTAGCCTCATGCTCAACCTTTCCTCTTTACCAGCATTATTTCTGGCTCAGCGAGATAAAGGAGTGCGTCGGTGGCCGGGAATCGAACCCCGGACCATGTGCATGGTCGGCGAGCGTCCTAACCGCTACACCACCACGCTCCACTCGGAACACAAAAGTAATCAACAAAACACCGTCAACAAGAATAATAATAATATGCACCCACCGGGGTACAAACCCAGGACCTTTTGGTTACAGGGTGAGCTCGTAGACCATTGAGCGTACTACTGAAGAGCCCCAAACAAGGACGAAACAGCTGTCCAGTACTCCTAGTTGGTTTTCCAGGGGTTCTCTAACTGAGGTCAGCTCATGATGAAATCCTCCATTCAATCAAACAAAAAATCCCTACAAAACCAATACTTGAAGAAGAAGAATGTATGGTGATTCCAAAACTTCCTACTATTTCAAAGGAAATCATGATGAAATGTCATGATGCATAGGACTGTGTAATATGCGAATACTTATGGCAGTTAAAACTACAGAAAGAAAAGGATGCAACACTTCACATGTGTGTGTGTCAGTGGTTCAATGGTTGAATTACTCACCAACCAGGTCTTGCGTCGTCCGGGGTTCAGTTGCCTGACGACGACACACTCCTGAACAGGTAATTAAGCCCTGTAAAGAGGGGAGGTTGGACGTGAGGCTAGTAACCTCAACCACTTAAAAAGAAAACCGCACTTCTACTGAAACTTCAAAGCTCAAGAGGCTTGAAGCCCTATATTCCACTGGGAACGCAAAAGAATAAACATATAATAATAATAGTAAAAACTATAAAGTTTCCACGTTCTGGTTACTAAATTCACACTCCAATTGATGTTCTGATTAGCCAAACAAAACGATCTAGAAAAGTAAATCGCACTGGGCAGGAATCATTGAATAATCAAACAGTCTGTCCACAACCGACAAGACAGTTGTGTGTGTGTGTGTGTCTGTACGACAAACAGATCGATATCAGTTAGAGAAGCATTGAAAGCCACCAGGGAGTTCTGATTTGCGACTCGTCGGCAGTACGCACCCCCCCACCAGGTTTCGAACCCCACCCAGGACCTCCTCCCCTGGTTACAAGGCATGCGCGCTCTTAGATCATTCAGCCACTGAGATCCTACTCAATCAATGACCAGTGCATGTCATCGGCGGCGAGTATTTGTCCTCACTCCCGACCTACTACTAGTGGACTCCTCCAGTGGTCACGACTTCTCTGACTAGAGAACTCCAGGCAAATTCGTCCTCTCTGGATTTCTCAGTGAGATGATTCTCCTTACTGATATCGATTCGTGATCAAATCCCTACAAATGAGTTCATGAAAATCAATATTAAAAAAACTTTTAAAAAATAATCAAAAACAATCGCTTCACAACACACACTTACTCTACTTTCTCGGGCATCACTGATGATGTATTTATTTTTAGGATGAATAATTTTCACTTCATCTTCATGGATACTTTGAAGAGCTTTTTCATGAAGAATTGGTGAGTGAATTGTAAGACAGGGGGGTTTGGCGGTGGTAGTGGTGGTAGTGGTTTCTTTTGTCATTAGTCTATGAGTACCTTTGACAACAGTTAAAGGAGCCTCCTCCTCTTCATCATCATCTTCATCATTGGCCTGATGTGTTGTAGTAGTTTTCTAGGGAATAAAAAGAAACAAGATTACATAACAATAAAAAGAACATCAATTTCGGCGACTGACTAAGTTTCAACAAAGAACTTTGCACAGAGGTGTGTAGCAGTTCAACTTGCCCTGACTCCACTCCATGTAGCACACAAAAGTAGACCAGAGAGAAAATTGAGATTCAGAAGGATTACAATAAGCGGAAATGTGAGGGATAAAGATAGGAAAATCAGAGGGGGGGGAGAGATCACAAAGAGTAAATTCATCTCTAAGACACAGACGAATGCAGCACTCAAATGTAGTTAAAGAAAAAAAACAGGAAATCTAATAGATTCATGAATAATTCCCATTCGGACATTAGTAGACAAAAGACAAGCAGTTAAGCAAAGAGTCTCTTTTCGGCGAATTCATTTTCAAAGCTGTACAATCGCAAATGTGCGTCGGTGGCATAGCGGTTAGGATGCTTGCCGACCATGCACATGGTCCGGGGTTCGATCCCCGGCCGACGCATTCCTTTACCTTGTTGAGCCAGAAATAATACTGGTGAAGAGGAAAGGTTGGGCATGAGGCAAGCAACCTCATCCTGTAAAATAAACACCACTGCTACAAAAACTTCCAGCCATTAGCTTGAAGCCCTATGTTCCACTGGGGAACGTGAAGGAAAAAAAAACAATCGCAAATATATATATGGTTATTTTGTGTGTGTGTGTGTGTATATACATTAAATCTGTCAAACAAAATACGGTTAGTAAGTTCAGGTGAATTGGATGTTCATATAAGAGGGTAGTAACAAAAGTGATGAGTTGTCATAAATGATTGTTAAACAAGAGTTACGTAATGGCATGAGTAGTTTGATGAATGAGGTGTTCTCAAAGGGTGTGCATAGAAACAAAATAATATACAGAATTACACAAGGGTTTTTAGTTAGAAAAATAAGCATACAAACAGAAGTAAGGTCAAATCAAACAAACAAAGAAGAGTTGGGTCAAATCAACGGAGTTGTTACCATGCGAGTAGAAGTGGTTGGACAATTTTCCTTTGTATGCATAGTTCTGGTTCCACCGACTGGATGGCTAGGGCTTCTGCGATGCAAAGAAGACGAAATCGTACTGTCTTTGGGAGGTTGTTCTTCACTTTGTAGATTACTTTGAAGGAGGCGTTTGTTGAGATGGAATATTGACCAGTGTTGACGAGATGTTCGATTATTACACTCCTTATATGGCCATTATTTCCTTTCTGTAGCCACGCTGAGTAGTGTTCTTTGACCCTTTTTGACAAGATGCGCGTTGAACGACCGATGTACCTGGCTCCACAGCAACAGGTGAACTGATATATACACATAGAAGTGGTCATGTGCGGAATCTTGTCCTTTGGGTTTCTGTAGATCAGCGGGCGACTGGAGAACACTACTCTCAATGTTGCCGCAAAGAAAATTCTTCTTAAAGAGGTGGAAATTCTCCTTCTGAGGACGTCGCTAAGTAGGTCTCCTTTGAAGTCTAGGTTCATATAAAGTATCTTTTTTGGCACGGATTGTGTCTCTTGCTTTTGGTTTTTCTGTTTGATATTTTTGTCTACAAATCTTGGTGGGTAGCCATTTTGTATGAAGATTTCCCTCAGGAAGTTTAGTTCTTCTTCCATGGTGTCGGAGCTGCAGATGCGTCTGACGCGAGTGGCAAGGGATTTAATTAGGTTTCTTTTCCGACTGATTGGTACCCAGCTGTAGAAACTTGTTAATTGTCCGTTCCAAGTCGGTTTCCTATGGATTGACCTTCTTAAAGTTCCGTCATCTCTCCTTGTAAGCTCAACGTCAAGAAAAGGGATTTTAGATTCGTTTTCAGTTTCCAAAGTGAACTTTGTGGCTGGATGGCATTTGTTGAATATTTGTAGTAGTCGATTGAGATTGTGATCGTCATCACAGATGATGAAGATGTCGTCAACATATCTAACGTACAACTGAAAATTATCGATGGTTGATTTGAGTGGGCCGTTCTCGAGGCTTGCCATGAAGCAGTCTGCTAGCAATGGGCCCAGTGGAGATCCCATTGCGATCCCATCTTGTTGTCTGACAGAAGTCTTCACACAAAATGGTTATCCACCAATATTCATGGACAAAATCATCAAACAGAAAATCCAAATGCACGAGACGCCATCCATACCAAAAAAGATACTTTATATGAACCTCGATTTCAAAGGTGACCAACTCAGTGATGTCCTTAGAAGGAGAATCTCCACCTCTTTAAGAAGAATTTTCTTTGCGGCAACATTGAGAGTAGTGTTCTCCAGTCGCCCGCTGATCTGCAGAAGCCCAAAAGAAAAGATCGCGCACCTGACCACTTCTATGTGTATATATCAGTTCACCTGCTGCTGTGGAGCCAGCCAGGTACATCGGTCGTTCGACGCGTATCTGTCAACAAGGGTCAAAGAACACCATTCGGCGTGGCTGCAGAAAAGAAGTGATCATATAAGGAGTGTATTAATCGAATATCTCGTCACCACTGGTCATTCTATCTCAACAAACGCCTCCTTCAAAGTAATCTACAAAGTGAAGAACAACCTCCCAAAGAAAATACGTTTCCGTCTTCTTTGCATTACAGAAGCCCTAGTCATTGAGTTAGAAGAACCAGAACTATGCATACAAAAGAAAATTACTCAACCACTTCTACTGTCATGGTCACAACTGCGTTGATTTGACTTAACTTTTGTTTGTTTGCTTATTTTTCTAACTACTGGAAACTTTTGTGCAATTCCGTATGTTATTTTGTTTCCATGTACACCCTGAGTACAACTCTTTCATCAAACTATTCATGTTATTACGCAACTCCTCTTTAAAAAAAGTAACAACTCATCACTTTTGTTACTACCCTATTATATCAACATCCAATTCATTTGAACTTACTAACCGTATTTTGTTAGACAAATTTAATGTACACACACACACATACAAAACAACCAAATATATTTGCAATTGTACAGCTTTGAAAATGAATTCGCCGAAAAGAGACTCTTTGCTGAACTACAAATCTAATAGAATCAATCAGATAGTTTCCAAACGTATTGGTGATTGATTTCTCCATCTAATTTACTTTTTTTTAAATTGTGATTTGAAATCAGTCTAGAAATCTAGTGAAGTGAACTCAGACTAAGGTAGAAGATCCGGATATCTTCAACACTAATAATGCCAAATCAGTCAGTTGATGCTTCTCTATATGGTTCAGAGACTTGGTACTGGCATCACCAAAAGCATTTTCCAACATATCACTGAAGACTTTCATCAACACTTGTCTCTTTCACTCCATATTGGATTAACAATAATAAAAACGTTGATATCGGGTCAACAACCAACACAGTCTAGTGGCTAGCACATATTGCTGACGAAAATGTAGGTGAATTGGAAATATATGCAAAGAAAACTTTAAGTGACATCATGCACCAAGAAGTCAGTCAAGTGAAACCCAAATGGGAAACAACACAAGTTGGGTGTAAATCCAAGGATGACATGGAGGAGGCCTTGTAAGGAGATGATGAAAGCTTATGGGCAATCGTGGCGCCAACAAATAGATGACAGGATGAAATGGAGAGATGTACTAGTGAACTCAAAAGAATAGTTTTTTTTTATTATTCATTCACGTTCCCAGTGGAACATAGGGCTTCAAGCTAGTGGCTTGAAGTTTCTGTAGCAGTGTTTATTTTACAGGATGAGGTTGCTTGCCTCATGCCCAACCTTTCTCCTTTGCTAGCTTTATTTCTGGCTTAGCGTCGGCCGGGGATCGAACCCCGGACCATGTGCATGGTCGGCGAGCATCCTAACCACTATGCCACCGACGCAAAAGGGTAGTAATAATATCATAATTAAGACCTGCAACTCTGTGCCAACTCCTTATAGTTACGTTGTCTAATACTGGTTCGGTGTGTCGATGAGCGGAAGAGCGGAAGACATGAGAAGATTAGCTGTCTTCGATCATAGGTGTCTGCGTTCTATTTCCCACGTGAAGTGGCATAATAAGGTGAGCAATATTGAGGTTAGGCATTGGTCGAGTGCGAGATAAGGAGAGGGAAATCAATCGACGAGACTGTGAAATTACATCGACTGAGATGGTTAGGACATGTGTTACGTATGCCTAGTCATCACCTTCCTCGACTGACGGGCAATGTTAGCTGACATAGGGTCAGGCTGGAAAAGAGCTAGCGGTGGTCAAACCAAAACATGGAACCAGTCAATGAAATCCACAACAGTTAGTCTAAGCCAGTCACGTAGGAAGGTGTAGACTTCCTGACTGGTTGGGGCTCTCGGGACGGTAAAAATCAATGACTGGAAACAATTGGTGATATGGCTCAAACTCATCGTTCTCAATGGCTAGCGCAGATGCATCCACTCCTTGTGACTTATGATTTCCAATTAAACTGTTTTGTTCTTCGTTATTACTATTCCTTTGTCTCACACCTCTGTTTACTGCCTATATTATGCATTTCTTCTACTTCCTTCTCTTGCTTTGTGTGCTACAAAGAGGGAGTGTGGCGACTTGAACTTCCGCACATATGTGCAAAGTTCTATGTTGAAAACCGACCGACCGTGTCGATGAGCGCTTTACTTGTCATGCAGGATATGCTTTATTGACTGCTATTCAGTGAAGCGAATACTGAAGTGAAATAACAACAGGTAAGCATAATGTAGTGGAGGGAGATATATATATTCTTATAGTGCAACTATTATATTACACTCTGTGTCGGATTTGGATAAATCGTGTTTAAATTCTCTCTCTCTCTCTCTCTCTATATATATATATATACATATATATATATATATTAACTCGAAGTACCTGTCACATTCAATAAAGCAGCAATTACAAAAACGCAATGGTGTAGTGCAAGAAACTCCACTTGCACTTTTATACAGTTGGCAATGAGCCAACAGCACATCTATTGTCTGAGGATTAGTAGTGATACGACTTGTCTGCAGTGTATATAAGGCGGGATTCATACCTGTGACCATGGAAGTCGAGCATTTGGACCAATCACCCACAAGCTCCACTGATGCAGTATGCTATGAATCATCATAAAAAATAGCTATCCAAAAAGCTGAAGATCCCATACTCTACACTGTGCATAAGTGTGTCGGTGGGTGGCACAGCGGTAGAATGCTCGCCGACCACGCCGTATTTGGTCTCGGGTAGGATCTCCGACCACCGACGCACTCCTCCGTTGCCTCACTAAGCCAGTAGTAAGACTGGTAAAGAGGGTAGGTTGGGGGGCATGAGACTGGCTAGCAACTCCATCCTGTAAAAATAATCACCACTGCTACAGAAACTTCAAGCCTCCAGCTTGAAACCACCCTATGTCCCACTGGCAAAACATTTATCAATTTAATTAGTTGAGGGGTTCTACCTCCAATAACTCTCACCAGAACAAAAGAAGCATCATAACAAGCCAATAAATTAATTAATTAATTAATTAATTAATTAATTAATCAATCAATTAATACAAATTACCTTTGTGGCATTTTTCTGTGGTGTAGAACTTTTATGAAATGAAAATGACTCGAATTTATCCGTCAAATGATCCGTTTTAGTTACAAATGATGACGATGGCAACGTCAATTTTGCCAAATTGATAGTAATGCAGGAATCGTCTATGTCAGCTACTTTAGATGAAGTATTATTTAAAGTATTTGAATGCTGAATCGAAAAAAAAGAATAAGAAAAAAATAAAGAATGGAGAAAATGTTATGGGCTCAGGGAGCACAGATGGAGTAGCAGCTATTTTGTTGAGTAAACCAAGCATACCCAGCTGAAATCAGATCATAAAATGACAATGGTTGAAGAACCACTGAAAAAATGAGGAGAACTGGACAGCTTCATCGTGCTAATTTGAGACTCTTCATCAGAACCCCCCCCGGAGAGTTCCTCAACAGAGATCGAATTCACCACCAACCAGCCAGTGTCATTTGTTCCCACACCCAATTTGGTGGACCCTAATAGTCACAAATTATCACTAGAACTTCAGAAAACTTCATTATGTAGTCAATTACTAGTGAGCATGAGATTAATTTTTACTGATGAAGAGTCCCAAAATGGGGCGAAACAGATATTCAGTACTCTCAAGTTTTAGTTAGTTCTCCAACCGATATTTGTTGCCGCTGAGTTTCAATACAGAATTCAGCACAGAAGTGAGGCAGTTCAAGTCGCCAAGGTCCACACACACACACACACAAAATAGACAATAGGGACTATAATATACAGAAATGTGTGGGAGAAAGAATGATAACATGCAAAAGGCAATAGGGATTAATGGATACAGGAGATCATAAAGAGTGAAGGGATCATTATCACCAATGAGACAACGATTTTCAGCCAATTCAATGATAAGTCTCCAACCACTGATTTTTAGAATCTCAAGGTCCCCAGGTCAGCCAGTCTACATCTACCTACGTGGCTCATACTGACAGTTAAAATCTCTATAGATTGATACGGGGTTTTGATTTACTTACTTACTTTACTTCGGCTATCTCCTACGGGAGGATGAGTCGGCTTCATGAACATCTCGAATCATCGCTGCCCAGGCGCGGCGATCTGATGAAGAGATTTCATGAAGTTTCATGGGAATTTGGTACGAGTGATGTCCCCAGATTCGCTCGGCCTTTTGTTTGAGAGTGCAGCTCTAGCCTTTACACAACCAAGTGTGACCTACAAGGCAGTAGGAGTGGAGTACGGAGTCCACTATCCATTGGCAGCCGGTGACCGGAGTTCGGTTCATACACCTTTTTGAATGGGGCCAGACATCCAGGACATCCAGCAAGCCCTTTGTCCATAGGTCTGCCGGTGAGCTCCAGTGAGCTTCATACGCCAGTCGTTGGAGATTTGGAGTCAGGGTTTAGCCATCTCCCCTAGACTGTCATCCAAAGGACAGTCAACCCGGTGAAGAGCACCGAGCGTCCGCTTCAGCCCTCTCACTTTGGTGAGAAACACCTCCACCACGTGAAGGTAGTGAGTAGGACTTCCTCAGGAGAGGCTATGTAAGACGCCCGGTCATATGGGAGCATTTCAAGAGGTGTGCGGAGGGGTGGCCAACCCGCAGCGCAAGGCACCCACCCCGACCATCCTGAGGCTTTGGTTTTGATTTGACTACTCTTAACCCTTTTCCAACCGAATCCAAAGTCGGCTAACATTCCTCATCCTCAAACGATGTAGCTGCTTCACAACCTCGTGGATTGACTTACCCTCCTAACCTAACACTTCACGTATAACCCCAATATTGCTTACTATATTATACCGATCAAACGTCAGTGATCAAAGACAGGTAGCCGGCCTGTTACACTGTGTCATGCCTTTCGCGTTCAATGGCCATTTCTCATAGTCATCAAGGAGAACAGAGTGGACTGTTGTGCAGTACACAGACGTTCATTGATCAAGAGCCAGATATCGTGTCGACACCAGAAATGACATAGACTGCCTTTCGTATCCGAACTGATATTTCCTCAGCAGTCAATCTATTAGACCTGTTAATAACAGCTGTTGAGTGCTGAAGCCAATTAGTCACGTTGATTTCGTGTTCTTGTAATTTAGATTGGGTAGGTACATCCAACTGACGAGCCCACATATAGAGGACGAAATGCGCGTTATCCTAGATTCCACTGCTAGTCACCATCCCCATCCACCATTTGAATTCAAGTAACACGACCAGACATCGTCAAAATAATCTACACAAGGACCGGACATGTCAACCTGAGACTGAGCACTTCCATCCAATCAATCGACGGGAAAATCTAAACTGAATTTAAATATTTGACTGATCAGTCGTCAATCCTTGCGATTGTGTAAAATTATCCACAGTTTTTCTCACATTGTTATTTCTGATGCCCATAGATTTAGTTTTCTTTCTGAGAATAAACCTGTGACCGTTGTTGTTCAATTACCACTGTGTGTACATATGTGAACCGCCTAAATAACTGTACAGCTTTGAAGGGAAGTGACGGAAAGAGGAGATTTCTATCCTAACAACTTATACGGTTCTTTATTATTACAAAACACTGGAGCACAATCCAGTGAACCATGAATTCTAACTTCTGCCAATTCACGACATAGCGCGACCACTTCGCAATGTCTTCTTCGATGAGTTACTGCCTCACCTTCAACCTGCTGCACCCTACTGGTTACAGCTTCCCACTAGAACCCCAGATCACTGCCTGAATAGGGCCAGTCGCTGGTGAGCATCAAATCGATTTTTCAAGTATTGGTTTTTGTAGGGATTTTGTTTGATTGGTTGGAGTATTTCATGATGAGCTGACATCAGTTAGAGAACCATTGGAAAACCACCTGGGAGTGTACTGGACAACTGCTTTCTCCATCCTAGTTTGGGACTGTTCAACAGTACGCTACCACCGGGGTTCTAACCCAGTACCTTTCGGTTACAAGGTGAGCTTGTACTACTGAAGAGTCCCAAACTAGCACGAAACATCTTTCCAATACAACAATTTATATAATTTTAAAAAACACCTTCTACAGATCAACATTAAATGGTACATAGAATCGTTTAGAAATAGATTGAACGCTGACTGGTAGGCGAACAAATAAATACCTGTTGTTGAGCAATTGTAAACTCTAATCGTCTACTCTCCACACGTAAACGATCCACTTCACGCATAAGATTTTCAATGACATCTTTTTGTTCAGCTAAATCACTTTCTAATTCTGCTACACGATCTTCTGAATCTTTTAGTGTTTTAGTGAGCTGAGTTATTTTCAATGTTTGTGCTATAATATATATATTTAATAAAAGAAAAAAATAAGAACATGTTACGTGAAATAGGATAGACATTAAGTATATACGGGAGATATAATGTGATCAAGTGTGTTGTACAATGAAACGAAGAAATCAATAACCGCGATTGATCAGTTGGATCGAGAATGTATGAGTCATAAAATATCATTGGATAGGAAACAGCTCAAAATAGTAATCATCTTATGACCACTCTCATCATGTGATTCATTGTGTGATCGAGTGACTAAAAAAATTTCATTATATCTTTTTCTTACACCTTCATCTTCGTCAGATCGCCAACCAATCAGAACAATCCATTTCCACTGTCCTGGACCAATTTTAATGGTGTAAGAAAAAGATACAGTGAAATCGTATCCTAACAGTCACAGGCCAGTGTCTTTATCTTTTGATATTTACGTGGCTCAGTGAAGTGCAAGGTACTACTAGTATTATTATTATTATTATCATTGTTCCCTTGAGTTCCGAGTGGAACATACGGCTTCAACAACACATCGTCACCTTCTTCTAATTTCTGCCATCCCCTTCATCTGAGCCCATGATTGCCCAAACTCTCGCATCTATTCCTCACACGGTGTCCTCCATGTCACCCCATTGGGATTACACTATTTTTGTCCACTTGGTGACCGTTATCAATCAAATGAGCCAAAATAGAACTTCTTATATATTTTATTTGACCTTTTCCAAACCATTGAGGAAGGAAGATGCTCATTAATGCGTTTGTTAAGCCGTCTAGTTGTTCGCCCTATACAGCTTTCTCCACAGGAGCAACTAAATTTATAGATACACATAGAAGTGGCACAACTAGGTAGCTTGTCTTTCGCTTGAGCAATCATAATTGGTCGGCTGGAAAATGACAAACAAAGGGTGGCGGCAGTATAAGTCCATTTTATTGCTCCCGATAATCTCAGATGTAAGACTTCATTAGCCACGTCTCTATTAAATTGCAATTTCATGAAGAGTTGTTTCTTTTCAACTGTTGTCAGTTTCTCTCTATTGTACCTGGTGTTCATGTGTCTCCTTGCAAATCTACTAGGATAACCCGTTTGGACCAGTGTATTTTGAATGTATCCTAATTCATTTTCTATGGAGTCATCTGTACAGATCCTTCTTGGTCTATTCGTGAGGCAAACCAAATTGATTTTGTATCGGATTGGTACAAAACTGAGGAAATGTGTATATTGTCCTTCAGATGTGGGTTTTCTACAGACATCTCTCTTGAGTGAACCATCCTCTCTTCTGCTCAATTGGACGTCAAGGAAATGTAGTCTACCATCATGTTCTTCTTCTTCTTCACAAGTGAAGATGAGGGATGGATGTGCATCATTAAATTTTATTAACATTTCATTCTTGTCAGCTTTCTCATCAAGAATAATAAACGTATCATCAACATAACGAAAATAAGAATCCGTTTTATCTATTACTTTTTTCAACGGACCATTTTCAAGGTTAGCAAGAAGGAAAGCTGCCAAAATTTGCCCCAATGGAGAACCCATGGCAATGCCGTCGATTTGTCTGTAATAAAAGTTGTTGAATGTGAAGTGTACATTCATAGTACATCTTAAAAGCAACTCTTTCAGACTAATAGTTGGAATTTCGATTTTGAACTGTTTTTCTGGTATCTGTTGGCATATGAATTCCACAGTCTCCATAAAATGGTACATTGGTGAACAGTGATGCGACATCTAAGGATAACATTTGCTTCCCATTTACATTGATATCATCTACGTTAGCAATGAATTCAAAAATGTCCTTAACACTCTGATTTACTACCATCTTGTATAACGGTTGGAGGAGGAGTTCACCTAGCCACTTTGCCACTCCATGTTAGGTGGAATTAGACATGTCTAGAACTGGTCGAAGAGGAAGTCCTTGTTTATATATTTTGGGCAGACCGTACCAAACGTGAAGTATTACTACTTCCAGTAGGATTAAGACGGTTGTGGGCTGCTTCTGAGATCACTCCACTTCGGAATAAAAAGGTAAATTACAAAAGATAGCAATGAATAACAAATAAATAACAATAATAATAATTTACCTGAACAACAGTCACGAACTTCATGTTGACGGTTTTCATTAACACTGGAATAGTCTTTACCATCATTTTCTATATCAGACATATCCTCATCATCACTACTGACTTCTGAATCATCAGGGCATAAACGTTTAGGATGATTACCTTGACCTGCTGCTTGACGTTGATTCACTGAATTAATAATATTGCGCATACGTGTATTCGACTCTTCATAGAGATAATTTTCTCGAGATTTTAATAGTTCTCTGCATACATCATTTGCAGGGAGCGTTATTTGAAGAAAAGAAAAGAACATATGAAAATCATAATCAATAACCAAGAGATACAATTTTAAAAAAAGACAAACATAGGTGAGTGTGCGTGTGTGTTAGTCACATCTTTTTCTTCATATTCTCCTTTGCATTCCAAGTCGAGAAAATATAAATAGAACAGACTTACAAAGTATCACTGTCAGTAGTCTCCCCTGTAAAATGTGAGTTGATGTTGCAGGATTGGACTACACCGACTTCTAGATTAGAAATAGGAAGTGAAGTGGTAGAGCACGTTGACCGCTTCACTTACTTGGGAAGTTGCATCAACCAACGCAAACGGGTTGATGGCTGACGAAATCTCAGCACGGATACAGAGGGCTAGTTTCGCATATGCCAGTTTACGCCGTCTCTGGCGTAGACGTGATATCCGGCTATCGACCAAATGGCGGGTGTACTGCTCAGCAGTCCGCCCCGTCCTCCATTATGGCTAGCTGTGAGACCTGGCCATTAAGAGTGGGAGACATGAAAAGGGCGGTTAGCTGTCTTTGATCACAGGTGCCTGCGTTCTACCTCCCGTGTGAAGTGGTATAATAAGGTGAGCAATATTGAGGTTAGCCATCGGTCGAGTGGGAGGGGAAATCAATCGACGAGGCTGTGAAATTACATCGACTGAGATGGTTAGGACATGCGTTACGTATGCCCAGTCATCACCTTCCTCGACTGACGGGCAATGTTAGCTGATAAAGGGTCAGGCTGGAAAAGAGCTAGCGGCGGCCAAACCAAAACATGGCACCAGTCAATGAAATCCACAACAGTTAGTTTAAGCCAACCACGTAGGAAGATGTAGACTTCCTGACTGGTTGGGGTCCTCGGGACGGTAAAAACCAATGGTTGGAAACAATCCGTGACATGGCTCAAAATCGTTCTCAATAATGGCGCAGATGCATCCACTCCTTGTGACTTATGAATTCCAATGAAACTGTTTTGTTCTCGGTTATTACTATTCCTTTGTCTCACACCTCTGTTTACTGTCTATATTATGCATCTCTTATACTTTCCTCTCTAGCTTTGTGTGCTACAAAGAGGGAGTATGGCGACTTGAACTGCCGCACATCGGTGCAAAGTTCTATGTCGAAAACAGATAGACAGTCTGCCAATCGAGAACTAACTAATACCAGAAAAATGGGGAGTTTTCTGGAGGAACAAGCTTCTTTGCTAATCATGAAGTCATGATCTATGCATGTAAAAATGCGATAACCTGATTGGACAGTTTTTGATTTGTCTATTAATGGCTTAATTTTCTGAGGATTTGTATACACAATAGATCTTGTCAAATTGACGTCGCTGCTGTTGTCGTCGTTTCTTGCAATCTGATTTTTGTGTTTATCTATCAGTGTGGGAGATAAATTCAAGTGATCAGTTGGTTATGGTGTTGTGTTCTGGAGGCGTGTATCCTAGCCAAACTAGACAAAAACCCAACCCAGTAACAATCCAAAATAACAAGAATATGGCTTTAAGCTTGTGCTTTAAAGTCTCAGTAGCGATAGTGTGATTTCTACCTTCCTTCCTTCCTATTCGAGCGTACTACCAGCTAGCGTACACCAAGCGAAGTCTAAGGGACGAGTGGAAGGGTCAGTCAGGAATAGAACTTGAACTACGTGCTTAATTGGCGGCAAGCATTCAACCAGTGAACTCTCATCTATTTGTTTGATTTTAGTGAAAGTCTGACGTCATCAAAATACAATCTAATTATAGAAAGTTGATCTGAAAATAAAAATGCCGTTCCAATTTGGTTTCAAGAATGAAAGACACAGGGAGAAAAACTTTGTTTGAAACATGACCTTAGGAAAAGTTAAATCTTCCAAGAAATAGTGGATGAAAAATAATAGTAATAACTCAATGGTGGAGGCAATTGAATTCACTTATGAATTGGAAAGTCAGGAAGGAGAGCTTCCAATGTTAGATTGTAGCGTAAAAGGAAACCCACACACATTCAAACAGATATTTGGACTTCCGATCATCCCACCCTACGTCAGTTTTCGCATATGCCAGTTAACGCCGTCTCTGGCTTAGACGTGATATCCGACTATCGACCAAAGGGCAGGTGTACTCCTCAGTAGCCCGCTCCGTCCTCCTTTATGCCTGGCTGTGAGACATGGCCATTGAGAGTGGCAGACATGAAAATGCCAGCTAGCTGTCTTTGATCATAGGTGTCTGCGTTCTATCTCCCGTGTGAAGTGGTATAATAAGGTGAGCTATATTGAGGTTAGGCGTGGGTCGAGTGCTAGGTAAGGGGGGGAAATCAATTGACGAGGCTATGAAGTTACATCGATTGAGATGGTTAGGACATGTGTTACGCATGCATCCCTAGCCTTCGTCAATGGGCAAATGTTAGTTGACATAGGATCAGGCTGGGAAAGAGCTAACGGAGGTCAAACCAAAACGTGGCTTCATCAGTCAATGAAATCCACAACAGTTAATTTAAGCCACGGAGTAAGGTGTAGACTTCCTGACTGGTTGGGGTCCTCGGGACGGTAAAAACCAATGACAGCTGGAGACAATCGGTGATATGGCTCAAAATCTTCCTCAATGACAGCCCTGATGCATCCAATCCTTGTGACTTATAATACTACCCAAAGAAACTATTTTGTTCTTCGGTATTACTATTCCTTTTGTCTCATATCCCTGTCTACTGTCTCTATTTTACATTTCTTCTAATTTCTTCTCTTGCTTTGTGTGTTACAAGGAGAGAGTGTGGCGACTTGAACTGTTGCAAATCGATGCAAAGTTCTATGTTGAAAACAAACAGACAGGCAGACAGAGTTCGCCTTCAACTCATCATCACTCATACCATCGGTCGAGAATTGAATACCAGAACCAATCTGATTGTCGATACATGTCCCTCAACACCGTTACATGAACAATAACAGAGAATTATAAGTAGGTTTATAAATCAAAACTATTTGTTATACTGCAATGCTGCATGCCAAGTAATCCACAATGGGAAACTAACGGAATCCTTCGAAGTGAGGACAGGAATAAGACAAGCTGGCTGTATACTATCGCTAACGATTTTCCTGATTTCAGTAGACTAGATAATGCAACAAACAGCGGGCAATGAGGAAAAAGGCATAAAATGGACTCAAACAAAAAACTTGGAGGATCTGGACTTCGCCGATGATATATGTCTGATTTCCCACAAACTGGAAGATATGCAAGCGAAAAGCAACAAGTTGGCAGAAGAAGAAGCATCAAAGATAGGACTTCAGGTGAACATAGAGAAAAGAGGTAATGAAGATTCCTGGACAAGAACAACAACAACAGACAACGATCAGCGTAAATGGGAGGAACCTGAAAGAAACAACCTTCACCTACCTACCTGGGAAGCATCGTTCCAACTACAGTCGGGCGGAACTGACGAGGATATCAAAGCAAGAATCGGAAAAGCAAGACAAGCTTTCACTACTCTGAAACCTGTGTGGAGGTCAACAGCACTCAGCATCAAAAATATGATCCGGATTTTCAACTCCAATGTGAAGTCAGTGCTACTCACTATACGGATCAGAAACATGGCCAGCGCGTCATAAAGAGCATCTCAAACAAACTACAGACCTTCATCAGTAGATGTCTTCGCTCAATACCCAAGATCAGATGGCCGGTCAGAAAAGATCAGCAACAGAGATCTCTGGCAATGAGCGAACCAACACAGCAGGAACCGATTGTGAAACAAATAAGCAGGAGGAAATGGAGATGGACTGGCCATACTCTGAAGAAACAAACCATCAAGTGACATCACTAGACAAGCCATTGCTCAAGTGGAACCCGAAAGGGAAGCCGCGAGTTGGTCGTCAGTGCGAGGGTGACTTGGAGGAGGTCATGTGAAGAGGAGATGAAAGCGTGTGGGCAGACTTGGAGCCAGGTAAAGACTCTAGCAGAGAACCGAACGCAATGGAGATGCACGGCTGAAGCCCTATGTTCCTCTAGGAATAAAAGGAAACAATAATAATAATAATAAATTTGTTATGCAATAATCTGATGTGGATCGTGATGACTGAGTACACGATTATCAAATAAATTCTCTTTTAAAAAAAGCAAGTTTCCATTCATCAAGAACTAATTCTACGTCAAATCTTATTCTACGTGTTTCAAACAACTGCATACAAATTTCAGTATCAGGTTATTATAATTATACTACCCCTCTATTATATACATCTAACTGGATGAAATTGGATGTTTTGTTTGTGAGAGGGACTGTGATTAATAAATGGGTCAAAAGTTTAAAGCAATTAGTTACAGTCGAGGTAACTTGAGAAAACTACTTTTTAATATTATTTTTTTATGTATGACTATTATTATTAATAATAATATTATTATTATTATATTCACAAATCGAATATACACCTCGGAGAACAGGCATATCCGCTGAGGATGAAACAGTTGTATACGGAAAAAACAAGAAAAAAACTCTGCTAATAAAAAAGACTACGGGTTTCAATAATCTTTTTTTCAATCTGACATAATAATATCGCACATAATGAATATACGAACAAAGAAAACAGTTCAGTGAAGAGTCTCTCTTTTCGACGGCAAATTCATTCCTCCCTTGATGAGATTCTACAATGGCAATTATATATAATTATTCTGCTTCTATGTACGTGCGTGTGTGCATGTGTACATCAGGTTTCTGAGACAAGAATTAAAAAAACTAGTTAGGTTTATGGTTTACGTTATCAAATATATCAAAAAAAGTGGTGAATAATCCATTTGTAACTAGGGAGATGGATGGATGGAGTTCCATTATCGGTCAAATTTGTTCTGATAAAGGCTCACAGTGTTTGTTATACAGTAATGTTTACTGATGACCACGTTTCGAGCACAATTTATTGCTGCTCACAATCAAATCAAGGCACTACTCACACAACATTCTAACTTCATTTATATAGTTCCATCATTATTTTTCATCGCTTGAATTGATTGGTGGTAATATTTTCCAT